GAGCTCGCATCCCTGCTAACCCCTGCCCGCAGTGTCGACAACAGCGAAAGCAGTCGCAATGGAGACTACACGTGAGAAGCTCTCCGACCCCCATCCCACCTTCGCCGCATCGTCTAATTCTCGCAGATCAACCCGCTGGCAAGCCCAGATCGATGCTGTGAGCATCATTCACAGTGTCAAGATGCGCGTACACCCACAGTCGGCTGTTGGCCTGATGAGCATGGGCGGCAAGGGTCCTGAGGTGCTATCAACCTTTACTACGGACTTTGGCGGTATCCTGGCTGGTCTTCATCGCACCAAGATTCACGGCACATCGCACTTGAGCTCGAGTATCCAGGTTGCTGGGGTAAGTCTTTTGTTTCTTGTTTCTGGCTATTCTGGGCCGGTGAATGCATTACTAACATCTTCCCTCTTTCTTACTGCTATAGTTGGCACTGAAGCACCGTTCCGAAAAATCCCAACGTCAACGAATCATCGTATTCTCCTGCTCTCCCATTGAAGAAGACGAGAAGACCCTTGTCAAGCTGGCCAAGAAAATGAAGAAGAACAACGTCTCCATTGACATCATTGCTTTCGGAGATCTCGAGTCCGACCAGACCAAGAAACTGGAGGCCTTTGTGGATAATGTATCGAGTGGTGATGGCTCCTATCTCGCCATCATCCCGCCGGGTCCTCATCTCCTTAGTGAGGAGCTTCAGCAGACCCCAATCCTGGCCGGTGAGAATGCCGGTGCGGCGGGTGCGTCCGGTGGTGAGACAGGTGGTGACGCGGGTGGATTCAACTTTGAGGATGCGGCCGAGGACGACCCTGAGCTTGCCTTTGCTCTCCGATTGTCGTTGGAAGAGGAGAAGAACCGACAGGAGAAGGAGAAGCGGGACCTCGAGGAGGCCGAGGGCAAGACGGAACTGGGTGGCATCCCCGAAGAAGGGCAGGGCGAGTCCAGCAAAGACAAGAAGGACGACGACAAGATGGATACTGCGTAGATCCCTATCCCCTCTCCGTCTTCCGTCCCCGGCTGAAATGATTCGATGCATACCCGGCGTTTGCTTCTTGTTTTTATGTTCTCCTGTATACTCGAGTGCCGGCTCCTGGTCTATCTACTTAGTGGTACCATAGATGGGCACATTCGTCGACTGCAAAAGGGAAATATTGATGCGATTGGTATTATGCACATTCTGAGGCGATTATGATGACTATCATAATCCCTCTTTAGGTCCAACACAGTAAACTGATCAAAGATATGTCTAGTTCGTAAGGTCATCAGCCCAGCCCTCTGGGGTATACAACTATTCCACTTGCTTCCAGCCCACGGGGTCCATGGGTCATGTTCGTCCTCTCAACCACGCCCCGAGATGCCTATCGAAAGCTTCACATCGCACCGGCATCTCGAGCTGGTAGAATGGGTTCTTCATCACGTAGTCCGCATATAGCTCATAGATCTTGTTCATAACAGTGTCCACACTGCCGGTCAGGGGATCGGTGAAGAGGAGGAATTTCGTTCCAGTCAGGGTCTGGAAGCACGTCAGGCGAAACTTATCCGTCTCGAGGAACTCCAGGCCTGATGTGGGGACGCCCGGGTTGGGATAGCTGTACCCCGACGTAGCGGGGGCGGTGTTGCCGGGGGACGAAACGGCAGGAGAGGTAGATGGGGGAGCGAGAGGGAGCTTAGGAGTGATTGTGCGAGTGATGGCGTGTACACTGCGATCGGCTAGTTAGCTTCAAGTTGTGAGGACGCAGGACAGGGGAAGGGTATTCGGACTGACCCGTGAAAGGTACCGGCGAGGACGAGGTAGTCGTTGGTGGAGAGCTTGCGCAGGCCGGGTTGGAACTCCCGCTGGTAGATCAGACCTCCAGCCTTGTTGATCACTATGAGAGAGAAAACAGCCCTGGGAGGTAGTCAGTGGCGCATTCGTGGTGTTTGAAGTGGAACGGGGCGCACATGATGTGAGGATCCAGCAACGTGGCCGAGTGGAAGTAATTATCAATGTGAGCTACTGCGCATGCAGCATTTCCAGTGTACAATATTATAGTAGCACTGTAGACGAGGTAGCTGGGTCGCAATTGGTGTAGCGGTAGAAGTAGACGCTGCACTGTTGAATGAGCAGAAGTCGCGGGGAGTTTTGGCCGAAGCGGAGGCGGAGGTCCACCGCCGCACGTTACTTCCAGTACTAGTTACTAGTAGTAGCACTACCAGAACAACTTACCATGGGTACTAGTAGTAGTATACATTTATGTAAATATTCGAGTGATCTTTCCAATTATATGCTATTCACTTGGGCACCTGGGCACCTGAGATGACCTTTTCTGCGTTGGGTTTTGCTAGTGCCACTGGCAGTGGCAGTTAGAACCCGAGGTCGGAAATATATATAGTATTAAAACTACTAGTAGTACAGTCAACTCTCACTTATTGCACACCCGCTCTTAGCACACTCCCGCTTATAGCACACAATTCGCTTGGATGGACCCACTTTTTCTTGATTTTACATACAAAACTCCCACTTTTAGCACACTCACCCTTTGCACACAATTTTCATCCTATATTTGCTGAGTCATCCGCTTAGTCAGTCATATCGACCAATCAGAATGCCCGAAATCTCCGATCTTCCACCTCTTCCAACTGTCAGACCAGCTACACAAGCTGCTCTACCACCAGCAAAGCGTGCTCGATTAGGCATATCAGATGCCCAAAAGCAGGCATTACGTGCCTTTTGGTCTAATTCTAGCCCTAGACCAACCCAATCCGCGTGTGTAGATTGGTTTTTGTCCCAATTTAAACATAAGATTAATCGTACAACGGTCTCAAGAATTCTATCATCTCAATATGATTATCTTGATATAGGGCTTACTAAGGCAAATTCACGATTTTCTTCATCTTTCTGGCCTATTCTAGACCAGAAGCTTTCGAATTGGGTGAATAAGCATATTGAATCAGGGTTTCCAATCACTGGCCCTTTGATCCAGATCAAAGCAAACGAGCTTTGGTCTCAGATCCCTGAATATCAAGATCAACAAAAACCTGCTTTCTCAGAGGGTTGGCTTACACGCTTCAAAAACCGGCATAATCTTCGATATCATACTTTCCATGGAGAAGCTGCTTCAGTCCCATCTTCTGTACACAATCATATGGAAGAAATTCGTACGATATGCGATCAATATGAACCATCTGAGATATATAATATGGATGAAACTGGCCTTTTCTGGAGGCAGATGCCAAATGGGGGTCTTTCCCATGGAAAAATTGCTGGAAAGAAGAAAGATAAGACTAGAATATCTCTTGTCGTTACAACAAATGCAGATGGATCAGACCGATTACCTTTATGGTTAATTGGAACTGCAAAAACACCACGTGCGCTCCGGGGAGTCAATTTCCAAGCTCTAGGATGTGTCTGGCGTTGGAATAAGAAGGCGTGGATGCGTCAAGATATTATGAGGGAATGGTTATATGCTTTTTATAGGCGTATTCCTATACATAAGAAAGCATTATTGCTTTTGGATAATGCCTCTCCACATATTGCTGGTCTGAAGTCTATCCCACCACCTGCTCATATTAGGGTTCTTTTTTCCCAGCAAACGCAACTTCTATATATCAACCTCTAGATCAAGGGATTATTCAAAATTTGAAGCACTATTATCGGAAGAAATGGATGCGCTGGATGATTGCTATCCTTGATTGAGGTCTTGATCCACAAGATCGTATGAATATATCTTATACACTCTTTTGGTTAACCCAGGTTTGGAAGAGCTCAATATCAGATCAAACGATTGAGAATTGCTTTAAAAAAAGCACTTTAATACGTTCTGAAGATGAGACCAAAGCTATCCAAGATGAGATAGAAGCTGGTTTTCAACCAATTCCTGAGCCAGGATTAACTAGTGAGGTTCAAGCTCTATATAATGAAGCAGTTGAGAAGCTTGGTCATGATGATATCATACCATTTGATCAATTTTTGAACCCTATAGAGGAAGATATTATATATGAAGATGAGACTGATGGGCAAGATATATATATTGATATAGAGAGCTCGGAAGCACAAGATATTGAAGAAAATGGGCCTCCACCAGAGATTCTGTCCAATTCTGATATAATGGGTCATCTACAGGATATATTACTATGGGTTGGAAGCAAGGAAAAGAGCACATCAGACCATATACGTCAGGTTGAGAGCTTAATCAGCGAGTTTGGCAGGATTCAGGTCGAGGAGAAGCGTCAGGTGACCCTAGAGGACATGGGATGGAAGCCTAGATAGGCCATGGGGCTAAGGGCTAGCTAATTTATTGATTATGTCATCCTCTCACTTATTGCACCTCCCGCTTATTGCACATGATTTTCCTTGGATGGGAGGGTGTGCAATAAGTGAGAGTTGACTGTACCAGGGTCCAATTAATATTGGAGAAATTTTATATGGGGCCGGTTAGATATAATACAAATACTGTTTAGCATCTGACGACTAGATTATACCCGCAAGGCTCGTCTATCTGCAGTGGCAACAGACGGGCTAATTTAGTAAAATTGATGAATGAAAGATAAATCGCGCTCTAGATAGAGTAAGTTATCTGTAAACTACTGTCATATCTGATATAGTATTTACCAACTCACTAGATTTACGGGAAAAATTGAGAATAGACCAGATAAATTTAAGCTACATACAGGATACTTTTTCCCTAGCACCAGCTTGATCAAAGAATTCATTCTATAGTATATCGCAGAATGAAAAGAACGTATTCGCAAAGATAGAAAGCCTACAGCCCGGACAGTGCTACCTGTGCCGAGAGATTAATTTATAGACTTGAGAATACCACACAGAAATTGGCTCCTCAAGGAACACAATTACAGATTTGGAGAGTAAGTTATATGTTTGCGACCGATAAGTATCTTCCGTAAAAGGATATTTCTCGTTCTTGAAACCTTCTAGCGTTTCCCCCCAAAATTCGAGATCTGGGAGGCGTTTAGTGAGGGTAATTCCAAGACTAAGATATGCTATAGTCTGCGGGCTTCTGTTTTAGCGAATGCAGATTGTTTGCTCGAGAGCGTTGAGATTAAGAGTCTTCAATTTAAACAACTTCGCAAATTTATAGAGTTGCTCCCCGCCGTCAAAAAAAATCTAGGGTAGTGTTAGTGGTGTTTAAGTCTTTAAGTACCCGTGGCCAGTCGATATACTTACCTCCCCTTCACCATTATAAAAGAAACAAACAAAGGCTGTTCCACCACCATAGAACCAGCTTTCAGAAGTGAAGATGAATAAGAGTGTTTGTAACTCGGTGGCTGCCATGCTTTGTGTGTTGAGTATGGCAAAGCTGGAAGAAATGCCTTCTGCCGGGGAGCGGAGGTTGTCGAAGATAGGCCCAGAAATTAGTCGAAACGGAGGCTACCCTCATTTTTCTACCGTCTGCTTCCTCCGCCCTCTACTTCGTTAAGAGATCCATCCACGGCCCCTCTGCATCCACTGCCGGGAGCCCCTGCTCTTGTTGTGTAATGAGGCTGAGGCTTCATCACCGCCCGTTTAGTCTATTTCTGGCAACCTTGTAATTTGCCGAACTGAAAATAGTATTTGATCTTCGGGTCTACGGACCGCAAAAAATCGTTCACTGGGGCCTCTGAAATAGAAGAGGCAACGGATCCGTTAATCTTGGGAAGCGGGAGCCTAAATCGACACGCAATTGCTGGGGCTGGCCCCGATCCTTCAAAAAGAAAAATATTTCCTTCTCAATTTCCACGAGGAGGGAGAGAAAAACTAAGATATTTAAAATTAAAATCAAAAAACTGAAATAGACGAGGACATTACCATCACCCGCTCACTAACTAGGATGTTACCCAAGCCATTTCAAAATATAGAATAAAAATGCCCCGCATTACACGGGTAACAAGTATAGAGCATATGGCTCCTGATCTCCAAAATGAAAAGATTGGGAAATGGGCTTCGGTGACTATTCACTCTACTGCAGCACTTCGACTCGTTGGCGCTACAAGGTTTGTAGAGCCTCAGCTTCGGTTATCTCCATCGTTTTTAAGATAGACCTCGATGCTCATGTCTCTGAGCTTTTTTTTAAGACCCCTAGCAACGAAATAAGACCTGATTCGATCGTCTCGTGCGGCAAAAGCAAGTCTTACAACTCAGTAAATTGGGCAGATCGCACTTGCAGCGTCCAGGGGACGAAGAGTACCAAGGACCCCAACATGATTTTGACAACCACTAAGGATGATCATTTTTCGAGTCCCAGCAACGTGTCATCAGAGTGGCAAGGGGCTAGGGACTTAAAATAGGTATAGACTTCATCAAAAGGTCAGGCCTGGAGCCGCGATTATTGACGGCGCCCTCAGAGTTACCAATACATTATCTACCTCTTGGTGAATTGTGTAGAATCTTCCAATAAGCCCTTGTAGTATTTTGCCACTAGATTCCCGTGCATCGAATTTGGGGGCCTGCTCATATAAATACTTAATCATCAATGCAAAGAGGATACAGATTGGCCCTGGCGAGAGGATTCGCGAGGAGAAAAATAGTATGACGATGATTTTAGAATTGCTTCCCCGCGTAGCGAGGCTGATGCTTGATCACATCCTCGTTGTTGTACATTTCTTTCTGCCTTGGAATGTGCGAGACTACAGAGAAGATTGATCGAAATTTTAGGCCAACGGGCAGAGGGATGAATGGGTTCACTGGGAACTCTGGGATTAACAATAGCTTTGCTTGGTTTAAGGATGTTTCTTTCAGCCCCAGGGCACAGACATTGTCGCTTAGAAAATCTATATATGAAGTAGGCCCGCTGCGGTTGGGGTGGTGACGGAGTGACCTTGTGACGCTGAGGACCCAAGTGGATGCCAAATATGGCTCGGTAACACATACAGCCAATAAGCCGACCCGAAGTACCAGCGCAGACCTTTATCCAGCCTTTGGGTGGACATGAGGCTGAAGATGGCCTCCGAACTCTGCCTTAGGCCCCCCGCAATGAACATGAAGTGCTAGTGAAAGGTAGGGTATAATCTGCGTAGAAAATTAAACCCTTTTGATAAATTAAAAATAGAAAGTGTTTTAGCGTATTTACCGTTGCTAATCAACAATCGAATTATGACTGATGCTTTCCCTAACCCATCCATCCGCCTGCTATTGATGACGCTTTTGGCAGCCTGGATTAACCAGTGAGGATAATGCGAACTATTTTCGGCCCTCTACGTCATTTGAGCAGTTTCTCGCAATTAACTAGCATTTAACTCTTTTAAGGAGGAGAAAAATGGGAGGCCTTATGCATGCGAATAAGTATATAAATAGGATTGCTTTCAGTATGTGAACGAAAAAGCATTTAATCCAAGTTTTTAATGCGGTTTCCTAGCCATAAATTTCTATAACGATGGTCAATGCCAAGATTCTCGCAATTTCTGTCCTATTATCCTTAACGGCCCTCTCCATCTCACCAGTGGTAGCAGACTCAAATGGATCCGTTCTTTGGGACCCCTCAGTGAACAATGAAATCAACACTTATGCCCGGGTCATTGAACTCCAGCATGCCGGTGATAAAAGTGGCAGGCTGTTAGCTACATGGGAGCATACGTACACATCTGGTCCAGATACGCGCAACGCGAGTGGACAAGCAGGGAAGTTTATAATTCGTCAAAGTGAAGATGGCAAGACTTGGAGAACTCTGACGACTGTCCATGATCCAACACGGGCATACACTCGATTTGAACAACCTTTCTTCTTCGAATTCCCCCACCAGATGGGTAAATATCCCGAAGGCACATTGTTTTTAGTCGGTAACCTTCTGCCGTCTAATGGATCGACAACCAACTTTTTCGCTTGGAGGTCCAAAGATCACGGTGCAACCTGGGATGCTGTGGGAGAATGGCAACACGGCGGCCCATCTCATTCAGGCATTTGGGAGCCTTTCCTTTACATTGATGATAAAGGCAGACTTGTGGCGGTATTTTCCGATGAACGAAATCACAAAGCACATAGCCAGATGCTAGTCAATATCGTTTCCGAAGACGGGGGCGATACTTGGAGTGATATCAGGATGGCTGTGGCTAGCCACGAGGTCAAAGACCGCCCAGGGATGGCTACAGTAGCAAAAATGGATAATGGGGAGTATATAATGAGCTATGAGTTCTGCGGGAACCCCCATTGTCCCGTGCATTTCAAAACCTCCAAAGATGGCCTCTCATGGGACCCAAGTGATACGGGAATTAGCATCAATACCGCTGACGGCATTCATCCCGTGCATAGTCCATACATGATCTGGGACCCGTCAACAAAGCAAGTCATTCTTTCATGCCATTACACATTGCTCAATTCCAACAATCAGGATGCCCCCGAAAATTCTCGCTCTGTCTTTCTCAACAAAAATTACGGCAGAGGCGAATGGTTTTGGGCTCCCAGCCCTTGGATTGTCCAAAGTAGCCTAAAACCACAACTCTGCAAAGCGAACTATAGTCCCGACTTGCTCCCAGTTTCGAATGGAGTGATTCGATATACAGCGCCGTCAGGCCAAGACAAAAGTAATTTTTGCTCAGAACGGACAGGAGAAGCACCTATCGGTGTTTTACCTTATACGGCGAACTTTACGGCCTCTGGCCAATCCGGTTGGATTGACTTTGGAGGAATTTGGGATGTATCGGGTGACGAGTATGGATTTCAGCCTTTCGGAGAGAGCAAAGATGCGATGGCTGTGACAGGATCAAGCGGATGGACCGATTATAAGATTGACGGTGATGTCATGATCATGGGCAGCTCTGGCTCAGTTGGCTTGAATTTCCGAATGTCTGCTTCTGACACAGGTCTCAACAAGTTGAAGGGATACGGGTTGGCCATTGAGAGTTCTACTGGGAACCTGACCACTTATCGGCATACAGAAAGCAAGACTGTCTTGCATTCGGAGGCTCATGCTGGAGGAATTCAGGGAAAGAAATGGTACCATTTGTCAGTGGCTGTGAAGTCTGATAGAATCACGGTGATGCTTGCCGAAGACCAGGGTGGTTCGAAGGCCACTACCTACACTGTCACTGACAGCAGCTTCACCCAGGGCATGGCAGGGGTCTCCGGAAACAATGGTGGCGGGAGATATAGGAACATTAAAATAACTAATTGACACCAGGTACCGACTGCTGATATGTAGTAGCAAATGCCAATTTGTGTTGTATACGCATGAGGAGAAGAAGCTGGCAGTTGAAAGCCGATTCCTAAAAAGAAGAATTTCTTATTATTAGCATATCGAGCCTTGGGCTAGAAAAACGATCGAAGGGAAGGGCGCCCATGATATAGACTTGGGAACACAGATTGACAGGAAGACTCTCATTCGATAAGATAAATATGTTACTTCAGCGGGTTCATTTTCTGCAATAATTAGGCCAATATTATGAGAAGCGGGTTGAAGAATATTAAATAAGCTCGTAAAAAGCACTGCGCCATAGAATTTGAACTCGACCACCAAGTCACAGCAATGTGGGTTTACATTGCGAGGATCAACACATGATATGGCGCATTCGAACGGATTTTGAATACTGTATTTTGCTCTGTCTTCGACTGGTCTACATCCTCATCATCTATTTCCAGTAGTAGGTCCAAACACTGATTTTCCAGATATTATCCGCGTCACTCTCAAGTTTGCTGTGTCCAGCGGCTCCAGAACAAACAAGAAGTGACATGAAATGCTCACCTCCGTTTTTTGAGTGCATTTCGTAGGCGTTTGGAAAGTTCCGCCATTCGACAAGCTTGCCTGCTCGCGCAGATTTAACTTGTTCCTTCAAAGCTTCTTCCAATGCATTGTTCCACGCGGTTTGACGTTTTTTAAATTCCTCCGTATATGTTTTACCACGAAATATGAGATCCAGGTCATGTAAACTGGCGAAACCAGAGCAAATAATGGCCACACCGCTTTCACGCAACTGATAAGTGCCTTACCCATAGCATGGTGAGTTGAGGGGTCCTCAGACCGTAGAACAGATAATTGGATGATCGGTATATCAGCCGAGGGATTGGCTAGCAGCATGGGAACAATGACACCATGGTCCCAACCTGGTAAGACCAGATCAGCATTGGGCCCTCAACTTTTCTTCCAGAAGGTCGCGCTATTTCGTATTTACTGACCTCGTTGTCCATCAAATTCCGGCGTAAGGCCTACGGCGCGCATATCATTCATTATCTCTTTCGCGATCCCAGGAGAGCCCGGCGCCGGATAATCAAGATTGTACGCCTGGTTTGGAAAGCCATCGTAACCGTAATACAGATTGTGCTTTTTACCGTTCGAAATAGTGGGATTTTCGGTAGACCGATGGGCAGTGATGACGATAATAGCTCTTGGCGCCTCAGGCGTGCCGAGCTTAAGTATTGCGGGGACCCTTTTGGTAAGAGAGAAATGGATATTCTTGTGTTCAGGGTCGTCGAGCAGCGGCAAAGGACCACCACCATGGGCGAGAACTATCACGGGAGCCCGCATAGCTGAGCTGAAAGACAAGGAATTTGTGCAGAAGTAATCTCAAATTATGTTTTGGCGAGAATTTCGTCTTTGAGCGGCAATGATTTATACTGCTTTTTTTGCTCGTCAACCATTGGCCTTTATTTGTTTGAAAAGTAGGTAGTGCTAGAATTATTTGCTGATTTCATCTGCGCTTATCCAGACCCATCGGAAAAGAGTCTGATTCTGAGCGCCTTCATTAAAGCGGCGGTACCTAGAATAGGAAAGCCCTGCATTGCATGGGAAATATGTTACGTATAGGTACATAGGTACTACAACCTTGGAAAATTCAACTTGAAGTTGGAAACTTGAATTCTTTTCGACTTCTCCCAAACTTGAATTGAAGGCCATCATGTCGCCATCTGGCCATACTAGTAGTATGATACAGTATAAATATCATGATGGTAGTATTGAGCATTGACTACTATTATACCTAGGTATAAATACTGTACCTAGGTATTGATCAACATACCAGGGTTCTCCATACCTAGGTAGTATATTTCTACACATACGGAATTTACCTAATTATACCTAGTTATTGTTATGTAAGGTATCTTTATTCAATGGCAATTAAAACCAATTCCTCTCTAATAGAACGTATTTTGCAAGGGAAAAAGATCCTCCAAAGTCCCTCCCCATGTCTCTTTAGTGAGACGACGGTACAAATATCGTAAGAAGACTATAGGACACTCGTCCGCGCCCCGGTATGGGCGAGCATTTGGGACAACTGAATCCGGCCATTCAGTTGGTTGACGAACCCAAAAAAGATCCACGACTTTGACGTTTTTCCCTTTAAAGGCTTTATAGTCTCTCATAGTATCCTCTTCGCCAAATTCAAGATTTGCCAGCATAGTAATAGCCATCTCATCAAGGACAAAGCAAACCATAGTCCATCCCAGCATAGGGGTAGGACAGTCCTCTTCATTCATAAAATTAAGCCCACGAAGTAATGATTTAAACTCTTCCCTGATACGATCATCTGAAGCACCTTCTAGGACTTCTTTATCTTGAACCACGTTAAGCTTGAAGCGGCGGGCTACTTCACCTCCATAGGCTGGTAGGCTATCGAGTAGATTGCGTTCAGTTACTTTCACTAGGTTTTCCATTGCCTCAGGCACTTTTTCAAGAACTGAAGAGGAATATTCTGTAACGAAGACCCAAAAACCCCATGTAGAAATACCACAAGGAACTTCATCCGGGTTTGTGGTGAGCTCTTGGTCACAGACTAGTTCCAGTAATTCGCGCACCCTATCAATCGGCCTATAAGAGAATTTTTCCCTGGATAATGCAGGAGCAGGACCGGCTTCAAGGAGACCATCCAGTTCGACCACAGATCGCAATGGCAGATCTGACGCCGTGCCTTGCCCAAAACAAATTGGTCTAAAATTGCGATACCTTGGGACTGGGCGAGTGGTGAGGGTGGGGTCTGGTGGGGTGGTTGGCCGAGGGGCGCTGCCGGGGGGCCGTCCACGGGTGCTCATGCTGGTTGGGCGCTAGTTCTCGAAACTTGAAACTCGAAACTCGAAACTTGGGAAATAAAAAAGCTCGAGGCAGAATCGATTGGTTAAGTATCTCTCAAAGGATGTCACCTGACTTCAGTCTCATTCTTGGCTGAGGGGAACAACGCAATGTTGATGACCATGTCATTGATACTCCTGCAGTACTGCGTATTTGTGTATTTATTTTTCTTTCTGTCTTTTTATATAAGCATCATAGCCATAGGATGAATATATACAATGCTAACTTCCTGCATTCCTATTTTTGAATTTAAACGAGGAGTTGTATTGGAGTTCAAGTTCAATTGTCAAAATGGCAAACTACTACTAATAGTAGTATTATAGAATACCTTAATTCGTAATTCTTTGTCAAAGTCTCACTAAATAGCCACGATCTTGCTAACTTCGACGATATTCTGCAATTTAAGTTGAAGTCAGCATAAAGCATACACAACTCTTGAAGGAATAGTAGTAAAATCCGAGCGAAAACACTTACCGGCTTGCCTTGCTTACTATCCGTTTCAAACGAAGTACTCTCATATTTCACTGACCCTTCAATCCCTCTCCCGCCGTCCTTAACATACCGCAAGTAATCTGGTGCACCAGGGAAATCCGTATTATCCGCAATCGCCAGCGAGCCCAACCTCCAGAGCCCCAAATCCTCAATGAGCTGCAGATCCGGGAGATAGAATTTCTCCCAGTGATCAAAGAATGCCATGTCAACACTGGTGACTGCCCCGTCAGTATGCAATTTCTTCAAAGAATCCGAGCCAGGTCCCTCCAGGACATGTACCACATCTGCGATGCCGGCCAGCTCGATGAGATCCCGCGACAGCGCGACCATTTTGGGGTCAAGCTCGAAAGTGTATACGTTCACGTCTGCGGGGACATTCTCGCCGTGGATATCGCGAAGTATAGCTCCCCACGCAATTGCCGATTTGCCGACGAACGTGCCAAATTCAAGGATTGTGCGGGGCGCGGGTTGCTGTGCTTCTAGCTGAGCGCGGGCTGCGTCGAGTTTCTTGTCTTTAAAGATCATCATGTGGCCCTTTTCGGAGGCGAAGGTGTCGATTGCGTTGGCTAGAGCCCAGGGATTGTTGGTGAAGGTGGAGGCTGGCTGGGTGAAGATGTATTCGCGGAGCTCATCGGCTCGCTGGGAGAATACGTCTTGGAGATTTGAGGGGGGCATCTTTGAGAGTTGGGTACTAGTGATGCTCCAAATAGAAAGGGAGGACTGGAGATAGTATATGCTGATAGGAATTAAGGCGAGACCTGAGAGGAAGAGGAGAGCTCGGTGGTGTTGAAAGAACATGACGAGTGTTTCCGAGCTCCTTTTATATGGCGGGAGAGCTAGGAAGATACATTGTTAGATCTATCTTATATCACCATCGGCGTTAATGGGGATGTACGCAAGCTGATCTTCCGGTGGGGGCATGTTGGGAATTGTCTCCGAGCGTATAACGCTGGCCTAGAGATACTTTCAAAGAGTCGATTTTGAGCGTCCAATTGATGTGTACGATGTTGATATACACTTTGCAAGAAACTGTGTTTATTCAAATTTATAGGATGTCTAGGTATAATGATACTGATAAATTCCTTGAGATTGTATAGATCGGTGGTTCATCTCCGAGGCTTAAGACCGAGGCGTAGGGCGGAATGTCGGCCTTGAATTCCTGATATGGATCGCTCGGCCGACCCTAAGTAGATCTTCAGCGAAAGAGACCCGGAAATGTAGAATGATGATGATGACGGCTTAAAAATTAGCAGTTTGATAAAAGAAGGTAAGTTGGTTTCAAAAATTGATCGGCAAATTGATTAGGTAATTTGAGCGTAGCTTGATGTGGATACATCCAGACATGTAGCAATGAGTGGTGTTGTCCAACATGCCGATAAACCAAAAAAGAGTATTGAATTGTATGAAAAAATATCGGTTCTCCGTGGTCTTATAGCCAGATATTATGTCCATATATACTTTTGGCTCTTCCAATTGTTTTGATCAAAGGGAACTACTTACCCTGAAAGCCTGGAATAGTAGACGGCAATATTAAAAACCATGCACTTGACTGCAGCACATGTACGCATGTCGAGTCGGAGTAAAACAATATGGTAATTCGCAACCAAAGAAATGACGAGATGCTCATTCCAAGGTTCTCATCCACTTTCGCATTTGAGAAACTGCGTAGACTTCTGGTGACAACCGTGCATGTGCACCGGAGAAATGCTCCGTATACAATGACAAGGCACAGAAGACATCAAACGATTGAGATTCAAGTTGCATGACTGTCAACTTGCATTTTCAGGTCGAAATATTGCGACTTCTCAGTCGATTTTTGGTCACAGATGAGCTCAGCGATTTGAAACATGCGGGAGGAATCCTTGATCTTCATCCTTTTTCATCGAGCTCCACGCTCGATGCTGGACGCTGCATTCTCTGTGACCTAAGTGTGATCCTTGCAAGTTCGGTCCTATGGCCCGGCCCCAGGGTGACTTTTGACCAGATAAACTCCGAAAGGAATGGAGTAAACCCGCCAGACTCAATCGACTAAGGACCGGTGACAATTAAGCATGAGAAAGGTCGGGGGCGATGGGGGGTAAAAAGGTCCGTGACGGAAGATCTCCGGCCTAGCCTTACGGTGTAGTCGAGATTTCATCATCGGGCAATGGTGGAGCAGAGTCACGAACTAGAGGAAATGCCCTTTTTCTTCTCGTTTTTCTCCTGTCAGGGTGATGGACTTCCGTTCGGTTGTTGGTGCCCCATTTAACCTTAACTGGTTCCATCTGGGGAATCTGCTAGCCGCCATGTCTAAATCGACATGATGTCCCCCTTCAGTATGGCATACTTGATGCATTTAGGGCTAATCCGATCATGATTCCCCGTCAACTGTCCACCATTCTCTGCAATCCTCCACTAGCTTCTTGCTCTGCCATAGCCCCGGCCAAAATGATGAAATCCTCTCTTCTTGGTCCATGTTTAAAGGGGAAATTAAGTGCGAATTGGGGGCCATTCACATTTTTTGACCGGTCGCACACGCACTCCGCCTATCCCCGGCCCTGGGTGGTCCGATATGTTCTCACGCGGTTGCTATTGCCATTAGCCCCCACTATACAGCACACGGAGTTCCTATCGTATGCTGAGACGGAGATTCGCCTAGTTTCACCGACTGGAACGCGGAACAAAATCAACCGTTGGCTGAGAAGCATGCAGAAGGCATTCCCTGCCTGCTGATCGGGGGCCATTTATCAGTAAGCTCATAGACCCACCGCCGAGCACGGCTTAATTGATTGTTGTCTCAGCTCGATGGGGAACAGACGCAGGGTTTGCCCGAATGGAGAAGCTATTCCCAGTACTACTCCGTATTTCATTGCCGATCCGTATCCCACAATTCTCCACTCAGTGCGCTCTGGTATTCTATTTTCTTTACTTCTTTTTTTCCTTGCCACGCCGAAGTTATTATTTCGCTCGCTTTTCCTTATCCACGTCTCCAACGTGCCAGTGGGCCTGACTACGGAGCCCTACGGAATGCATACTATGTAGTTTTCTTTTCTTATGTACTCCGAGTTCATTCTCGGCAAGTGGGGAGGGGAAAAGAAACTCTGAAAGGATTCAAGCAATCACATACCATATAATATGCAATCACATACCATATAATATGGAAACTCGCCCCCATTTAAATACAAAAAAACCTCGGTAATAACACTGCTTACGGCAGACGTGTGAGATCAATTCCCAGTCTGACTGCCCCGACTCGTCAGTCCGCAGTCAGCCTTGATCCTCCGAGTCTTGACTGGATGGGGACACGCATCAGGATTCTTAGTTCGTTAGCATTTCGTGCTAGCTCTGCGGCTGGTGGTCCCCCCGCACAGCCTCAGTCAGGACTATTGGTCTGGCTAGTGGTGGATTTACATGCATAGTTTAGTGTACAAGCTGCGTGCCCTCGTTGTGAGGTGTCTACTCTGTAGCTGTCCGGAATAAGTATGTACATGTCTATACGGTCTGTGGAGAGGAGGGTCTTACAAATGTGTAATTACTACATAACACATCGCTAAAGCTAAATACCACGGGGAATAATGGACGCCTTAAACTCGGTGTTTGGCTATGGTAGCAAGAATTCCAAATCAGTGAGGATTGCACTTGACCCCTTCCCTTCATACCGAACAGAGGGTTCAGTGATCCAAGCAGTCCATAGCCCCAGGGCTATTCCTGGAAATGAAGGTCCGTCGATCGTTCGCAAAGACTGCACATCCTTTATGGAGACCGGACACCGAACATAAAACCGCCTTGCCAATGACTCGCTTCCGGGAGTTTGGATCGGAATTTTGTACCGAAATTATCTGGGGTCTAATTGCTTTCAGGATTCCGACTCTTGTTCTAGCCTTACTCTTGACGCGTGGCTTTAAAAAGTTTTTGGGATCTGAGGGCATATTTCTAGAATTTCTGCATGCATCCAGTGCAGTGGATCATGATTGAGGGTCTCCGAGATGCAAGATTCGTCAGAGGCTTTTTCACTGTAGATTTGACGGAGATCGGTTTAACCTTTTTTATGTTTCCCCGTCCCTGTTTCATTTACATCTGGGCTCTTGAGACGTGTCAACCTTGGAAGTGACCACTGCTACTACTAGTAGGACATGTGCAATGTATTCTGTAGTATAATGTATATTGTATAATGCTATTATGTACATGTAGATCGTAAATCATACCCCAGCCCTCGAAGCCCGGACCTTTATAACGGGGAGAGAAGAAGAAAAAAAGAAAAAGGAAACCATATCAACACAGTATTCCGAATAAAATCGAAACCCAATCGAATAAAATCATCAATGTAGACCCCACCAACACCAAGCATGACAAAACGGGCCAAAATCAAGTTTCCAGCCCAACCCAACCCTCAACCCAAAAGGAAAAAAAAGCGACAAGTCCTCGGAATACCGTCCTCAAAGCAAACACCGATGCTACCGCCAGTACATCCCCTCAGTCTCAATACTGGATACTGGATACTTGACCAGCCTAATTATCCACCCCCACCAACGAAGCTAACCGACACCCTCCATGAGCAAGAGCAAGAATACCCTCATTCAGCCCCCACTCCCGTAATGCCACATCCTCACCCTCCTCCCCAAGCCCGATGCGATCCTCACGCTCAAAGTGTCGCCCAACATGCTCCATCCGCGCATCCCAGCTCCCCTCCCCACTAAACACTTCTTGACAGAACCCGCAACGACTTTGCTGCGGCGCCTGCCGGAGTTCGAACCAGCATCGACGCCGGACTTCGTCGAGACTTGTCTCGAAGGCGGCTTTTTCGCTGTCGCTGGGTGTGCGTCGCGTTGTTGTTATCCAAGGTGCGTGCATTCGGCGGTGATGTTGGGTGAAGAGGTCTTTGCGGTTGAAGTCGTTTGGTTGGACGGGTGGTGAGGTGGTTGTGGTTATGTTTGGTGGCTGAGGGCTGGAGTGGGTGTGCATACTGCATTTGCCCACGTCGCATCTGTAGAAACCGAGTTGGAGGTGTTGGGAGGTGACATGTCGTTTCCATTCATTTTTTGAGACGAAGGTGCTTTCGCAGCCGTAGGGGGCAAAACTACACACGAAGGTGCGTGTATTGCTGTTCTCGCCGGCACCGGCTCCAGCGCCAGCGCCAGCGCTGGTTGCGCCTCGTCGGCGGGTGCGGCCTTGTGTGGAGGTCGGTCGTTTCTTGGATCCTTTGCGAATTCGCGATGTTGATGTTGTTGAGGCCGCAGGTGTGGAAGTACTAGGTTGGCGGCTGCTGGAGCGCCGGTCCGAAGAAGGGAATGCTATGCCCTCGACGGGGACTGGAGAGGGCCATGATTGATCGGGTGTGACGTTACGGTCTGATTGACTGCCGGACCAAGTGTCAAAATCTGGTTCATAGGGAGAACGGTGATCAGGTTGGATCTCGAATATGCGTGGTTTTGCTCGTAAGAGGGAGTGGTCGAGACTTGTGGTTGTAGTTTCGACGAGTCCATCCGGGGCGGGATAGCTGGTCTGATCATCAACTCCAGTGATTGCCATTGTTCTAGTGTCCTCCTGCCGGAAACTTGGGGACGCAAGGCAATTCATCGCAGGCACGCTGCCGCTGTTGCTGCTGAGCGGACTTTGCGGGTCGGAGATAGTGGAGATACCGCTATTCCAGGGCGAAAGGCGATCGGTGTAGGTCAAGTCTGGAGTCATGTAGCCCATTGCGAAAGATTGTTCTTCGCCCTTCCACCATGGCTGCGGGGTGAGAATAGCATCGCCGGCCTTCGCCTGTTCGTCCGTAGGGGACAGTTGGTATTGGAAATGCGCTGCGCGGGTGACAAATGGGTGATCGGCGGGTAGTGAGGAGTCGTAGGCCTCGGAGTAGGACGGGTGAGAGACACCTGTCATAGGGATAATGTGGGGGTTATTTGTGAATTGCGTGTAGGAGTCCATGTTGCCCAGTGTTGGATGGATCTTTAGGGTAACACAGACTACTAGGTGCTGGGGAGGGATAATAGGGTTCCGGGATCAGGGGAAAAGGAACCGGGGACGGTATATATAACGGATTTTGGGCAGCGCAAGGTGAAAGCGAGCTTTCCCCCGAGCCATGCTGGCGGGTCCAGTGCGTTGCATCAATACGGAGAAGTGACTGAGTACCAAAACAGCATGATGGCCCTTCAGGTGGGGTGGATCCGTGGGGCGGAAAATGAGCCTCAACGAAGCCCCAAACGTGGGTCGAGGAGGTGTGGGAAAACTAAACCTGAGTAATTTGACGGGCTGAATCAGGAGCCCGCTTAGCGAATGAGTGAGGAAGCGCGTCGCAGCTGAATAGGGCCGATATGTTTGCATCAATGTGGGCGACAGAGGGCTGTGATGGCGATCATAGAGCTAACCCGCAACGAGGGTGAGTCAATGTCAAGCAGACACAGAAAATCAAAACCCAAGATAAAAAACACATTTTTCTTTCTGTTTCTTCTTTAGAAACTCTCTTGACGACAGCACCAGTCAAGAGGACCGAAAACGGTAAGATAAATGCACTAGACCACATCAGTTTGGACCCCAAACTCAAGACCCACGACTCTGTCGATCTCGAGTCATGCCCACATTAGCTTGCTGCTAAGTGTATGCATCCCAGAATGGTGGGATTGCATACCTGTCGAGAGTAGTTAGCCCAACTAACTTAATGAAGCAGACAATGCGAAATTAGGGCAAACTTCTTCCCATTCTGGGCTCCTCGAGGATCGGGATACGAATAGGGTTCCCCGTGTTGATCGGCCGTTGCATCATCAATGCTTTTTCTGCCCTTTTTCCTTTTTCCTTTTTCCTTTTTCCTTTTTCCTTTTTCCTTTTTCCTTTTTCCTTTTTCCTTTTCCCCTTTCTGCTAAGGCGTCCAAGTTCCCGTCGACCTGACAAATAGTCCCGACTCGGCTGTTGTGGATCCACTAGACAACGGGGATCATGAAGCCAATTGTAGCCATGGCATAGCGAGAATCTAGTCTGAAGCGAGTCGGCGTCTGTCGTGACCAGCTTGTCGGTTCCTCTAGTTCGTAGGTGTAGAGTGTACGGAGTAGAGTGTAGAGAAATTTACCAATCTTGCGTTATTGGATTTTGCGTGCCCCTGGTTCGAATCCTTCCAGTCTGAATTGGGTTTCATTAGCCGAGTTGTGCGAAACCCCTGGCAGCTGTTATCGTTATGCTGAAACCATCGTCATGATTTTGTCAGGCTCAACTCCGCGGATCTGGAAATGGATCTGGATGGGATGGGAATAGCATCAGAGTTCAGTTCGGCCCCCACGGCGGGTCAGCGTTGAACCTTGGTAAATTCGGAAAATCATTTCAAATCATCGGCCCCCACCTCCCGATGACACCCGGTGGGCCTGACTGCTTCGACTTCACACTGCCTTTAATTGCACATTGCACACTGCCCCAGAGAGTCTAATCCAATCGTAGGAGGCAGTCCTAATTGGTCTTGGCTGATTGGACCCATCTCTCCCGAACCAGCCTGAGCGTTTGGGAAATGAATGCTAGGCCCCAAGAGCTGCCAAATTCGATCAAGATTTGTGCTTATGCAGCCAGGGGATGCGTGTCTCTGTTTTCCTATCTCATACAAGTGCGCCCCATTCAGAAATTCTTCAACATAATTCTATAGGCTATGATAAACTGAAGCGAACAGAATATAAAAAAATTCCCCTAAATTTCATTCGCCTCTTCACTCTTCCTTCACCTTGCGGGACCATTTCTTCGGGACCCGAGCTAACCAGTATAGCAAGAGGGCACCCAAGATATTGACTCCGATGTAGACAAAGAGAAGTCCAATGTTTCGCCAGTGGTCCGAAAACTTGATGTTTAGCTGAAGCAAGAACTGGTCTGCGTTTGTGATAGAGCAAATTTCACAACCCGATGTCGCGTTCCCGTTAAACACCTTGGCTTGCGCGAACTCCGCGTACTCGCCCAGATATTCAATACAGGTTTGACCCGTCGGTGGATCGACCTTCAGCAATTCGATGTCTGAGCAGGTCGCGTCGCTTCCAGATAGGCCGGTAGATAGGACTGCCGAGACAAGATACGTAAAGGGTGACACTCGATACATGAAGATCCAGAACTTTCCTAATTTGGCTGGACTCGCCAAAACACTGGGTAAGGCTGTTAGCGAGATTCTCCGAGGTTCAACCTGCCCCACAGACCGTCGGGGTAGTAGGTAGATTCTCCAGAATGTCCGGAGTACTCCGCACACCAAGGGTTACAATGAAATGCGAAGGCGATGACTTACCCGTTGAAAATCAAACACAGAGAAAACATCAACTGTGCGATATTACTACCGGTTTCCGGTTGTTCAATACCGGCAATAATCATCGAACTGAATGTTGAGGTGAACATCAAAAATATCAAGATCAGGAGGAACATGGTACCGCCTCGATCTGTCACCTCGCCCGCCGGAGCGTTGCGATACAGCCCGATCGGGTAGTACCATGAGAAGTACACAGGTAGCGCCATGATGATGTTCCAGGGAAGCTCGACGAAGATACTAGCCAACATGAAGGATTTCCAGGAGTATGCCTTAGACGGTCGCTCGCGCACCTCGTAGAGTGAGCGCTGGGTGCAGAAACTGGGCATCATCTGTTGGACGAGATTGGGGAAGATGACTAGCAGCATGAAGATGGCAAACATCTGATTTTGGAGACCTTGTTGAGTGTTTGGCATTCGCCAGAAGGTGAAACCGATGAAAATGGGCTAATCGATGGTTAGTGGGGAAATTAGATCAAAGAGCCACTGCAACAAGAATACGTACTGGAAAAACACACATGGCGGTCTTGGAATAGAGATATCCGGGGCTGCGGTAGTACTGCTGGAACATCCGTCGGATACAAATGAGGAACTGGTACCAGAGAGGGGTTGCAAATTCCCCATATCCAGCTGTTGGGGGAGGAACTGGCTTCTGTCGTAGTTCAGATTTCATGTCGGCTAATTCCTGCTTGACTTGGGCTCTTTCTGGGCTTTCCAGCCAAACTTCTGCCCAGTCACGATCCGCATGAGAGCCAGGAGCAGCACCAATCACCTCAAGCATCCATTCGGCGGGATTAGCGTTCTTTGGACAATCGATAGAGCCCTTGTTCTCAAAATATTTGATCAGGGTTTGCATGCGCGGTCCGAGATCACCAAAGTACACAGTGCGTCCACCTTTCGCTAAGAAAAGTAGCCGGTCAAATTGGGACATCAACATAGCCGAGGGCTGATGAATCGTACACAGAACCGCTTGACCGTGATCGGCAAGCTTCCGCATCAAACTGCAGATCGACCAGGCAGTTTGACTATCGAGACCAGAGGTGGGTTCGTCAAAGAAGAGAAGCAGGTCAGGTTTGGCCGCAATTTCAACACCGATGGTTAATCGTTTGCGTTGTTCCACATTGAGACCCTCGCCCAGAACACCCACGACAGCCTCAGCGTACTCCTCCATTCCAAGCATCTTGATAACTTCTTCCACATAAGCTATCTTCTCCGCGTATGGAATATTGCTTGGCTGTCGAAGAAGGGCACTGAAAACGAGAGCCTCGCGAACGGTGCTTGTCTCGAGATGCAAATCTTGCTGCTGCACATATCCGGTCTTTCGCTGGAATGAGCCATCCCGTGGTCGTCCGTCGACAAGCATATCACCAGTGATGACACCCATCGTGACACGATTTGCCAAGACATCCAGTAAGGATGTTTTGCCTGCGCCAGTAACACCCATCAGAGCCGTCAAGGTTCCGGGCTTCACCCATCCGTCCACGCGGTCCAGGATGCGGCGATTTTCACCCTTGATCTTGATATCGTAGCAAACCTCTTCCCAATGGAAGATCGCGGTCTGTTTGATAATAGCCGCCGCTCCATCGCTCTCCTTATCCACGATCTCATGCTTTTCGGTCGAAGGTGCAGCCTCGGAGTCCTCCTGGCGGGCCTTCTTGGCAAAAGCCGGAATCTTGCCTCGTGGGAATACCAAAACCTCGCCCTTGGAAGGCTTGGCCCGAATGTATTCGCTCGAAACAACGTAGATGGCCAAAAATCCGAAGAAGAATGCAACCAGAATGCCAAAGTTTCTCCACAAGTGCTGCTTGTAATAGTTGAAAGTAGTGTTGATGTAAGTGTCTCCGTCAATGTAGTTGTCACCGGCAAAAGCTCCCTTCTGCGAGCAGATCCTCGACCCTTGCGGTGCTGAATCGTAGGAACCACCGGATGGTATATAAGTGGAGCAAGGGAAATGACGTCCGCTAAACTCGTTGACAATCAAGCCTTCAAAGGCGTACTAAACATATGCGGTTAATATGGCTTCTTTCAGGAGATAACGGAAATACTCACAGCAATTGGATTCAAATAATTCAGCCACCGGAACCATGGATGCATGTCTCTGACTGGAATAGTGAATCCAGTGTATATAACCAAAATCATCATGAAAATCGAAGCAGGGACCATTGCTTGAGCCATCGAGCGAGATATAGCACCGATGGATCGGAAAATGTTAGACATTACGAGAGTTGTCGAAAACGAGAACAGGAAGAAAATAAAGAAGTGACCAGCAGTGCGTCGAAGATGCGGGACGAAGTAGATGATAATGTTAAATGCGATAGCAATCATCACTTTCGACGGCAGCTCAACGATGTAAGACCCGATAGCCTCGGCGGATGGGTGATAAAGGGCATATTTATAGTGCTTTTCAACAATTGGTCGTTGTTGCCAAAGAGTCAGAAGTTCCAGCGAAGAAGCAAAAGCGTTCATCAGAATAGCGAAGAACAGAAGCGCTCCACGCTGAAAGAAGCTGTCGGTATTGTTCTCCAAATTCAAAAAGACGGTAGAGATTATAACGCCCAAGACACTGTTTCCAATTACAGAGGCAATGGTCATACTCATGTCGCCTTGCAACCGCAAAAATCCTCGCCACAAGCACAAACGAGCCTGCATGTAGTACGAGATTGTGTATGGAGAGGAGGCCCTGTTAGCCTTGGATTTTTCGGCCGCACGAGAACGAGAGAATGCGTCGAACTGATCTCCTTTGAGTGGGTACTGGTCATGTTGGGTTTGGATCTCTTGGAGAAGGTGCTTCCGTTCCTCACTCTCTTTCCAGCGCTTGGCGAACTCGTCTGCGGTGCGCGGCACGAGATGCTCAAAGCCCGGACGGACTCGACGCTCCGAGGGACTAGAAAGGGAGGTAAGGAAGTCGGCATCGGTTTGTCTGTCAGGGCATTCAAATCCCATGTCGATAAAGAAACGACGGGCATCGGTGGACTTGCCAAAGTAAATCTGGCGACCCTCGTAGAGCACCACGGCCTTGTCAAAAACGTCATAGATCGACTGACTAGCCTGATATATAGCGACGACAGCGGTAGCACCGCTGTATTGCGTAGAAAGACGGATATTTTTCACGAATTCCAAGGCCGTGGAGCTGTCCAAGCCACGGGTACTATTATCCCAGCATTGCAGGGGACTACCACAAAGGGTGATCTCGGCAATACTGACACGCTTACGCTCACCACCTGACACACCACGGATGTACTCGTTGCCCACTTTGGTGTTCATGGTATGCGAGAGCCCCAGCATGGCCATGACCACATCTCGCTTATGCAGGGCAAACTGGTCCCGGGATACCCAGGGGGTCGATTGGACGGGGTGCGTGCATGGGAGGCAAAGAGAAGGGTATCACCCACGCTCAACTGCGGGAAGTGGATTTCTGTCTCTGCCTGGTAGATGACCTCGCCGCGGAATCGGGAGTGCATTTCATCCCAGGATATACCCTGATACTGCACATCGGCACCATCGTCGATGTACAGACCGTGGGTTTCACCGGCAATTGTTTTCAGCAAGGTCGTACACCCACTGTTGCAGATTATCAGTCCAGTTCTCAATTTCCCACGAACCTGTTCTCGAGGCACACAAAGCTTGACTTACCTGCCTGGGCGACCCAGCACGACGAGCATCTCACCGGCGTGGACCATACCTTCAAAGTCGCGCAAGATATCAATGCGGACTTTCTTTCCGTAGCCGACCCGAGCCTTGGCCCAGTTGAACATCTTCAACCAGGCATTACCAAAGGTGATCTGGTAATCGGCACCGGAACCGTAGCCAAAGACATTGAGATTGCGAAAAGAGACACCGGCGGTGCGCTTAGGGTAACGGTCCGAGTCGCGGGTCATCTGGAGCATATTGCGGACCCATTTCAACGAGCTGAATTGATCGGAATTGGGATCTAGCGAAGCATCCTGGGTGGGATCGAGGAAAGTATTAATCGGGTCATTTTGGCTATTGACGGAGCTCGGCTTTTGAGAAAGATTGGAGAAGGAGCGAGCTATGGTGGTGATATCTTTATGCCTGGTTTCATCTTCGACGGCCGGAGTGGGAGTATCTTCCTCGGAGACTTCATCGGAGGTAGTATACTCCTCAGCATGGTGACTGATTATGTGTGTGGTAGCTGCATCATGCTCCGAGGTAGCTGGAGCTGGAGGCTGATGGGCAGCCATGGTGACTATGAAAGTACCTTATGTGAGGAGATTCCCATGGGTGAGACCGGTGTACAGGCGCAATAAGTTTTCGGTGAGGTAAAAGAAGACGAGGATAAGGAGAGAAAGAAAGAGAGAAAGAGATGGGAGGAAGAGAAAGAGAAGGATGAGATGACGCCAAGGCCATCGAAATTACGCTTTTGGGCAAGAACGGATCGCGGATCGCGGAAACTGGACCATCCGATGGAAGGCGCGATGGATACATTCACTTTACTCCGTAGTAGTAGTAGTAGTATTACTAGTATACTCTACAGTATTATGGGGGCCTTATTGTAGATGTACTTCTCCCCCCATACATTTCACTGCTGCCCCTCCCAGTACTTCTACTTGATCACGAGACCATCACCACTCCCACTCCCTCTTCTCACCTCCCCTTCTACTTCACACTCTTCTATCCAACATCATCCTTGACCTCCCTTGACTTCGACTTTCGCTCTCCTGGCCACTCGCAAAGCACATGGAATCCGAAACCTTAACTCATCGCATGTCATTCAAAATATGTCTCCCGTCACTCTAATTGGCCCCGTATTCGCGTATACGCCCCACCATCGCCCCACGCCCCCAGTCTGCATTGACTGTTTTGGGGACAGCTCCGACTTGCGCCGTTGCTCTTTGGTTCTTTGATCCCTCGTATCCTGGTACACTTCCAGGATTTGGAGTGGCAGTCGGCCTGAACGACGGACGTATCCTGGTCCTAACAAACACATATCCCCCCTTTCACTCGTCCTCTGCTGACTGCCTTACTGCTTACGGCGGATGGCGAACAGGGCTGGCCTATCGGCTTCAAGCTTTCCGATATATCGACACACCGTTATATTTTCTTCTTTCACCTCACTCGGGACTACATCTCATCTACTTCCGATTCTACCTTCCAATCCGCTCCCGACCCGGTCACTCACTCATTCCACTACCTTCACTCGGCACGGCTCATCCACTTCCACTGCCCCTGAACGTGATTCCTAATCGAACTCACGTTTGCGTTAGGCCCGCAGCACGATCTGTCTCCACGACGCACGGTCCGAATCTTCAGCCACACCCGCCCCTTGAGCTTGTCCATGGCCATAGCCAGAGCCATAGCCATGACCCTCTCCTTGTGCTTGTCCTACACCTTGACCCGGCAGCACTTCCTCCCGCAGCCGGACCGCCTGTGTGGCGCGGAGGACCTTACCCCGACCGGAAATGGCCTCGGCGGCAATCTGTCCGTACGAGTGACCAGCCACATGGAACGCAGTTTCAAATCCATCGCGTGGCGCCTCGCCCAAGAACGATCGCGATCCGTATCGGTCAGTCACAGCGTAGAAACGCCAGACAGCAGTCTCCGTGTCGCCGTTCCAGGATACATACACCGACGTTCCAGAGGAAGTCTTCTCGGCGACCAGGGAGGGCTCTTCATTCGGTTTTCCGGTCCAGTTATACTTGAACGCCCGGTAGTTCTCGACACCCTCGCCTAGAGAGCCGGAGTCCATGTACGCGTGGAAAATAGGCGTGCCGTCTGATCGGAATTCAGTGACCGCGCCTTCAGATCCCCAGTTGACGAGCGCGTTTCCATTCGAGAGCAGCTGGGTGCTACCTTGGGACTTGGCCAGAAGACCGTCTGGGGGCTGGAACGCCTGAACGACGGAGGCCTTCCAGGTGGCCGTGTTGACGGAGATGATCTTGCCTTGGGAGAATGGGTGCGTGTGGACTTCGTGGCCGCGGTGATTCTCGGTTCCGTGGGCGGAGTTGTCGAACAGCGAGATGATTTCCTCGTCGCCGTCCCGGGAGACATATCGGGCATGATGCTGGAAGCAGAATGCAACGTTCGGTCCGAGCTCGAAGTCTGAGCGGAGCCCGCCTAACCGCCAGATGATTTCACCGGTGGTTCCGTTGATCTTGTGCACGGCACAGGCGTCACGAGCGGAGATGAGGTAGTCGCCAAAGACGTCCTTGTCGACAGAATTGATATGGAAATAATCCCATGCATCCGACGAGTTGTAGCCGGAGCCGGCCTGGCCAGGGTTTAGAGGGAGAATAGCCTCTGCTCTTGGTTAGTACATATACGGTGAGAGCGATATTGTAGCGTTGAACAGAGACTTACCATCAGGAGTGACATGATCGAGGCTGGACCACTCGAAGAGCAATTCGCCTGTCTCGATATCCAATTCTATCACACGTTAACACTAACCCAAAATTGACTGACTGACAGTGTCAAATATCAAGAATCAAGGATCAAGACCTACCCTGGAAGATGGCATCGACAATCCACTGCTGTTCGGAGCTACCACCCCACCGACTCAGATCTGTGGGGAGAGGCTGATAAACCTGGAGCAAAGCCGTTTTCTCATTGATGATATGAAACTCATGCTTATCCATAAGTTTATGATTACCAGCGCGCAACTCACGAATTGTCTCATAGTTCTGATCCAGAAGGGTCGCATGGCCATGACCATGACCATACGCCGGGTTATGGTCCCCTTCAAAACTGAACAGCACGTCCTGGCCCTTCCATCTGGCAGCCTGGAAATTGGTCGCCCAGATCGAGTAGTAAGTATAGCCGGACCAGATGAGTTCGCCATCATCTCGGAAGATATACGGAGCCTCCTGTCGGGGTCCGTGGAACTGGGGCTCGGCCCACTGGCCCGGGAACGGGGCGACGAAGAGGTAACCCTTGTCGGTGTCGTGGGCGGCGGGGATGGTGATGTTCAGACGAGGCGGGGCCAGGTCGGTTCGCGACTTGAATTGCCAATCTGCGGCGGCGAGGGGTGCCAGTGCAGTCACGTAGGTGATGGCTGGTAGGAGCTTCATCTTCATAGTGAAGGGGGCTTGGGGTTGAGGTTGCCAGACCAGGGATCAGTTTCCATGATGGCGGTCATGTTTTGCCAGCATAGGGTACATTAACCTTAGGTGGGTATTCTGCACTGAGAGGTCTTCGACGCTCTTCAAGTTGTAGAATTGTTTCAAGTTACTACTGGAGGTGGTACTAGTATACTAGTGGTAGTAGTAGTAGTAGTAGTAGTAGTAGATGGTGGGATGGACACAGCGGGAAGCAGATATTTATACATGGGAGTATTAGTACTACTAGTACTTTGTCAACACGTCATTTTCTTCAGTCTGGTGCAATAAAAGTATCCAAGGTTAAGTTCAGTTCCTAATTACTCCGTACTCCGCAATCCACCATCCCACTTGTCAATTGCCAGTGAAGTTCAAGTGATGAGAGCGAATCCACAAATGTCGTGCTTGGCGATGCTCACTTCTCCTTCCCAATCGAGTCCCCGCCTTCCTCTCTTCGCATTTACATTGGCTACAGAATTTTCTAAACTTCCGAGAACTTTCGGTTTGCGAACTCGGCAGTGCCAGTGCCAAGAACGAATTTGAATTACTTGAAATCTCCGAGTCTTCAATTTTCATCTTCCAACTTGAAGGTTCAACTTGAAGTTCCCACAATTCGATACCCGCCATGGCAGTCATTGAAGACCCTGAGATGTCGAACCCGACCCCAACAGAAGACCAGCCTCTTCTTCCTTCCGATCCAAGCGACGACTGGCGACCTGGTCATGGCTTTCTCTGGATTCAGTTCGGTATGTACAAATGACCCCGCGCGGGGGAGTTGGGGGGAAGTGGAAGTTGAAGTTGAAGTTGCGGCCAACAACCCAGCCTAGTGGGAATACTAGGAGACTTGAACTTGAATCAAACTAACAACTTCTCTCAGCGATCATGTCAAATGTCTTCCTCTCCGGATTCGACGGTACAATCACCGCATCCACCTACGCAATCATAAGTTCCGAGTTTAACGCCGCCAACACGGCTTCATGGTTGACAACCTCCTACCTAATCACCAGCACCGCATTTCAACCTTTATACGGTCGCTTCTCGGACATTCTCGGTCGCAGGGCTTGTTTCTTTACTGCGACAATTACCTTTTTGTTCGGGTGTTTGGGGTGCGCTGTTGCGAAGGATATTCTCTTCCTCAATCTCATGCGTGCATTGACTGGTGTGGGCGGAGGTGGTTTGATGACGATGGGTATGTTTTTTCCCCCTTCTCCCTCTCGCGCTGATTGAATGATCTCGCTTGTCTAACATGGTATGACCAGCGACTATTGTCAATTCGGATCTTATTCCCTTTCGCCGGCGGGGAATGTATCAAGCCGTGCAGAACGGCTCTTATGGATTCGGTGCTATCTGCGGTGCATCGTTCGGTGGGGCCATTGTTGACTCCATTGGTTGGCGGTGGTGTTTTCTTGTACAAGTTCCTGTCTCGCTGATGGTGCTGGTTCTGGGCCACTTTGTTCTCAAATTCCCCGCGAAACAGCAACATGAGCATGACCCGGCCCAGCAGAGCCAAGGCATCTGGCAGAAGATTGATCTGTCTGGCGCTTGTTTGCTTGTTCTGGCCCTATCGGCTCAACTTGTGGGCCTTAGCTTGGGTGGCAATGAGCTTCCTTGGAGTAATCTCTGGGTTATTCTGTCCCTGGTTGCTAGTGTGGTCTTCCTCGCGCTCTTCGTCTATGTCGAGGCGAATACCAAGGCCGTTCCTCTGATTCCTCTCAAGATGCTCCGTGGAGTCCTCCCAGTCTCGACTCAAATTGCCAATGTCTGCGTGGGAATGGCTGCGTATGCTGTTAGTTTTACCGTGGCTGAAGAATATTTGTGTCGCTTGTGGCTAACTTCTCCGATCATAGTTCCTCTTCACTATCCCGCTACTTTTCCAAGTCATTTTGCTAGATAGTCCTACGAAAGCCGGTGCGCGACTCGTCATTCCATCCCTCGCTACCCCTCTCGGCGGCCTGATTTCCGGAGTCGTGATGTCCCGCTGGGGAAAATTGGCCTGGCTCGTACGCACCGGTGCAGGACTGATGTTCATCGGTAACCTCCTCGTCACGCTACTCCGTTTCGATGATTCGCAGTGGAAATACTTCGCGTACATCATCCCAGCCAACCTCGGACAAGGCATCGTTTATCCGGGCATCTTGTTCACTTTCTTAGCTGCGTTTGACCATTCCGGTAAGTCGGCCATCATTACCACCACCTTGTTAATCACGAGTCATGAGTGCGTCTATGGAGACACTAGACACTAACCAACATCCACAGACCACGCCGTCTCCGCCTCAACCGTCTACCTCATCCGCTCCCTCGGAACAGTTTGGGGCGTGGCGATTACCTCCGCCATTATTCAGAATACACTGAGCTCAGGCCTCGCCGAGGCCTTGAGTGAAATACCAGATAAATGGAAAGTACAATTCCTTCCGCGAACCACTATGAGAATAAACATCGTGTGATGAAAGAACGTCGCTGACCATGATTCTTTTCTCTCTTTTACTAGGTGATCGACGAAATCCGTCACTCTGTTTCGGCAATCCACGATCTACCCCCAGACACACAAATGGCCGTGCGCCTCGTCTACTATCGCGGAATTCGCCTTTCGTTTGGCGCGTCCGCTTCTTTCGGCTTCATCGCTACCTTCGCTGCCCTTTTCACTCGTGGGAAGGGCTTGGAGCGAGCTGCTGGAGGCTAGAGGGTATGCGAGGTTGCTCTTCTCAGAGCCTCACGCATTCCTTTAGCGGCTCTTTCACGGTGAGGAAAGGTCCGTTAATAAGTGTTTCGGTAAGTCGGTATTTGGCCCCAATACGCGCAGGTCTGCTTTTGCGTGACCTAGCGAGCTGGAGTTGGGAAAGTCGGGGAGTCCTTTCATGTCGATGATGGCTTAGGTCTGATTCGGCAGGAGGGTCTCGACTTGGCAGGTGGTTATGGTGTACTAGATTGATAGATATTGGAGTTAGAGTATTTAGATGGTGAAACAGAGTGGTCCTCCTCCCAGTCTCCCTCCCTGCGAGGTTGGAGAGGTGAAGCTGGAATGGGGATCCAGTTGTGGAATAAAAAAATGATTGAATTTAGAGCCAGCTTTGTGGATTGTACTCCTAGATTCTATCTTCTTGATTCAGGGAAGCCTGCGAATAAGTTGCTGTGCTTTTTCACGGCAGTATAGTATGAGGCATCTGGGAAGCAAGGCTCTAGAAGTGCAACTACTAGTATGGTTTAGCCATTGCTGGTAACTCGGATACTAGGATCCATTGATTTGAAAGAGTCAGGCTCTTCGTTTGCATTGGTTGGTACCAATAATAGTACTAACTAGTAACTATGTACTTCTAGATACTGAGGTAGGCATATCCCAACTTGAATCAAACAAAGAAATTCAGCATCTATTCCCAATGTTTTTAATTGGTCGTGAGGACCGCCACGCTAAGGTTGGGCAGCTTGAAGCTGAATTCTCCCTTTTTGCCGGCCTTGATCGTGGTCGTCTTGCTGTTCACGATGTTCGCGCCACCCACCTCATTCATGGAGAGGGCGTTCGGTGCGGTCAAGATCGTCAAGTCCGCCTTGGTACCTCGTCCGACTCCTGTGAAGGTCAGTGATACCGGAACATCCTCGGTGCTGTTGTAAACGGCGGCCTTGAAGATGCGCGAATTGCTCTTGCTGTCTAGACCAGTGGCGTAGTACAGTGGACCAAAGGCATCTTCAGAGGTGGCTGGGAGAGTGTTTGTCATGTGGTTCTTGTTGAAGAGCTAATATAGTCAGTGAGTGGATGTGTCTCAAGTGAGGGAGTTTGACTAGACGTACATCATAGACATGGAAGCTGGTTGACCTGGCGGTATCATCAGGGTTGGCATTGAAGGAGATCATAGTCGGGGACCATTGGTAGGCGTCCAGATTCATCAGGAATGGAGCCTAGGATTTGTTAGTGAGATTCCTTACTGCGAATTAGTTTCCGCCAGGATTTCGATTTCTCACATAGGTTGTTCCAATAATCTTGTCTGCGTTCCGCTCAGCTCCCAAAAGGAAAACTGCCTCGGAGACAGAGGCAATCCACCATGGGTACAAAGAGAAGTTGGTGTCACTCCAGTCGATACCTTCGCCGTTGTTGAACTCGGTGGCGGCAATCTCACCGAGAAGAATGGGGTGATCGGGACTGTAACTGTCGAACATATCGAACTTGGTGACAAAGTTGTCCGGAATATCGTACAGGTGGTAATCACCACCAGCCTTTCCCTCGAGAGTCATATCGATAGTTGAAGCCAGAACCTGGATATCGGGATACTTCTTCGTGATGGCATCGTAAAATGCGGCGAATCGGTAGGACTTGTAAGAGGCCAGTCCATTGTTGAGATTATCCTCGTTTCCGACCTCGACGTATTTGATCGTCCATGGCTCGGGGTGTCCGTATTCAGCACGCAGGGCGCCGTATTTTGTATCCACCGATCCAGTTAGGAATTCTAGCTCATCCAAGGCGTCTTGCACGTAGAAGTCAAGCTCATCTTCCGGAACCAAATCTCCATTAAGAGCCATGCCGGCCCAAACAGCAAGGACTACATCCACCCTGATTAGTATCGTTCGGTATTATTGACACTGGTAGGATAGATAGCTTACTGGGCTCCATGCCAAGGTCATCACACCATTCCATATACTCAACCAGACCAAAGCCGCTGGTTTCTTCGTATTGCCAGGTCGTGGCACGGCCAGGGCGATCCTTGAGAGGTCCGATCGTCTCATTCCACTTCCAGCGGCCCTCGATGGTGTCTCCTTCCAGGTTGTTTCCTCCCGGGAACCGGAGGAACTTCTATCGTCGACATAAGCGATTGTAAATGGAGAATGGTATCAGAATGTTGTAATAACTCACAGGGCCAAGGTCCTTCAATGCCTGCATCAGGTCGCGTCGCATGCCATTGGGACGATTATTCCAGGTCGGCGGGAACAGACTGATCAAGTTGAAGTCAAGATAGCCAGCCTTTGCTTTCTATTCAGGTTTATGGTTAGTCATTGCTCATAGATATTACGTTCTAATGAGTCTCACCGATCCATCAAATGATACCGAGAATGTGTTGTTAGTATCAGATGCCGTAGTCTTTGCCGTAATAGTAAACTCGTGTTGCACCCATTTGCCAGCGACACTCTTAGAGTTCACCTTGGTGCTAGCCAGTGTTTTTCCGCTGGATGAAGTGAGAGACGCAGTAAAAGAGCCAGAGTAGGAACCCTTGACATAGAAGGATCCCGAATATTTCTGAGGTCGCACGTCGATACCCCAGAATCCCGCATTGCTAAGACCTGCAGTGCCGCTCCCCTTGACCCGCACTGAGGTGGGGAGAGCAGAGGACAGTGGATCACTGAGATTCTGCAGAGACAACGACGATCCGCCAACAGCTGTCCAAGGATCCAGAGATGATGGGAACTTAGAACTGCCTTGGAATGCTCGGTTGCGGATCAGCTCTGCGTACAGGCCACCTTCGCCGCAATGGTTAATTTCCTGGAATAAGGTTGGTCAATATGAGCTAGAATGTTTCACACAGGTCAACGTACCTCTTCCATTGCTCCATATTGCAAATTGGTAGTAGCGTTACCGCCCGACTTCGCAACTGAAATAGTCACAGCCGCGCTGCAGGAAGCCAGCAGGGGCAAGAGGAGATATCGTTGCAACATGACTCAATCAAAAGTGAGGACAGATGCAAACCGCGCTGATCCTACCCAAAATGAACCGCAGACACATTGACACGAGGAGGTCGCATCGCGAGTATTTATGCCTGTCGATTCCCAGCCACGAGCAATGCCTATTCTGCGGGACAATTTACCCTTGCTTGAGGCCAAGCCCACCCCCTCATAGTCCGAGATCATGATCTGGGAGGGGGTGAGTAGTATCGGAGACGATCATTTCCGAAGACAAAACATAGCTCTGCTGCTAGTTGAGAATTGCCGATGTTGAATTAGCCGCATCGGGCAGATTTCCGTGAGGAGTGCTCCGGCCACCGTGAAACCCCTCTAAGTATGGGGAAACATCGGCAGAACTGGTTAGTGCTGCACGCTAAGTGTGATCCCTGTGCGCTCGGGGGATTCATGGTTGGTGACGTGCGTACTACTAGGTGTGAGGAAAGGGCCAAGGTCGAGAGTGGGATTGAAGTTACATGGCAGAGGTGGCGGTTATCGTGAGCTGTTGGTGTGTGGTATTGTTGCTAATGATTTTCGTCAGCGCCATGCGAGACAAATAGCCTGCAGGTCCTGTTGGGAAGTGTTGTGATTGATGGGTAAAATGAGCCTGCTTTCTCCGCATCTCCGCATCTGCAGAGCCTCCACTTTTCGGTACCTGGCCTGATCCAAGAATGTTACGTGATGTCAGTTTAGCCGGGAGTCGTGATGTAAGTATTAATATGAGGGGTACGAATTTAATGGAAAGAGACAATTTCGAGATAATAATACTGACTTAACCAAATGCACTGTGTCTTCTATCTTGGATGATTTCAAGTTATAAAGCCAGATCTTGCATCTTCCCCTGCGGAATAGTATTCAATACTCGATTCACAAATTATCTTAAGGACACGTAAAAAACACAACTTGGAAGCGGGATTTCCGGCTATTTAAATGATCAGGTAATTGCGCTGATATCCCGAAGTCCTTGAACACAGATATAGTTACTATTGGCCAAGGAGTTAATTTACAACATGTTGCCACTATTGCTCCACCCCATCAGTCTCACCAATCCGCACTACATACTTGACAGCAGATGCCTTCCCAGCCTGCAAATCCAGCATTGCTCCCTGAAGCCCAGCCAATCCGCCAGGACGTACTTCATACGGATGTCCGGAGAACCATCCCTGTGCCAAGCCCCGCCCCATGAGCTGATAGAAAGCAGCTGCAAACTCCGCATCTTCGATTGTCTTCCCTGATGAAGGTGGGAAGTGAATGTACCCGACAACTGCGTGAGTGACAGAAATTCCCTCAGGCTGGTAATCGATACCAGGCATCATAAGAGTGAGCTGCCCGGGTGCGGTCATGACAGGGCCAATATTCAGCCAGCTGTCTTTCTCCGACACTGCATCGACGGCATGATGAATAGGTCTTCCGCCCGCGGCAGCTTTGATCTTTTCTCTTATAATGTCATCGTCTTGGCGATAATCGATGATTGTATCGCCTTTCTTGCGATCAATCAAAGTCTCGACAAATGCGCTGCCTCTACCCGCGACGACGATCAACGGGTGAATGTTGGATAGTTGAGCAAATTTAATGGCAAAAGCTCCGACCGCAGTCGCTCCACCGTAAATCACATATGGAAGTGGCTCGCTTGTAGGGTTCCAGGGGAGAGGTAGGTTTGAACGTTGGAACATTCCGACAGCCGCAGTCATTGCAGCCAGTGGGATTGTTGACGCCTCTGGCTGTGGTTTAGAAACGTTTTCTCAGTTTAACATCGTCGAAAACTACTACTTACCCTCGAATGATGTCTTCTCGGGAATATGAAAAGTCGAAACACTAGGGGCGATCGCATATTCTGCCCAGCTTCCGTGTGGTTTCATCACCTGGTGAAATGCAGCGACCTTATCACCCTTGTGAAATCCTAGGACGCCATCGCCTACTGCCTCTATATATCCGGCAATATCGTCACCCTGATTAAAAAGAGCGCCATCCGGGGGCCAGCTAAGAGCCATTTTCCAGTCTTTCGGGTTGGATCCCGACACCACCACACGGATTAGAACCTGGCCGGCCTCGGGAACGGGGATTTCGGTGTCGCGGATGGTCACCGCAAGGTGTTTGTCAATAAATGCTTCTCTCATAATGTAAGGATAGAAACACAGTGTGAAAGTATTGTCTTTTGTTTGTTTGGCAAACAATGTGGTGACGAGGAGGTAAATATAGGGGAGTCGGAGATTGCGGCGTTAACCTGGGGCGTACAATTAGGCCACCACATCGTCAAAACACGGAGATAAAGCAGCCAAGTTGACCCGTGGCACAGTTTTTCAGCCGTCTGCGAATTACTGACAATAAATAGTAAGGTGGCAGAGGCAGATATGGTCAAATTAAGTACATTTGAGTGCGTTATACTCGGGTATAAAGAGACAGACATCAACCAACATTGTAGCATTAAACGAAACAACTAAGCATGGGGAAAGTAAGAGAGACACTAGTATGAGAGACAACCTCAGACTAAATACATGAGGGATTTTAACCCTAATATGCGATATTACTAGGCCTGTTTCGGCTCCCAACGTTCCTATTACTTGGCATAGTAGCTAGCAAGTTTAACGACGATGCGCCCTCGAATACGCCCATTTTTTACTTGCCCCCATTTTCAAGCAGCCGAGTTAGCCACGTTAAGATGAACAGCCACAATGAATCACCGTTTTGCTTAGCTGATAAACATACTCTGTGGCAATGATTAGCCCCGGGTTGGCAACCACTTCATCTTCGATAGTTGCTTGGAGAGCAAGCATTTCTGGGGTGATGTTCTCTGAGTTGAAGACCTTGTCGGCAATAGGATCTGCCAATGCACCTAGAACACCACCAATAACACCCACAGCAGGCACAGGTATCCCTGACACCGCAGCACCCAGAACGCTGATAGCGATCGATAGATGCTTCTTGCTCTTCGTATCCTTTCTCTTTGCATCCTTACCAAACCGTATCACACCAGATAGACAAAGACCTGTTAAAATAGCCTGGTATCTTGTGAAATTTATATTTGCAAACAAGGAGGAACTGCACCCGGACCGATGTTGTTTAATTCAAAGAACAAATCTTGGGCAGTCGTACGAAATGGCCCTCTGTTATTATTCGCGCAATCCAACCAAAGACCAATCAGTCGGTGTGCTCCTTTCAGTGCCGAGCCTGCTGGATGATTACCTGGCGGGATTTGGGCTAGGACGCCTCTGATTGCGGCTTCTTCCACCACGTGCCTCAAAGCTTCATGATTGAAAAATGGACGACGAGTGATGGAGTCGATTTTCTCCAAGTCAGTGTCTGCGCGAAATACAGCCTCTCGGAAAAGTTCGCGCTGATCGTACAGTCCAGAAAGAACAGCCAGGGCAGATGCGCCAGACATTCGATAGATACTGAACGGGTGGAATGTCTCCTTCGTACCGTGGCTCAGAGTGTCTGCTGTTTTTCTTGCGCCACTTCGAACCAGGCGTCCAAACCTTTGACGAATTTTTGGGGTGGTTGATGTCTCTGCGGGAGCCAACCGTTTGGGTGCAGTGCCGAACTTGAAATCGAGCCTAACCTTCGCATTCGAGGTACCAAAATTGACGTTGATAAAATCATCAGCAACAGTCTCCATTGTATCAAGGCCCGGCGCAGGCCTATGTGGGCCAGGAATCACCCCAAGCCCGAGGACGGCCGGTGTTGTCGCTGGTGGAGGTGGTAGAGGCGGCGGTGCAGGAATATGCAAGGGAAGTAGGAAAGATGGCGTTGGCCCCGCAGGTGGCGCCGCAGGTAGTGGTGCAAGTATCGGGGGTGCTACAGCCAAAAGCTGGGAGCCTGTGTTTTGCAAATCTTGCAAGGCTCTGAGTGCCCTAAGCCGGCCCCCTTGGTGGTTTCCGGGGATTTTGGCACGTCCTTGCTTCAATCCAGGGTATTTTGGGATGAAGACCCGTCGGTGTGCATTATCCACTGAATCAACTATATTGCCTTGATTTACCAATCGGTCAATATTATAACCGCGTAGAATTTGATCGGGCGTCGCCATTTTATACGACTTGTGATCAACCGCGTGGTTATCTCCAGATAAGCTAATACGATAGAGGCGGTATCAGTATTGGCATCAACTTGACTTAAACCATAGAATGGAACAGAAGACTGATCGTAGTAGAAATTATCCATTAAATAGCAGTGAGAAATATTTTCTAAGACATAGTTCAGACGGTTCTAGACTCGTTTGGTGACGCATACCATCCAGATAACTTATTCAGAAAACTTCTTGTCTTGGCCTATTTGGCTCTTTGCGTCGAAACCTTACTCTCTATGATCCTCTAGGCCAGTCTGTAAGCCAATTAGCATAGCTTGCATTCTCGCCAACGGCTGGTGGGTTTACTCTCTTAATCGAAGCAAGGGAAACTCGAGTACAGTCACAAAATCTACATTTGCATCAATTTTAACTTTCGATGATTTTCGAGGAAAGAAAGAAACGAATCAAAATATCTAGGATAAAGTGACGTTACAACGGTTCCGCGGAGTTGGAGTTGGTCCGGGTGGCGGCAAAACTGCTCGACCTCGGCTTGTTACAGCAATATTCGATTGGAAAGACCCCACTGATGGTAGCGGTGAACTGGGATGAGAATCTTGACAGGGACAAGTTGCTACTACGGGCAGGGGCGAGTACTGATATGATCACGCCGTTAGGGGAGACTGTTATTTCAGAAATAGTATCGATCACACGATTTTGTGACCAAACGAATGTCCAAAAATTGGCATTCATTATCAACTACAACCCTGCGCTTGATAAAGATTCTCCCTCCCGGCATTCAAGGCTTGTCGATATTACTTCCACAGAAGCTCTAGTCAGAGCGGCCTTTCGAGGAAGAGGGATGACAGTCGAATTTTGCTCAAGCACGGCATGAGCAACAGATTTGATGAGGTCTTGGATTACGAAGTATGGTTAGAAGAAGGATGCGATGGGACCGTAAATGGTCTTTATTATAAACACAGCATATGCACGGGAACGGCGCTCGATTTCGCCTTTTTTGGGGCACATTATGCGAGGAGCAACTACCGCTTCAACTGCCGTAATAACCAAGGCGGAGACAGAGAACGAAACAGCAAAGGTTACTTTGGTAACTCTGTTTCGAGAATGTTGCACACAGAGGCAGAGCGCAATGCCAGTACCGCATATTGGGAATATCCAGGAATCATGAGAATGCTCCTTGATCATGGATTCAAGCGGACAAAGCCAAAAGAGATGGATTTTGAGCCAAGCTACAATGATGCAGTCAGCCTTTGGTCCTTCGACCCGATACCAGATGAGGAACACTGGGGTATTCTGTACGATTTACGAATACTTGATGACGACTGGGAGCAACAGGCTTTCGAAAAGGTCCTTGACAAACACCTCCTCTACGGTAAATTCGGAGATTGGCCTGCGTTGGCGAAACGTTGGCCGGAACTACAGAATGTTTTGAATGATAAAGCTAGCCACCAGAAACTTCTATTACGAGCCGAAAATCGGAGAGAAACGGTAGGTCATCCTCGCTCAATGGCCCTTAGGAATTCCAGCCTGATTCGTAACAACAGGAAAACCAACAATGGCGAGAACTGCGTAGGGAAAGAGAGATATGGGCAGAGAAAGAAAGAAACGAGAGGCGTGAAAAATTAAGAAAGGGGTTTCATTAGCACTCAATTCGTAACCCTTATTTTACCTAAACTCTTTAGCAATGTAAGCCGGGGGATCCGCTAGGAAACGAATTATGTGGAATTAGGGTATTCTCTTTCAGTACGGGAAAGAAAAGCTTTAGGGGTAGGGTAGAATTAAAAATTTTGAGGTAGCGTATAATTATTCTTAGGTCTTGTTCGACTGTAAATGTAAAGTCTCTTAATGTTGTGATACCATCCTCAAAAGTATAATCCATCTTAGATTCAGACGTACTATCCGGATCATCGTCACTGTGCTCCAACGTAATCTCCTCCGAGCTTGAATCATCAGTTTAGATCTTGCATTGAACTCGGATAAGATCCTCCGAGACTCCCTATCGGTCAAAAAAGCTCATGAGAGAGATCAAATCAGTGTCCGACGGTCTTATTCGTCGAATATGATCGAAGGATACTTGCCATGTAACCAGAATCGAATTCTTGGCCTCCGACCTCTCAATAGAGATGACCCGACTCATAATCATTTAGAATATCGGGGGTTTCCGCAGGCAGTCCAACTTTCCGTTGGACAAGCTCTACCGCCTCGGGCTTTTTCATTGGTTCGACTTTAATGATGTCCTGGTGATCGACAATTCTCAATGCTACCTCTTGGCTCCAACACGTGGTAATTATTGATCTGTTGGGGCTTTGGGGGAGAAATCCTAAGAGCGGCTTTGTCGAGGCGTTGGTTTGGCCGACCTTCAGACCCTGCTGACCTGTCACCAAGGGCTGGTGAAGGAACCCATTGTCATCAATATTATCAAGAATCAGCAACCACTTTCCTCTCTTGCCATCGTGGAGCCAGCTTTGAACGAGTTGGAATATGTTCACTTTGGGATCCTGGAGCCCGAACATTTTGACCTGGTCGGCGATATCCCGGAAACTTTGCTCAAACCGGACCGCGTTACTTGCATGGACCCAGAATACTATGTCGCCGATGATTGGGGTCGGGCTCAATAGGAGTATTCGATACTAAGTTGCGATTTACTGTGATTGTCAGCTCTGACCCACCCACTAACCTCCTTGCACTCACCGATACCACCGATGTCCACAAGAGCTATCCTGGATCTTGGGGCTGAGATCTTTCTATGTATGTCATCGAGCAGTGTGTCGCGACTGCCAAAGTCCGGGTCGCGGCGAAACGGGACGGTTGAGAGAGGGGCTGGTGGAGTTTCTCGTCGCTCTGGGTTAACGGTGATAAGTCTATTTCAGCTTGGTAGGGTCCTTATGAAACCTATCCGGGGGAAGATGGATCGATCCATTATTGATATTCACCTGCGTACCCCGGTTTTCACCAAAAGATATCGATAAAGATGCCATAGCTAACATGCGATGTAGACACTGCTTTGGATTCTACGGTAGAGGGAAGATCCAAACCCGGGCAGGGTGGCGGAGTTCATTCTCAATCTTACTATCAGGTGACTTTCTGGGCACTGATGTGTTCGGCGTTCAATTCTATCTTTAGAACAAGGTATTCACAGCTCTCTGAGCCATTCGAAACGAAGAAGCAGGGACTTCGGGCGTATTTTCTTGTGCCCTGAAACGAACGAAGTGAGAGAAAGGGAATTAATCAACCCAGATGTACGTGTGCGTGAGGCGTAGCAAAAAGAAGTGGCTTAACTATATGAACTGCTCTGTCACGCACGCCTCCCATTCGCCTTTGCAGCCCGCGGTACCTGCATTATTTTCGCTTTCTTTGGACTAGAGCGTATTGACTTAGGGTTATAGGGTTATTTGCGCATATTTATGCAAGTTGCGTTGCTTTCATTGATTCATCATCTGCTTGTCTCCTTCGATTTATTGCAACGCTGTACTGTTTATCACCACTATAATTTTCTCTTAATACATTGTCTCTTCCCTTTACCCCTCTTCTTTTGGACTTATGTTTCCGTCATGTTATCTAACCGGCTTCACTTTTCCACATGGCGATTAGCCCTTTTTCTGATCCTGTCCTCCATATACTACGTTCGCCCTGCGTTCCTGTATTGATTGTAGTCGCTGAGTATGCTTGTTATCATATACTTAACCACCGAGGTACCCTGCCTATCACTTGTTCGTCTACTTCCTGATATTGGCCCCCGTTCCTGTATGGGTTGCAACAATTAGACTGAGAAACACTTTATATGCCGATACACATGCACGATCTAAAACAGGCCAGGGAGACAGTAGATTTCGAAAACAGATTACCCCTTAGACACTCATGCTTTCTTTCCTAGTACCCCACTTAAATTACGCTAAATTAATTTTGGTCAGAGAAAGTCCCTACTATCTTTTTCTTGATGTATTTCTGGTAGATTACCAAAGTTACCGTAATTACATTTTCCGGCATTGGTTTGGGAGAGAACCGAATGAAACGTTTCCCGATCGCCGATCCGACGTTAGAAAGACGAATAGCTCCTGTGCCAAGGTCCTAAGGAAAGTTTATCGGGGTTTGGCAGAAATTCGAATCCTATTACCGGTTATATAGGTAGCTGTTATATACCATAGTAGGAGTTCGGGCATACGTATTATGGCCCTGTCTGGTCGCATTTTTCTTAACCCTACCACCTGTTATTATGGGTGCTGCTTCGGATGCTCTCTACTTTGCTCTTCATCCAAATCAATTAGGAGTGCTGGTTCAATAGTGGGTATAGAACTATACCTTAAATGCACTCCCTCGTAAAAGACTGCCGAAACTTGCTAATCCTAGGTCTGTCAATCCTACAGAAAACTACAATATGTTCCTATACACAAACGAGACGAAACGCAAGAGTTAGCAACAGCTAAAATCTGCTTTGAATTCTTGGATCAGACAGGTTGCAGCTTTAGCCCCGTTATTAAAGAGCTACACCCTAAGCTACTCTTGCCTGTATACGTATTTTACCTAATACTGCGTAGACTCGATACGATCGAAGATAATACATTAATTCCCTTCGATATTAAAGAGCTATTCCTTTGAAGCTTTAAAGATTATCTAGATTAAGATGGCTGGACGTTTACCGGTAATTGCCCAGAAGCAAAGGATCGCGTGCTACTGGTGCAGTTTAACCATATCATTGCCAAGTTCAGGAAATTAAAACCAACTTACCAAGTAATTATTAAGGATATCACCAAAGAATGGGGAATAGTATAGCTGATTTTGTGAGAAAGGCAGCTCTCGGGGATGTAAGCGTAAGTTCTGTGGAGGAGTATAACCTCTATTACTAGTATGTAGCCGGAATCGTTGGCGAGGGTTTGACTTACCTCTTTGTCGAGGCCGAGATAGGCAAGAATACCCTAATCAATTACTTACTGTATAGATCAATAGGTCTACTCTTGCAGAAGAACAACATCATCCGCAATATTCGTAAAGATTTCGATAACGGTCGCCGGTTCTAGCCTAGAGAAATCTGGTCTAATTACGTCGATAAGTTTAAAAATCTGTTCGAACCTAAGTATCTCAGGAACGCGCTTAATTACAGCTCTGAGATGGTTTTAAATGCTATAAAATATATATTGAAAGATGGGAATGCTCGTAGGCAGTCTGCGTTGGCAGACGGGTCGATCGCGAAGAGACAACACCACCACACTCGCAGAGTGCCAGGAGACGATAGGCAAGCGTGACACTATAGAGAATTAACAGAACGAACAACAGAACGAATAACAGAACCTTTCCTAAGCAGTATACCGATAACGCAACCTCAGTAACCTCAGTAGAACATTTTCATAAGGGGGAACATGCATGTTGAATTGATAATCTAGAACAAAAAGTATTTATCCTTCTTGAACTAAACAGCAGCCTTGTTGCTAAGGCCGTAATCACATGACTCTGAGATACCGATGTTGAGAGCAGGAATCCCCACTAACTAACTACAATATTTAATACTTTGTCATATCTTACAGGCTTACGTAAACAGAGCGTATTCAACTTTTACGTAATTCCATCAACTATAGCTTTGGCTACGCTAGAGTTATGTTTTCGCAATCCGGTGATTTTTAAGGAGATGCATTACAGTTGATGGTTAAGTCTAGTCAGGATCTTGAAGGTGTGGTAAAGGTCTTTTGTTATTATTTTCGTCGAATTCAACGAAAGAACGACCCCGAGGATCCGAATTTCTTAAGAATTAGTATTGTATGTGAAGAGGTTAGTATTTCTATAACTAACCGATGAAGAATTATTGACTATAGCTAACTCAATAAGATTGAGAAATTTGCCGAGACTCTAGCACTTAAGAGTGGTAAGCTGGCTGAAAAAAAGACCGAAGGAAAGGAGCATCCGGCTGTATCTAATACCGGACAAGTAATTACTGCTTTGGCAGTTGCCTCAATCTTTGTATTAGGGGTTTCCTGGCTCATAGCTCATAGAACTTCGCTTTAATTTTGCTTGAGCTTCTACTAGATAGGCAGAAACTTGGAGTAGAAATAGACACAGGGGATACAGGGCCGCTCGAAATCAGCTTCACCTGTTTATTCTTTTCGAAACTTTTAGAAACCTTATCTTGCATTGCACTATACCGGGGTATTCTCATACAAGTGTAAATAAATGAATAAAAATAGATTCCGTAACGTGCTGTAAGGATGATTTTGTTTTCTAGAACAAACTTATTGCTAACAAGTCAAACAATGCAGTCGGTTGTTTGGTCACCTCTGCAGCTTGCATTCCGACATTCAACCATCTCCAGTTTGGAGGGAGGGAGCCGAGGCGCCATTTGCGCAGGATCGCTGGAGGTTGACCATTGTGTCGTTGGCACAACGGTGGAGAACGGTTTTCTCTATGCTCACCCCGCTCACCCCTCTGATCAGGGAGCGGACGAAATGATGCCCTGAAACGAAGGAACGGAGTGGAAGGGTTTACAAACCCTGGGTGCTTGAGGCTGATTGGAGGCTGCTTGACGCTGTGACTGACACGGTCTAATTTCGTGCGACGCCCCGCTCATATTGGTCAGGTACTTGGGAATGCACGTGATGCACGCCTCTCGCGTGTTTGTTTTTCCGCTTCATGATCGTTCCAGGCAGTACATATCGCGTGCGAGAACGTGCGTCCCAGTTTTTCAGCAATTCATAGCGTGACATTGTCAAGTCACATGCAGTACTCTTACTGTTGCAAGCTGAAAATGCGCCTCACGTAGCACAGCTAGTTGCAGGGGTCGCACGAGTACGACTATGGCCTATCATCCTAAATTCTCTTATGGAAAGATCGACAATTCTCAGCCCAGCTGCTTCAACACCTGTGTAACTTGATTAATGTATCCACGCCGCTATGTAGTTCAAAAAAAATTATCACGAAGTATAATAATATATCTATCAAAAGGATTTGTGACGTTTGTCTGCAGATATATTTGCGGTTGATCAGCAGTGACTGCCAACTCTAAGCCGCCAGGTTCTATCACGTTCCAGGGTAATCACCGATAAGGCAACTTACGTTATTGGATTAGTCGGTGTGAGCATGGAATCTCGGTCAAGCTCTCAAGTGTCTTCTTCTGTTACACATAGGAAACTCCTTGCATATATTATGCATATCCTTGCTATCTAGCTAGATACGTAAGTACATATATGCTTATGACGTAGATATACATGTATTATCGGCTGGCAAGAGTACATATCACTCGTACTCTTAGCTTTCTCAATTTATTATAAATTGAACCTGTTGTCCTTCCCAGAAGATACATAAGATATCACCAGGCCTAAGAGAGACTCCTTTATTTTATCGCTAAGTTCAGTCGAGACCCTAGGCCCAATATGGTATGTATCTAATATTGTCTGGCAATCGATCCTACATAGCTCGATTATGCTAGATAAATCGTCTTTATTTCAGTCATGATCTCATATATTATACAGAAAGTTAGACCTCTTCAGGATAGGATTGTTGTCAAAAGTAAAATTGAAGGCGAAGCGTTGAGAGGAGGACTTGTCATACCGGACTCGGCAAGGGAGAAGCCTATTGAGGGGACAGTTGTGGCAGTCGGTAATCGCAAGGCCCTCGAAGACGGGAGCGTTCAAAAGATGGACATCAAGGAAGGCGATACAGTCCTTTACGGGAAGGTACAAAATCCTCCCACGATAGAGCTGAACTTGTTTACGCTGATACTTTACGAAGTACTCCGGGTCTGAGATCAAAATAGACGGGGAGGAATATGTCATACTTCGAGAGGATGAGTGAGTTACTTCTTTGGATATGCAAGGCTTCCATATTAACCATATATTAGCGTATTGGGTGTCATTGATAGTTAATGGGGGCTACAGTGGTAGAAAGGATGGATGGATGATGTTGCAAGCTGAGCTAGGGGGGCATGCCGGTTGATGCCTTGTATTCAAGGCCTATACCCATGCTTGCATTTAACCTTTAAAACACGCAATCCCAGCTGCTGTGGTACACCCTATAAGATGCGAACTCGTGAACACGTTTTCTCAAAAGATCTCGAAATCCTTGGATCAAGTCACTCATTAGAAACCTTATAGGCAAATTTGTATGTAAGCTTCATGCGGGGTAACAAGTCATAAATACAGCCAAATCTCCCGCATTACAGCAATACACAGTTCTACAATATTGCAATTTAACGTGTATATTTCTATATCAGAGCTACATGCTGTATAGCCTTGTTTGGCTTTATTTTTCTATCTGAATTAGTAGAACTGCAACAGATGTAGAACAAATATATATATTTAAGCCGTAGCTTGCTTCACCATATTAAACCTAAGAACATCAAAAATAAATTACCGTAAAAATTTTTGGAATTTCTAAAATTTGTCTGCACTACTCAGTGCATACCGCGTGCGAGAGCGCGCGTCCCAGTGGTGCTTTGAAACGAAGTGGAAGGGGTTACAAACCGTGGGTCTGCGCGAGGCTGACTTGTCGCTGGGTTGACGCTTGGATTTACAGCATTACAGCATACCAAAATCGCGCCAAGCCTGTTTCTCATTGGTCTGGTACTTGACCCTTCACGTGTTGCTGTCCTTGCGTGGTCGCCTCTACTGTGCACACGTATCTTTTCCTGCCAGGTTCATCCTGGTCTCTATTATTTTCTTAGAAAAAAATTGTTCTTTCGGCTTTCTCTTACTTTATTCGCTCGTTTCATTTTCTCCAACCCCCCCCGGTGTGAAGAGTTTTCTCTAATGTTAGGTTTATCTGCTCTGTTTCACTTTCTACTGCCCCTATACTGCAGTGAATATCTCATCGTTTCAGGGCCTCGGCGTGCGACAGCGCGCGTCCCCAGTCAGGTAACTTACATTTCCATTATAACGCATTGGGGTGATATGTAGCCTAACCGAATTTAGCATAAGCCGTTTCACCATTGTCTTGGCGCTGGAGCTTGAAATAGTTTCTCTGTGCAAAGCATGGAAGCCAATTTCGAATATTGCTGTAGCACGAGAGTTTGGTTGAGCTGGTTTTCACTCATCTTTCTCGTACTTTGCACAAAGAGAATTCTGAGTTGTTTGGTTCATTGGTCTGGTGATCTGATGTTTAAAACTAGCTCTGGGTGAAGCTAATCCGTACTGCTCGATAGTTTGCTCGTTGCTCACCTGCCCAGCGTGGGCATCATATAGTATACAGGTCGTAGATGCAGTGAAAGAATGTAACTTGAAGGTCCTAAGGGACTCGGGGCTATTGCTATCTTCAATTTGGGGCGATATCTATCAGTTACCAGCTTCTTTCAGAGAATAATTGAGGTGAAAATTTTAAAATTATGAAAACATATTAAATACGACCGTAGTGTATCATAGATGGTTGTCATGCCGAGCTCAACCAAGATAGATTTCCCACCAAGTTTAGTAATAGTGAGGAAAGTAATCACAGGAGAAGGAATAATAGAGGGAAGAAAAGCGGACAGATAGAGCTATGCAGGGCCAAGAATGTATATCCATCGGCCTGGTCAATGGCAGCATGTCACTTGTGATATAGGTGGCACAGCTTCACAATAGCGATTCCATCAATGAATGAAATGTTACGAATGGCCCTACAGGATCCAGTTACCAGTAGACTATGGGTAGCCCAGGGACCTCTCCATCCGCACTTTAGCTTGCAAGTTGGCCAACAAGCTCCTAGGTCTTCACTCAACACACGGTATGCCCAAGTTTACTGAGAGCTTTCCCTTGTGTTTTTGTTATAACCTGAAGCTTTTAGTTGATGGTAAAATCCTGCTAACGGGGTGTTTCTCACGTGCTAATCTATTAGGCAAAAAAGCTTAGCAAGATCGCTCCTATCTGATACTAGTAGCTATCGCTACAACGGCAGATATATAATAGAGATTCTTCAAGTTTGAGGCCATGCGCGCAACCTTAGGCCTGCGTGCCTAAGATCTCGATGGATTTGTTCCAGCGCTTTACATTTTTCAGCAACAAATTCATCACTTTAATAATATGGCGGCCTCGTTCAAAATTCCTTCTTTATAGCGAATCCTAATCGCGCTCGATGCGCTCGGGTCTCTGTCAGTACCCTCAAGTCGCGGTGAGATGATGTAGCCACGAGTAAAATCCGAAATTTGGGGTAGTAATTCTCGTTTGCATTGCACTCGGCATGAATTAGTATTGATTTCTAAAATTAATATCCATTAGACATGCGACCCTAGCAGTGGTTTTCCAGCAAATTTACCCTATGATTGGAGGAATGCGGGATGACCCCTCTTTCTGGATCCCCTTCTTTGCAGAGAATTTGCATCACGCGGGATAATTAGCACAGTTTTTGTTCAGCGCGTGTGCCTAAAGAGGTGATATTGATAGTGCACAGACATTAGTTCGGTCGAGTGGGCGAGCTAAGTCACCCCAAGTCACTAAAGATAGTAAAAGTGGGCGCTAAGAGACCGCCAATCACTGGCCCCTTCACACCTTCCCTGTGGCCCGAGCGATTCGTCACATCAACACCTCCTCTGATTTGTTGTGAGTCTAGTTAAGTCCTCCCAAATGAACCCAGCCCCGCTGTTCCTAGCAGAGCAAATTTGCTGGGCATTCGATTTCCCGACCAGGAGTTGACACTGGGCGACGCGCCCATTCCCCATTTGCACCAATTAACACGGTTTTTGGTCGCATTTTCGGCCCTCAATCATCATCCAAGACGAGCTAGTGGTGCCCAAGCCTGCAGTAGCTCCACCTGGCGACCATGAACAAGGATCGACTCTTCGTCATGCACATCCCCGGAGCCGGATACGCGCCCACTCGATTATATAGAGCTTTCTCACGGCCCGGGCACTTGATAGGAGTTCGCGTCTTTCTTTTCGTCATATTCATTCGTGTGCTTCATGCTCTGGTAGCGGTAGTATTTTCTTACCACTTGTTTTGAACCTTTTTGACCCGTTGATCGGTGTCGATGCATTTTCCTACTATTTGAAGATACCCATTAGAGCCTCTCGCGGTACCCGCACTCACTCCTACGGCTTTTCTTACCTTGTTTTTATCTTTTTGTCTCGAAATTCAACTAAATATTCAGGTGGATCCACAAAATGACAGAATTTGTTCGCCCACCTCGATTTCCGCCCGTCCGGCAGGCCCGGGGACGGTACTTAATACTATAATCGAAGATACTCGCGAGATCCTCGGTGAAAAGGGCGCTGGCAGCCCTCCTCACACAACCAAGCCAGCGATCAGCCCCAAGTTGACGCTGAAGACCAAAGGACTCTCCGTCCCGACACACGCTCGACTCGCACGTTTAATGTCGCCTCTTTCAGCGGAAACAACTTCCTCGTGCTCCGATACGGAATGGCAAGAACAGATGCAGGGCTTCGACGATCTATATGATGCCACAGATGAAGAAGATATGGACGACGACCATTCCACCGACATCAGTGTTAGTGACAGCTGCTTTTCCGCGCCAGGAACTAGGCCCTCCAGCTTGGTGACACCAATTACCCGGAATTCCGTGACCTCGACGGGGAGTAACCGCAAACGCGCGCTGACTCTCGATATCCCATCGTCGCCGTCGGCATGGCACTCCGTGAACGCGACATGCAAGTTGAACTCCCCCATTCCTCCGACTCCTCCGCCAAAGATTCCAGTTTCGCCCGCGGCACTCTCGATGCTCGCTCGATCAGTACCTGCTTCTCATGCCCCGCCCTCGCTTGATGGCAGTATATCCTCCGACCAGGAGTCTAATCTCAGTGCACTCGCTACCCCGGATACCCACTCGCTTCCGGACACGAACTGGGATGTGCATGATATCCATGTTCGACCTGATCTGGATGAAAGTGATCGTGGTGACCTGCAAAGCGAAGGCTCCAGTCCTAATCTTGAGGAAGTTCCAATTGCCCTTGAGAGTCCCCATCCGGACTGGAGGAATGTTCTCGGCCAGTTCCCTCAAATCCCTTCGACTTTGGCAAATGATGCGACGGAGGAGCTATCTCGGGAGCCAACTCCGTCGGATGGCGGACTCTTCCTACCTGATAGTGCGCTGGCTATGCTTCAGCATATTCCTCTCAATGGTACACCCGAGGCATGGTCTGAGACATCATCAAGTAACGATGAGATGTGGCAGCTTCAAGCACCTCCTAGTCGACCACGCAGTGCCGAGGGAGCTACCCCGGCTTCGGAATTGTCATCGTACAGCTTCAGTGAACTGAGTATCCCTTCCCCAGGAGGATTCTTTGCTTCGCTTGCCCCGCGTGCCCGTCACACCTGGTCAATCCCGAATCACAATCATCCACCAACGTCCGCTACCGCCGAGGGCTTTTACAATCTGCCATGGCGTCAGGAGCAAGGTGAAATTGTCGAACAGGTGGTTGAATGGCCCGACCGTCCTGAAGAAGATGACCCAGACACTGCCATCCGCGATGATCCTCTGACTGCGATCCGGGTTCCCTGCGACACGCCGACTCAGGCTCAACACGCTCATCCTCGCGATAGCCCAATCAGTGCTACCTTCGAAGCAGTTCAAGAGATCCCTCGCTCAGCAAATGCCTATGAGTACGATGAGTGTTACGACAGAGACCTGCAGGACCGTGCTGCCGACAACCTTGACCGCACCAGTGTTTGGCTCGCGGCTCAAGCAACCTACATGTCTGCCTTGAATGAAACCAACCCTGTCAATGAGATCGAATCTCCCGAGGAGACTCCGGATATCGAATATGAAGAGGTCCTTCGCGATCCCGAGGCCGGCCCCAAGAAAGCAGTTCGTTTCGTGGAAGGTATACCAGAAGCTATCAGTCCTCGGCCACCTATACTATTTAGCAAGGATTCGATCTACTGGCGAGGGTTCCAATCCATTCGACAGCGAGCAGACAAGATGGATGGCTTCCTCCATCGCAACATGCGCTTTGATGCGATTCAATCATTCCGTTTGGGATTGGTCGACATGCACATAAATTGTCTGACGGGCAAATATGAGCTCGTCCGCGCTGAGCGACCAGCATACAAGGGCCCATTCTCAAAGGCGCCTCGCAACTCAATCATCACCACAGTCCTCGCTGAGAAGGCACAATTTTCAAAGCTTGAGAAGGAGCAGCTCGTCCTGGCACAGCTCTGTCAACCTATGTGGGCGATCGATGCTATGCGCTGCCTCAATGGCGGCAAACTACTTACCAGCCCTGCGGCGAAACAAGTCAATCGAAGCCGTCGGTCGTCAAAAAACACTGATGGACAGAAGCGACGTGCCATTCGGATCCTAGACCTCGGCGGTCATTCCTCTTGCGAGTGGGCCTGGCATGCTGCACATGAATTCCCCCATGCAAAGGTCTACTCTGCCGTTACGGAGACTCAGGTCGTGAACAGTGGCATCAAAGGCCCTCGCAACCACCGGACCGTCTCGGTAGCGAAGCTTTGGGAACTCCCATTCAAGAATAGCCAGTTCGATGTCATCAGCACACGCTCTTTGCACGCTCTTCTGAAGACCGAGTGTCCCGCTGGCCTTGACCGAGATGAGTACGACTTGGTCTTGAAGGAGTGCCGTCGATGCCTCAAGCCTGGCGGATACCTTGAATTCATGCTCTTGGATGCAGAGATATCCCATCCGGGTCCACTGGCCGCGGCATCATCGGTCGAGTTTGCTTTCAACCTCCGCACTCGCGGCTACGATCCTGCAGCATCGAAGAGCTTCCTTTCCCGACTGCGTGGTGGCGGCTTCGTTGACATCAAGCGCGCATGGATGTACCTACCCATGGGCATGGAGCCCAGCGAGCCGCAAATTCCACGCGAAGCTCCTGCCCCCGTGTACTGAGTCAGATCGAGGAGTATGAAGCTGTTCAGGGTCCGGTTGGTAGTACTGGGGATATTGCGAGTATTACCGGTATTTTGGGTGGGTGGATGTGGGAGCAGTGGCTTGTTCAGTTGCGGATGGAGATGGGTCGTGATCGACCGAAGCTGTTGGAGGGGATCGGGGCTATGTTCGATGAAGGGCGGAAGAATGGTGCAGGCTGGACCTGTTTATCTGGATGGGCTATGAAGCCGAAGCGGAGACGTGTCTCTCACCAGTAGGGTGAGGTGAACGATTTATGGATGTTGATACCCTAGCTACTTGTGCCCAGGTGGCCGCCTAATGTAATTCGAGATGAGAGATGCCAAATCTAAGCTCCAAAGTTCTATATCAACTGTATCTAGCGTAGGTGAGTTTACTCTGTAAATAGATCCATATCCTCTGCGATCTAACATCAGTCTCAGAAATTCCATTGGCGGGAGTCTCGCACGATTAGTACATAAAAACTCCAGGTCTCTAAGACTATCACAATGCAGTCTAATTCCACGTCTGTGTTTAGTGTTCATAGTGTTCCACATCTCGCCCGAGTCATACATAGTCAGCAATGCAAGCCACTCGGGCCGGACTGGCAATCAACTAACCCTCTTGGCATTTCCCAGACTCAATTCTGAAGAAATGCACCGGGGGAAATGACTCAAAATCTCACGATGTCAATGTCAAAAGATCTGCAATACGCCATGACGGAGATCTCATATCTTCCAACGGCAGGTGTACCGTGGCGTAGGGCGATTGTCTAGTAAACCCGGTCGGAAGAAGTCGCCTTATTTTCGGCGGACTTGCACAAGATCTGCATGGGACACATGCAAAGCTGCCCCAGGGGTGAGTCGTTCTCGAAGATTTGGTAGCAGATTGTCGGTCCTGCAGGTGGGCTAAGCTTAATAAGAGCATGGTCTGCGGCGCGATCTAGAAGCTGCCCGGGCGATTTGGGCGATCTATAGAATTCTGCAACCGCGGGAGCCAGGGGGGAAATTGAAGTGATGAGAGATCTTTCAGAGGTATGAGTTCGAGTCTTGGTCGGTAGGGTATTTTACATGTCTCATCGCACGTCCCGACCTGCCAGCAATTGGGTGTTGCTGATGGTCGCTCTGAGGTGATTACTATCATTACCCCTCTCCAGGGCTTGTGGTGGCGTAATCCCAACGAGGATGGCTTGAAGAGACAATTTGGAAGCTGTTGGCGAAGTCCGATCGCAGAGGACCAGGGGGGGGGGGGGCGTCACGAGGTTCTTTCACTGATTTTTCTCAGAGAATTGTATTCGCAGTATTTATGAAGTCACGGAGTCATGAACCCTGGCCAATATGTATTACAAAGTACTGGTTAAAATTGTAAAAAGATCTACGAGTACATACAATATCCATTTTACTATGTACACATCTGGTCGCGGCAGGGTCATCCCAGATAGGAGAACCCGAGAAAGTGATCTATCGATGATCTCAACACGTGCAGCGCAGGTGACGATCCCAAGTTATTTCGAGCACCTGTGCATCGAAAGAAGTCTCTTTTCAAACGGTTGGGAGGTCTGGTCTGGTCTGGGGCGCGTCATGTTGGTGGGAAGAATAGGGCCGGACTACAGTGCGCCGAGGTCGTCCCCGCTCTGATTTGGGTAGGCAAAGGAGCGGTTATGCCGGCTATTGAAGCTCGTGGGGTGTGCCTGGGGTGTCTGGAAGGGGATTAGTGAGGGACAGCACTGCAACTAGTAGATTTTTATTTAGGTTGGGCACAGATTTCCGTTCGCTGCATTTCCGATTATCCGTTCGCTAGGTACCGGGGTGAGTTGGGGTGAGTTGGGGTGAGTTGAGGTGAATTTCAAGATTATTCCTTGTTTATCCTTGGAGATTTGCTTTGTGGCAAATATTTATACAAACAGAGTACTAGTACATATACTCTGTGCGAGTTGACTGATCTATTGGATATAGTTTTGGTATACTTCCTTGTCGATTGGCGGGTTGGAGGTCGGCCCTTGGCCGACTTCCAAGGTTCGACGCGGATTCCAGGCGATTCCCCCAATCATCTTAGATCGACGCACCCCTGTCGATGGTCAGCCGACATGCGGAAATTTAGAGACTAAACCCAAGTTGGTAAGAGAGCTTGGTTGGGGAAGGGGTCTTATACAATATGTACTCGTATATCAGGTTTGAAGTATTACAGTATCCAGTATGGACCACGGAATCACCGAAATGGGCAATCCAGCAGGTGGACCAAGGCAAGTCCAATCTGAGGACAATAAATGGAGGTGAACCGGCTGTCGAACCCACCTGGTGGGGTTATTTGCAGCAGAGCTAACGCGGGATGATTGTCATCGCCATTGACAATGCCGCACGTGAGGCTCGGAGCCCTTATCACCGGTTGCATCATTGCAAATTTTGTTTCAGAGGGAAATGCCCGGATGCGGCGATTGGGAGGGAATCAGTAGGAGAAAATACAAAGAATCATTAAATTTAACTATATGTATTATGTATTAAGTATCATATAGTAAGTAGTACTAATGTCAGCTGTTTACGGGGACTTCCATTGCATGTTACGGTGTACACGGAGTAAAAAGGATATCCACCTGGGGACTTCCCTTGCCACCGCATCCCAATGTAAACAGAGCTTGACCACGACATCGTCTCCCCTCCTCATCTTTCTTCCTCCTTCACATACCCCCCATTCACATCCAACTACCCTCCCCTCCCCTCCAAAATGACACCCCCCGCCATTATCGCGCCCTCCATCCTGAGCGCCGACTTCTCCAACCTCGGCCATGACTGCTCCCGCAAGATGGAGCAAGGTGCCGACTGGCTGCACGTCGACATCATGGACGGCCACTTTGTTCCTAACATGACCATCGGATGTCCCGTTGTGTCTCAGATCCGTGGCTGCGTCGACCGGCCCCTTGAACCCTGCGCTCGCGGCACCTTTGACTGCCACATGATGATCATGGAGGTGAGTAGCTTCAGCAGTTCAGCCCCGCTATCAGCAGCTCTCCGTGCTAACCACCACCGATCCAACAGCCTCATAAATGGGTTCACGAGTTCAAAAAGGCCGGCTGTGACCTCTACTGCTTCCACTACGAAGCCGCCGTCTCCTCCGTCGCCGCGACCGATCCCACCGATAAAACCACCACCGCCCGCACTTCTCCACGCGAATTGATCAAATACATCCACGAGGAGGGCATGCAAGCCGGTGTCGCCATCAAGCCCGATACCCCGGTTGATGTGCTCTGGGATATCCTCGACAGCCCTGACCTGGATGAGCGACCTGACGTGAGTTACTCCTTCTCCTTACCTCCCCTCTTATCCTCCGCAGCTCCCGCTAACATTCTCCCCAATTCCAGATGGTCCTCGTCATGACCGTCCACCCCGGTTTCGGCGGCCAGAAATTCATGGCCTCCGAACTCCCCAAGGTCTCCGCGTTGCGCGCCCGGTATCCCGATCTCAACATTGAAGTCGATGGTGGTCTAGGCCTGGGAACGATCGATCAGGCCGCCGAGGCGGGCGCGAATGTTATCGTGGCGGGCTCTGCGATTTTCGGTGCCGCCGACCCGGCCGATGTCATTGCTAAATTGCGCGATGCTGTGCAAAAGCGCCGGGCGATTGAGGCATAGATCTGAGCTCTGATTTGAGTTCTGTTCTATTCGATTCTACTTTGCGATTTGATTTGATTTGCCTGGTGGCTCTTTTTTTCATGCAGTAGTCCCCGCATTGACGCGGGGTTGCGCATTGCATGAGCCTAAACATTTACACAAAAGGGGTTTGGGTGTTTTGATTTGATTTGCGATATTGGTCGCGGTTGGGTTTGGTCTTTTTTTTCCACCATTATTTTATTTACTTTTGCTCTGCTGGACTGGACTGGACTGGAATCTATGTGATTGTAATCATGAGCTACGATGGGTAATGCAATGCATGCAATGGTTGACTAGATCCTACAATTGACACTGGGTTGAGCGATCGCCAGGACTCTCAAATTGGTATCTCACTAATGGTATGCAAATGGTACATTGCCTCATGTACAGTTTCATCAGTCGTAAATGGTGCCGCTCTACTCTTTGCTAGACACAGCTTCGGTCTTGGACTCTTCCTCTGCGGCGTCCTTGTCCTCCTTCTTATCCTCCTTGAGGTCATCCTTCTCGTCGTCCTTCTTGTCCTCCTCCTTTTCCTCATCTTGCGCCTTCTCCTTCTCCTCTGCCTTCTCCTCTGCCTTCTCCTCTGCATTCTCCTCTGCCTTCTCCTCTGCCTTCTCCTCTGCCTTCTCCGCACTCTTCTCATCCACAGCACTCTCACTCTCCTTCTCCTCAAGAACCGGATCTTCCGAAGAATGCTTCAGCGCCGCCTCCTTCCGCAAAGCCTCCACATCACCAGGCTGGTGATCCCCGGAGATAGACTGCCGAATCTCCTTAACAACCTTATCCTGCTCCCGCTCATCAGTAGCAGAAATAATCGAACCACGATGATGCTGCACAAGTCCCAACATCTCCGCATTCGCAACGTGGAAGTTCGCCGACGACACCGCCGCATCCTCGGGAACCACCATCGCAGGCCTCTTCACAGTCTTGGGAGAATCAGGCGCGGTATCGGGCAGTTCTGGCGCGACGGAGCCTCGGTGAGCTTTGACTGTGGGTGATGTAGCTGCTGCTGAATCCTCTGCCTTGGAGGATATTTTCTTCTCATCGGCCTTGTTCTTCGCCTGCGAGGCAGCTTCATGGCTAGCTTGCCGGAGAGCTAGGACGGCCATTTCGTCCTTCTTCTCTTCCTTTGCGGGTGGGCTTTGGATCTTGATGGTGGAGGGTTTCGGGGTTTTAGGCTCGGGTTCGGTCTTGGTTTCGGGTGCGGGGGCTGGGTTGCTTGTTGCGGGCATACCGCCCATATCCTGGACGCTGTTTACCACCATGCGCAGTTCGCCGAACTCGTTCCATTCTTCGATTTCTTCTAGGTCCTGTGGTAGGGTTAGTGTGTGTTAAATGTATGTGTGGTGTTGGAGTATCAAAATTTGAAGATGAGGGGCAGAGAAGGAAATGTAAAGAAATGTGGAGGAGAGGGGAGGGGCATGCAGGGGTCCAGGGGTGGATGGGATTGGAGGATGCGAGGGGTAGCATACTCCGACAATATCTCCATATTTCACTAGTCCGGGCAATTTCTTGCCCTTGGAACGACGACCCCAGAGTTTGCGGGCGGCTTCGTCTGTTGCGACATCAATGGCTCGAAAGGGGAGTTTATTGGCCTTGAGGATGGTCTCCACGCGGGCAGTCGCGGTGACGATGTGCGAGGAGCCCGCGGTCAAGGAGGTGTAAAGGTAAAGGGTTGAGTCGGACATGTTGACAGGGAGAGGTAGAGGTAGAGGTAGAGGTCGAACTGGACAACGAGTTGGAGAGAGACTCAGTGCTCCACAGGAAACTGGGAAATGAACAGAAACAATTGCATGGGAAGAAGAAGAGGTTTGGCCTTCACCGTCTTGAAACGGTTGGTTTGGACCCTATGACGTGGCTGGTCACGTGTTTACTTGGTGCTTTGCTTCAACTTTCTTTCTTTTAGTCTTTTAGTCTTTGTTTCCACCTACGCAATAATTCCTGGTACTCAAAGACACGCAGTCAAGCTCCATTTGAGTATTTTACCTCCATGGTTCAAAGAACTGACCTCCTTCTGCAGCACGGGGAAATGCCCCAGCGTGGCGATTTTGACGTCAGCCCGTCCCCATGACCCTGGATTGCTCTGCTGTTGACAACACTCTGGTTGGGTGGGACTACGGCCCAAACTATATACCGCGAAGAGTGATGACAAAGGTGATTGCTTGCGTAGGCTTCTTTCTCCCATATGATTGCAGACAATTATCCTCGAAGAGCTGCCTGAGTGCTTAACAGCCATACCATATTTATCTATAGGCCGCTGCGATGCTGCGATTGTCCCGACGCTCCACTAGATTAGGGTTTATGATAGTATCATAACACTAAGCAATCTTTACGATGCGGCTCTTACACACTTTCCTCTCTAAGAATTCTAACCAATACAACGAACGCATTTGGGCTTCTAATAGTCCAAGAATATAACCTCTCGTAGATGAATGTGGAACTGTTGCGCAACTTTTCCGATCTACTCAACCGGATTATCTCTTCTGTTCCGTCTTTCCAGATGACCTCAATACTATCTTGACCCGACCATCACAGGCTCAACGTCTTTAACGATAGCGTTTGAGTCACATTCCTTTCCTATTAATGACTTTTCTCAAACTGCAGGACTGGGCTAAGCTATACAATGAGAGCATAGGCTGGTAGAGTTTATGTACCACTGGCAGTTTCGTGGCATAAGAATCAACAATAAAATGTGTGAATTAAAAGCCACCTTCGACAAGATATTTCAGAAGATATTTACCTCAATTTCATTTCCTCATTGGAACCAAGAAAATGTGAAAATCAGCATCCAAGTTAGTACCCTGTTGAAAATTCCAAGGTTACTGCAAACACTATGGCCCGGGCCCTCAATTTGAGCCTCCAGGCTACACAAATAAAACTTGAAGTAAGCCCGGCTTCCTTTCGAGAAAAAAAAGATCCATAGTCTCAAAATGCGAGCCTGCTATCAATCTAGCTTATGTGAATTCTCGGTGAGGGTCTCGTTTGAGCCTCAGAGATAGATATGAACGTGTTGATAATTTCTTCGAGAATCTGGCTCCGAGGCATTCTTCTGGCAATGTAACACGCAGTACTTTGTCTGAATGGCCCATTCTCATCTACTAAGGCCCTAGCGCCTCAGGCCTGCGGCTTTGTCATCCCACATTGCTTTGTGACTTTCATGTTGCGTTTGTCCTTTGTAGTGGTGGTAGCATATAGTAGTAGCTATTGGTCTGAGGGCTTTTCCCTCCACCGCCATCCATCATTATCAGTTTGATCTGATCTTGGTCCGCTCTCGTCACTATTATCTATCTAAGTAGTGTCCTTTTAAGTAGCAATCCTTCCCTTGCAGACGTGTTATTCTGCCATGTTTGGAATGTCTCGACTCGACCCAGGTATCTTTAATCTGATCTACCCTGCCAGGTGATCTGTCATCAGTCTCAATGCACTCATAGTACACTCATTAGATATGATATGAGTATTAGAAAAGTGTTCTGTGATCGCAGCTGGGAAATTATCGAGTTTTGGTTAGTTCCAACGGAGGACTTTTAAACCAACACTAAGCAAATGAGCGATGCTTTCAAAACAGGGCTTGCGTTTACGGACATTATTGCTGTGAACAGCCAGCCTTTTGTTGGCATTATAATATCTACCCTCAAAAGACTTTTTATTAAAATTATATTGCGACCTGGTAGGGCCGTTGAAGGTCTCGTGTCCTAGGAGGACGAGAGAGAATTCAGTCTATGCCCGAAATTCCGCCCGAAATTCAGCGCGAAAGGGTGGTAATACAGTTAAGTGATATTTGGTTGCCACATCTGAGTGGCAGGTGGGAGAAAGAGTCAGCATTGCAGAGTCTGGCCATGGCCTATGTTATGTATGCGATGTATTATTTCGAAAATTTCAGGGATTTCTCGTTGGCCAAGTATCTTGTTAAGAGAGTCATCCCACGCACCACTAGTTTCAGAATCTCAAATTCCATTGGGTTGACCCATCGCATCTATCTCATTTCATTCAATCCGTCCAGTGAGCATGTCTCAGCGGGAAGTTCATCTTATCATACTAGTACCTACAGATGGCGCTGATGAAATTTGGGTTAAAAAGGCCGTTTCTTCCTGTGTGTGGCTCCAAAGGCATGGCCGTAATGCAAATGTCCCTGCCCGGGTACAAATGTATTTTTGAAAGTACGAGAGCCTATGCACGAAGTATCGGTTACGTGTCTCATGGAGATTATCCCACGGTGAGGTCAGGGGTTCCTAGAAATTTACTTCCACCAAGATTACGGAAGAGAGGTAAACAACTCGGTTTCCAAACTGAATTATTCATGGATTGAATATATATACTAGTACCTAGCCATTTCAAATGGTGAGAAATTCAAGACTCCTGTGACGAACCAAACTCAGTGTGAACAAGGAGATCGGGCTGTCGTATTTTTGGAAATTTTGTGGCCACGCCCATATCCTGTGGACAGAGGCAATACTCGCCCGGGCGGACATGCACTTGCGAGGATCCTGGATACCTCTCCACCTACATTGTGTTCCGCGTCTTCACAAGACTCCGATATTCTGACCAATGAGGTGTGACCCATGTGGACGGTCCAAACATTTGAGTGAGATGCGTTGGCCCGTTGCATGAGAGAAGACGTGGCGGTCTGCCTTGCCCCTAAAGCTGCATCGTCCTCATTGGCTCATTCTCAAATTTCTCTGCAGATCAAGCGGCTATGTACTTACTGGAGTCTGCCTTACGCTACCCATTCCCAAATTACAGAGGCTCGCACTGTCTGTGCTAAGCCCGGCTGAGCCAGAAAGTGTGCATCTGAAATGATCATAAAATCAGGTGGTTCTGCATGATTGAGTCACAAGGGACCAATGGTGCGATTCCGCACACACGATTGTGACCCGAAATGGGCACATCGGCAGAATTAGCAGGGCTTTGGCTTTTAGCAACTGGGTGATAACCCGAGTTATTGCGAGGGTGGAGCAATATTGCGCACAGACCGCTCTCCCCTTCCAGGAGCATAGCCCAAGGTTGAGCCCGGGTTCATTTCCTGTACAAATATCCCAGGTTTCCAGGTTGGGTGGCTTGTCACCTTTTGTGAGCGATGACAATCATGAGAATTTGTGCTGTCCGAACTCCCTATGACCCAACCAACAGAAACACCCTCAAATTATCTCAATCAGTCGACAAAACTAATGCCTTTCTCAGTATCATTCTTCTCTTGGTTCTGATTTTCATCTTTTCGAAGTCAGCCTCACCTTTCCCAGGTTCCCCTCTAGGCGTTGGTAGTCGAAGCGTCAACATACACTGACATTTCTGAAAATGCCTTCGCCTGAAATCCTTTATTCCTTGATTTCACATTCGAACGAATACTCTCTACTTAAGCAGAGAATGTGAAGCCTAACCTTACGCTTCCATTCCTCTCCTGTATCGCCTCATCCCTTCATCTGCTCGCCTCCTGGGCTATTATTTTATTGACATGTATTTCACGAGGAATCCAACAAAATAACACAACACGCCAAGTGCCTTGACGATGCAAATGAAACGAGATAACGACTTGGTGTGCGAGCATGGTCAGACCCCCCACACTTTTCCGGTTTCCATGATGAATGAATGATTGGATTATGTCCTTGATCTAGAGGAGGTTTCTATCGACAAAGTGCTGCCACTTGGACTATCATCGAACGTTCTCGGCGCTAAGTTTGAGCACACAGCATGTTCAGCCAAGCACAATAAAGTCACAGCCGAGGCAAATTGATTCCATCACAACAATACACCCAGTCTCGCACACAATATCTTGAAAATCGGACGCAGGGGCAATCGGCCTGAGGCTGATAAAGGCAGACTCAGAAACTCCGATTCAGACCATGAGCAGTACGGATGTGCTCCATAACCTTGTCCCTGCGGTTGAACGCTCTCCTACAGACAGCACACAAATGCCAGTCGTGGGGGATGTGTTTCGTTTGAATGTGTCGCCAAAGGCTACTTTTCTGAGCGAAGCGACCGCGGAAGTTACAACCTGCCCAACCACATTGAAAGGGACCGGAGGCGGGAACACTGGGCACTGTCAGTTAACGAATCTTGTGGGAAATGTGGCGATGACCCTGGACGCAAACTTACTGTTGATGCATTTGTGGAGATGCCGGAATGACTAACTCCCCATTGGGCTGCGAATAGTTCCTCTCGGATACACTGTTCATCCCGTCCACCCCGACACCGATATCGTCGTTCATTCGTGCGATACCCGATTGGAAGGTGATAGCATCTCCCATTCCTCGATCGAACCCTCTGGAACTGATAACATGGGGGTTGGAGTGGAGGGCCTGTGAAAAAGGCAACGAAGGGGGGGGCACTCCCAATAAATCCCGTCGTTGTGTCTCGTCCAAGTGAGAGATGGCTCGCCATGATCTCGGATCCATTTACCCGCTCTGCAGTTGTCATCGAACTCCGATCCGGCTGCATCTCGTACAACAGGTGCAGATGCGCAGGGGGAGGAGGAGGAGGAGGAGCGGCACCGCCGTAGACAGTAAAGCGCCTTGCCGGTGCCGCTTCTGTCGCTATTTCAACCTCGTCGGTGAAATCCAGGCCTACACCAGCAAGAGAATCAAAGTTTTGAAAAGACATTGTTTTAATGGGAGGACTTGATCGAATAATGGGGAGTCGATTTGATCGGACTGGAAGGAGGGCCAAAGAAGGAAAAGACAACACTCGCACACCGTCACTCCACCCAAACTTGTTGGCCAGCTGCAGGGCCTGAGCTCGCCACGTCGAATTTATTTCACAGCAGAGCACGATAAATCTTCTCCGCCGGTTTGCGCGTCTTGTTATGGAGGGTATTTTCGTTTATTTTGTGACAATTTCTCCGGTTGCCATTCATTCGCCTTTCCTTAACCAACTCCCGACTTCACTATATCGATGTATGTCGAGGATCACCACCAGTTACGCCTTGTGGATTTTGGCCGTAAACACCGCACCCCCCTCCCCAGCAGGTGAACCGGGGAAACTAACACCTGTGCCCTGGCGCCAGCTCCTTTGAGAAAAACAAGCCATACGCTTTTACTGGATCTCTCAACTTGGCAGTCATCTACAATCGAGCTATCTGCTTCAATACGGTCCCCTCTCACCCATTCTTCGATTTGGTCCCAGGTTCCAACTGACCATACAGCCTCCACTATTCATTGGTTAAAAATGGGCATCTATGACTTCCAAAATTGGATTCTGTCTTCCCTGGCTCAGATATCGACATCAATGGAAGGAAGTGGTGTAATCCGCGCATCGTTATCGTCTCAAGCAGGGAATACCCATTTCCTACAGTACTCTGATATTCAACAGTCGCAAGCTTTGTGATGGAGCCTTTGCTTGCATTCGAATGAATTTCCCGTTCTTCCCTACACAGAATGTGATTGAAATGAAGTCTGGGCCCCCGAGAACGTGAGATTGCCTTTCGGTTCTGGTTCGCATCCTCTTGCGGTGTGATCTCCATATCTGTACAGGGGTCCTCCAGGGCCGGTCCTTTACTCGTTGAATGTGACCTACAAGATATCTATTGGAGTCTGTCCTCCACCCCACTCGGAATTAACCTGCATTTTAGGGTTGTAATTGCGCGAATACCTTCCACTGGACTAATGTATCCCGAGAGTCTACCGAGGAAGGGCAATTTCAACGTTTTTCCTCCCACCGTCCTAGGGCCACCAAGTAATTCTATCCAGCTTATTGTTTGTCAATAGTAGAAGATGCAATAAAGAAGGTGCAGCTGATAACATCTTATTGTGGATGCTCATAGTCCGGAATTCGAATGAGAGGGCGGGCATTCATATGAGCGGCTATACTAACGTCACGGTGTCATTAAGGCAGGCTATATCTCTAATGGCGGCCTTTTGAAAGGATGTGCCTCTTTTAGCGCTTGGACATCTGATATTTCCACTCACTTCTTTTCAGACCTTTCAGTTGGGCCTGGATGGCTGATCTCGAGCTGAAACACTGAAAGTTGACGTGTTCAAATGCAGGCCCATCACTTTATCACACATCCAATGTGCGGTGCATGCACCAATCGACTGCTTGCCTGCATGACCACACAAATGAAAGAATTCCAATTGGATCTACGTACATCGAGCAAAGCGCCACCAAGTAATCGCACATCTCGCTTAAAGAGATAGTTAACGAATCAGTCGGGAATTTAGCAGATCCTGGATACTCTATGGGTGTGTGGGGCAGGCAGGGTGAACGATGCACGGCAAAGGGCAAAGGGCAAAGGGCACAGGGCACAACTTTACTAGCGAATGCAATGCCAACGAATCAAAAATATGAGAACCACATTGTAGGTACTCGAAAGCGCTGCCTTGGCATTAGAGACAAACAGCCCTGGAGCTAGTCTCGTGAGGCATTAGGTGCCAACGAGAAACTTGAATTAGACGGCATGACCATGTCCCCTCATTTCTCGTGCCTTCAAGTTTGCGAGGATACTATACCACAGACACCTAACGTTAAAGCACTGTAGTAAGATAGTCTAATTTCAAGGTTCCAAGTTTCAAAGTATATACTAATACTACTAATACCACTACTAAAGAAGTGCGCGAGGAACACCAAAATCAGCGCCTAGTATAGCCCAGGAAAATATCTAGTTTTCCTGTGCAAATCAACCAAGACACGCATTCCTCATATATGTAGCTTGAACTCCTACCACCCCCTAATTGTCGACGAATGAAAATGGCATACGTTGGAAACATCTGGAGGAGGCTGTTGTTGATGTGTTAGTGCCTCAGGCTACTCGTCCCCACCTCCTAGGTCGCCTGCTTCCATTTCTTTTCTCTTCTCTTCCATAGCAAACCAGCATCCCCATTTTTCCCACCTCATCACCTCTCAAAAATCATAACCCATTTAGCAACGATCTGAACAGAATAAGACGGTGGGTAGTTCGGTAATGTGATGAGAATTTACTTAGCCTCCGCCTGGTCATGGCTGAAGCGGACATGCAAATGGCAACGACGCTAAAATGGCAGCTCTTGAGGCCTCTAAATGGCCCGACAAGACGCCAGACTTTGAAAACCAAATGTAATGAAGGGTATTGATCTGTTATAAAGCTGAGCCGGGTGATGGCAGATCCCTGTCGTTCGAATGTTCCTTCCCGTCCAACCCCGCGCTCAAGCCTCAATTTCAGCACCCCTTTGGGTACCACTGCAGCTGCACTTTTGCCCGATGAGGCTGAAAACCAACACTCAAGTCTCAGCTACATACTATGGCCCATCGACCACCGAATCACTTGTTTGCCAGATATCACGAACTGGTGGTCATTATGGCCGACCCACTCTCAATTGCCTCGGGCGTTGCCGGGCTGCTTTCGCTTGGAATTCAAGTCACCCAATCTCTAGTCAATTTTTACACAACATACAAGGACCGAGACACAGATGTGACAAGGATAACCCACAGTATCGATAATCTTCAGGCGCTCTTCAGAGCCCTTGCCGTCGCAATCGAGGAACGCCGAACGCAGCCCGATACCCAAGATTTACTCCTGGAAGTCGAGAAGGCAGTGCAAAAATGCGAGGAAGTCATCACCGACCTCCAGGGAGAATGTGACCGCTTCTACAAAGACGCCGTCGCTGGTTTCAAAGATCGCGTCAAAACTGCTGGGCGCCGTGCGGCCTATCCGTTTCGAAAAGGTACCCTGTCTCAACTCGAAGAAGACGTTGGAGTGTTATACGTGAGAATCTGTCATTTGCGCTGGATATTCTGCAGCTTAAGAGCCAGAACATGATCCAATATGACATAGCGGATATCAAATCGATTTTTGAGCGAACGAATGCTAGCCATGTCTCATTCACAATTCGCTCCTGGCTTATGGCGCCGGATGCATCTCTGAACCATAACCCAAATTGCGCTAAATGCCATCCAAGCACTGGTCTTTGGTTCGTTAATGGCCATCAATTTCAGAACTGGCTAAAAGAGAGCAACTCCTTCTTATGGCTGAATAGTTTCGCGGGATGTGGAAAGTCGGTTCTCTGCTCTACCACAATTCAGTATTCTTTTCAGCATATGCGACAGAAGGGTGGTGCAGTAGGAATCGCGTTTTTCTACTTTTCATTTAGCGACGACCAGAAACAAGACGACAATGGCATGTTGCGTACTTTGCTTCAACAGCTATCAGCACAGCTAGTACCGGATGGGGACAGAGATCTCAAGCAACTATACGAATTATATTATTCTGGCTCACCCTCAGTGAACGTGCTGCTTGACTCACTACACCGCCTTCTCAGAAGATTCAGCGATGTTTATATCTTGACCGATGCTCTAGACGAGAGTCCACGATACTCTAAAAGAGAAGGTGTTTTAAAAACGATAGAAGCGATACGCGGGTGGTCAATACCCAGCCTCCACCTTCTAGTTACAAGTCGGAATGAGCTAGATATCCGTGAATCTTTAAACCCTTTGTTAGATCAAAATGTTTCGCTTCGAAGCTCAGAGGTCGATGGAGACATAGAAAGCTTTGTCTCTTATCAACTCAAAATTGAACAGAAACTACAGAAATGGAAAGCTCGCCACACTGATATCAAGGAAAAGTTAACGGCCGGTGCACAAGGAGTGTAAGTAGTCTCGAGGGTGGGATGTTAATACGTGGTAATTCAGCTAAGACAACGTGTAGGTTCAGATATGTCGAATGTCAATTCAACGCTTTTGGGCGAGTGCGAAACCGGAACCAGCTTGATGAATGCCTGCGAACTTTGCCCCGTGATCTAGATGAAACATACGGGCGAATCCTTTGCAGTATTGACGCTGAGTACATTGAGGACGTTCGCCGAGTTTTGACTCTACTATGCTTCTCTGCCCGCCCGCTCACGGTAAATGAGTTGGTCGATGCTCACGCCGTTGATATCAATGAGCCACCGCAGCTTGATCGTGACGGTCGCTCGTACGACAAGGATGATCTTATCGACATTTGTCTCGGTCTCGTGGAGGTCGTGGTCGCTGAACAAGACTCGGACGATGAGGAGCCAACCTTTATTGCTAGCATAGCACATTTCTCCGTTCAAGAGTATCTTCAATCAGAGCGCATTTTACAACAAGGCTCCAGGTCCTTCGCCATGGCAAGTGCCCTCGCGAATAAGGAAATAGCCCAAATATGCTTGGTGTACCTCTTAGAGCCAGGCCTCTCCGCCGGCATATTCGATGTGACAAAGACAAGAAATTTTCCTTTTGCACATTTCGCGGCTGTGCATTGGTTTGATCATTATACGAATTCCATGGAAGGACAGGATGCAGTCGAGCCACTAGTGTTGACGCTTTTGACGGAGAACAAAGCGGCCTTTGTGACATGGATAAAACTACATGACATGGACAAGCGATCTGATGAGACGATCTGATATACCCGCCCCGTCACGGACATCGCACAGCCTCTGTATTACGGAGCACTTTTGGGATTGGAATCCATTATTCTCAGTTTCCTGCCACCTGGTACCAATGATACTAAGAAGGCATCGGATACAGTCAATACCCAAGGAGGCTTCCTTGGCAATGCGCTCGAGGCCGCATCATCCAATGGCCACGAACAGGTGGTACTTATACTACTCGATCAAGGTGCGAATATCAACGCCCAAGGTGGGTACTATCACAGTGCGCTCCAGGCCGCATCGGCCAATGGCCATGAAAGGGTGGTAGAGATACTACTCGATCACGGTGCGCATATCAACGACCCAGAAGGGTATTCTTATGGCAATGCACTCGAGGCCGCATCATTCAATGGCAATGAAAAGGTGGTACAACTGCTACTTGATCAAGGTGCAAATATCAATGCCCAAGGCGGAGATTATGGTAATGCACTCCAGGCCGCATCAGCCAATGGTAATGAAAAGGTGGTACAAATACTACTTGATCAAGGCGCCTATATCAACTCCCAAGGGGGGCAATTTGGCAATGCACTTCAAGCTGCATCAAGAAATGGAAATGAAAAACTGGTGCAAATAATGTTGGATCAAGGTGCGAATGTCAACGCGGATGGCGGGATTTATGGCACTGCACTCCAGGCCGCATCGGTAAATGGCAATGAAAAGGTGGTACAAATACTACTTGATCAAGGTGCGAATATCAACGGCCAAGGCGGGGTTCATGGAAATGCACTCGAGGCCGCTTTAGTAAATGACCACGAAGTGTTGGTGGAAATGCTGTTGGAGCGAGGAGTTGATCTTGATACCAAGGATTCTGTGTTTGGGTTCTCGGCACTGTCACGGGCTGTGAGAAACGGCTACTCTGTTATCAACAAACCTTCGCTCTGGATAAATAAGATTGGACTTGATGTGCAAGATAATTGTGGCCGGGGCCCATTGTTCTATGCAGCCTGGCGAGGAAGTGCGACTTTTCTGAGCGCGTTTCTCGCTGCTGATGATATTGACCCGGACCGGAAAGATCGTTATGGATTAACGCCGCTGTCAGTCGCTGTACGACATGGTCGGATAGAGATAGCAGACCTGTTACTGGCTACGGGAAGCGTGACTTGTGAATCTCGTGATTGTTTTGGACGGTCTGTGTTCTGGTGGGCTCAGAGGATGGGGAACCCGGATATTCAGAAATTGCTGGCGGATTGTTCCAAGACGCAAGACATACAAATACATGATGAACATGTTGATAAATTGTCAAGACCCAAAAGCTGCATACATACTAAGACATTGCGATTGCTGCACCCTGGATATATGCGAGGACACTGTCTACTATCGATGCAACATCTGCAATGGGGGGGATCTGGATATTTGCATAACGTGCTATGAACTTAAGGGACGTTGTTTGCAGGACGACCATGACATCTTTCGGAGGATGAACTATGATCTTTTGGATTAGCTCTTCGCGGGGTACGAAAGCAGGACACCCCAATTCTCTTCCGTCGCCAGTTCTCAACCTGATCAGTATTGTGGGGTTTATACTTGTTGCTATAGGTGTAAGGATCTTCGGATACTCACAGAGATCAATTTACGACGGAGAGACCAGGCAAAGGTAGTAGTAGCGTTTCGAAGAAGCTATATTCAGCTTGAGGTGAAGAAGACGGAAGCTAGATACAGGAGTAGGCAGTGGATGCCTAAATGGGTGCCACAGGTGTGAGGTGTAGTAATCCGCAGCAATAGTAGTGACGACCTATAAAATCTACCCTTGGCAGTAAGAAATATTTCCTCGCACTTTGATTATAGGTAAAGCTCATATTTCTAATTCTCAATAAAGGGAAGCAATAGGAAAGATGGTGTTTCACCCCCCGTGAAAATGGTAGACTCGCCCCCGAATGTATCTTTTGGTCGATCTTGAAGGTGGCTATGCGTGCAAATCGTAGGGTTCCGCATTTCCCACGGATTTCCAGCTTCCCTCGGAGGCATCATCCTTTCGAAGTCTTTGCCACTAACTTGAAGTGCGATTTGGGACCCTTTAGGGAGTAAGATGTTTGTGGGCCAGATTTCAACATCCAGCTCATAAACCTTCCCGGGCTGCAGTGGTTGAATTTCGTCGTGGCTGTGATAGGGACGATAGGGTAAGGTTTTCGAAGGATCCAGCTTTCGGTGAGACGCTCTCAGCCATCCCTGTGAGAGTGGTGTATTTGCGTCTGCTGCACCTTCAAAGACAATTTCACGGTCGTTGTGAAAGGCTTGGAGTGTGAGGAAGAGATCCATGTCAGTCGTCGTCGAAGAACCAAATAACTTAGCTGCAACCGGCCCGGTAACCTCAATATCTTTCTCGAGCGGCGGCGATAGAAATGTCAATGGACGTCCGAGAGCAGCGAAGCTCATCTTCGACCACTTGCAAGGAGGGTCCCAAGACATCCCAGGAACAGCGAATCCATCAACGCAATCAAGATACAACTTCTTCCATTTGGTGTTCTGCAGTGGCCAGGATGTCTCTTTTCGTTGTTCAAACTCATTACTGAATGGCCTCCGCAGATGAAGAAGTACCGGTGGTTCCTTGTCCCATCCATTGTCGATTCCCTTCAAGAAATGATCCAAGAAACGCTTCTGTAAGGCCATTCCATGATCAAGATAGAACCATTCTTCGTGTCGACCTGGATGACAATCGAGCCATTTCTGCTTCGAGGCAGCTTGTGTGAACGCTTCAAAGTTGCCTCGGGGATGAATCCCGAACCCTCCCCAGTTTGCTGCACTGAGGAATGGTACTGTCACTTTACTATAATCAGCCGACCTTTCGCGATACCATTCATCATCAAGAGGTCTTGAGAGAATGTCCGACACGGGGTCTGTCCGATTTCGTTCAAGCTCGATTTCCGAGAGGGATGCGGGCCCACTGCTTCTCTCACCAAGCCAGGGATCTTGCCAGCCTCGAGGATTGCCATGTTGGACTGCAATAACCTGCTTTGGATACCACCACTTGAAAAATCCATCGTTTTGGATCCCCCCATGGCGCATCATATCACGATATGCATCGCTTGCACCCTCCCAAGGAATCATCGCAGCCAAGTGAGGTGGTTGAAGTGAAGCCACAAGCCATTGCGTGATGGCATAGTAGGAAATGCCATTCAGACCAACCTTCCCTGAGCTCCACGGCTGAGCTGCGGCCCATTCGATTGCGTTATAGTAATCTTTGGCTTCTCTTTTCGAGAAGATGTCCAGCTTTCCGGGAGAACGGCCTGATCCGCGGGAGTCAACTCGAACACACACATAGCCCCATGCTACCCAGATTTCCGGATCAACTAGCTCCCAAACCATCAATTTCTTCGTGGAATCTTGGAGGACCTCGGGTTTTGTTGCCATCAAGACATCCCACTGGGGTGCGAAGGCGTCGCGATAGGGTACGCCCTTCCCGTAAACACCGAGAGTCATAATAACGGGGCTTGGAGTTTCATCCTTCGGACGAAAGACATCTGCCTTCAGAACTAGGCCATCTTCCATTACTATCGGGACGTCGCGCTCGATAATCATTTTGTCCATGGTCATTGATGTTTCGATATAGTAGTATATCGAAAGACGGTGCTAGGTAGCGATTCTAGGAAATCTTGTAGCGACAAAATGTAGTACAAGAACGAAAAGAAGAAAGCTGGGCGGTTACTAGTATTTGATATTAAACACATAAATTATATAGAAACATGAAACGCGGCTATGCTCAGAAATACATCGTCGGGACTTTCCAAGGTTAGTCCGTCGCATCCAAGCTGCACTCGGTAGCAGATTAAGCGCGAAACACCGAGCGGTGGAAGAGATCGCGGATTTCCCGACTCCGTCCTCCGATCTATGGAGGCTCGAACACTTCTTAACCGAGACCCTCAGACCCTGCAGTTGCATTAATTGTATATCCGTGCCCCATTAGAAGCTGGTTTCTCTACAAAACTTCGACGTTTCAAAATATACCAGCGACAATGTCAATGAATCACGGCAAATTTCCTGACCGAACCTCCGTTGGATATTCGTTTAAAAGCAGAAAGCAATGAAGCGAGATATTGAAATCTTTGCATAGTTCCAGAGACCCAAAAGTCCCCACACTATAACCGCGGAATTATACTCTGCATAAATCAACACAATGACTACAACTGAGAAACTCAAGTCCCGTTTCCCTGATCTCAACTTCGTGAAGCCACTGCCAGTGGACAAACACCCAAGGTATGAGAAATCAGGCATCAAGTTCAGTCCGAACAAGCGCACCGTGCTGCCCAAAGGACATGTCAAAGAGGATGGCCGCAAGAAGGTTCTTGCAGACACCCTATTAAATAGCGACACTCCAATCAAACTACGAGATGGAGTCCATGTGTACGCTGATATTTTTCGACCGGCCAATTCTGATGAGCATCCCGTCCCCGCTGTTATTTGCTGGAGCCCATATGGAAAGACCAGTATTAGTCTTGATATGATTTGGCATCGCGCAGGAGTCCCCAAGGATTGGACGTCTGGTTATGAGACATTTGAGGGTCTCGATCCTGCAGAATGGACCCGCCGAGGATACGCAATTGTAAATGTCGACGCTCGCGGGGTGCAATTCTCAGAGGGTACATACTTCTTCTGGGGTGACCAAGAGGCCGAGGATATTCACGATACGATCGACTACTTGTCCAAGCAGCCATGGTGCAACGGGTCTGTCTGTATGGGTGGGAACTCGTACTTGGCGAAAGCCCAAGTAAGTTTTGCCTCTAGGCAGTCTCATCCTGCATTGAAGGCACTTGCTCCGTGGGAGGGATTTACAGATATTTATCGACAATTGTACCTCCGCGGTGGATTTTCCATGAACAATGTCTTCGCTGCGCAATACCAATGGGGGGTAGCTGGTGAAGAGGGTGTTGAGGATGTTGCGCAAATGGTGAAGACACATCCTTTGTTCGACGATTACTGGGCCCAGAAATATGATGAAGTCTCGAACATCGATGTCCCACTTTACGTATTGGGATCTTTTGGTAACCCATTCCATGTTTACGGATCGTTCGATACCTTTCGGCGCGCAAAGTCTACACACAAATGGATGCGAGTTCACGCTCGTTTCGAGTGGTATGAAATGTACGAGCCCAAGTCGATCGACGATTTGCAGCGATTTTACGATCGGTATGCCAAGGGAATCATGAATGGCTGGGAAACAGATACACCACCACTGCGTCTTTCTCTTCATGGTTTTGGAACCGTGCCGAATATTGTTGAAAGATCGGAAATCGGGTTCCCACTGCAACGCCAACAGTTGAGGACATATTACCTGGATACCAGCGTTAAGAGATTGAAGTCGCTTCTTCCGCCCAATGAGGCTGTTGCGTCCTACGATAGTCAAGACTTGAATGCGTCTTCGGTATGTTAATCCCGTAGCTGATATCTCCTTGCGCCTTTCAGCTAACAACAGATCTCAAAGGACTTCACTATCCATTTCGATGAATACACCGAGATTGCCGGGTATGCAAAAGTGCGGCTATGGATGTCGTGCGAGGAAAAAGACGATATGGACGTTGTCGTCCAACTACGGAAGATTGACAGCTCTGGAAACCCTTTAAAACAAATTCATTTCCCATGTCCTGCACCGGAAAATGAGGCACCGGAAGGCGAAACCGTGAAGCTCTATGGACCTCAGGGATTTCTTCGGGCCTCTTCCATAATATCTCGTGACGTGTCACGGACCAGTGCTGATGGGCAAGAAGTTTTCTATAGACATGACCAGGAGGAAAAGGTTCCACGGGGAACTATCATTCCCCTGGAAATCACACTTTGGCCGATGGGTATGGTTTTCGCAGCTGGCGAAGGGATCAAACTCTCTGTTGCAGGGCATTTTTTAAGCGCACCGGCTACGCCAGCGATTCAGCTGGAGAAGCTTAATAATGAAAACTTAGGACAACATCTGGTTCACACTGGTGGAAAACATGATTCATGTCTCATACTTCCTGTAATTGCAGGAAATCGAACATGAAACAACCTTCAACCTGAAATGATTCTATATTCAATAGAAAAAGGTCTACGACCATGAAGCCAAAGAATCACTTACCCTGGATCTGTTAGATACTACAAAGACTATAAACAAGTCAGATATACAAAAGGAAGTAAATGGGGAAAGTAAAATAATAATAAAAGGTAAAGGCAAAGCGCTAGTCATACGCGCAAGCGACAACCTACGCGGCAAAGCCCACGCGATCAAGTCGCACGACCTCCAACCCATGACCATGCAGGAGTAGAAGACTTGGAAATCCGCCCAAGAAGCCAAGTAAAAGTACCAGGTTCCCCGAAATTAAAGCCGAGGCAGACCTGGTTCCAAGGGCTCCTATTGCAACGCGATATGCGTCTATGGCCCAGTCGGAATTTTGGTGCATGAACCCGTGATATGACGGGCTGCACCTCGATAAAGAGAAAGCCCGCGGACTGGACTTTGACTTACTTTCACCTGGGTTGGGCTTGGATTGCCTGGTCTCACCTTGACCGAATTGCAGATGATAATAATAGTAGATAGTGTTCGAGGTTGATTGAGGCCTTGCGAAGGGGGATTTCAATGCACGTCGCAAGCAAGAGGCGAGAGTTAGGCTGTCGCGGCCTGATTATTGCCGGTCGTGCGTGTGTTTGTGCGTGTGGGATGGAGGGATGGGTTGGGTATATCATGCTGTGATATAGTGTGCTGAGACTTAGTGAGCGGGAGATGGCATGGTGGTCATGGTATAATCGGCAGCAAACCACCGCAGCGTGGCTTCCAGACTAGCCTAGACTCAACAGTTGGGTCGAGAGACACTAAGAAAAGAACCTTGAAGAATTGAATTTACCCTATTGTCATCAAGGTGCTCCGTCCGCCGTACACCGTACTCCGTAGAACTTGCCTATACTTGGCCTCGAGAGCCAAGAGGCTGACAAACATCCCATGCTCAGATAAGCGTGCCATCTCGCAGCACCGTATACTAAGACAACTGGCTGGAATGGCATGCTACCATGCCACCAATAGTAACCTCGCTAGGTATTCCACCTTCACTGAATGGATACATCGTGTCTCTTCGGCGCTCAATGACGAAATCAGCCGTGTCCAGCCTTCACTCAGAGAGGTCAAAACAGTATGAATGTCCGGTGCGAAGTGTCAAGCTGAAACTCTCTCCCCATAAGCTGTACTGATCACCGTTGCGAGGGATCGAGCATTCTCGCTGACTCCTCGGGATGAGCAAAAGCGTACGAGAGCTCGCCGAACATGACACATCAAAATTGACAGATAACAGTCACCCTTATTCGGTCCTGGGTTTGCTTACCGCTCCGTTTCTGGAGGATCGACGTGATCACTGTGGTTGGGTTGAAACCGCGTCGATCCGTCGCGATGCTTTTCGCTCTTCCGCCGCCTATGAAGAGCCGCTTTGGCAGCCCCGGTGAAACGCAGCGGCAATCGCGTTCTCGAAAAAGGTGCCCTGGAAAGTTGCGACATAGACCCAACTTGGAAATGAAAAAAAGGATTCCACAGTGGATGTGCTCATGGTGACCACGATGGAGTCGCCGTCATCATGGAGACTGGACAGGATGTGTTCGTCGCTCCATTGGACTGTCACTAGTGTGCGATCGGCCGGGCCTAAACCCCCTGAAATTGAGACCGGCGGGACTCTTGGTCACAGAGGTAGTGGCTAGCGTTTCGCACTAACTATTGTACTCAAGTGTGCTCTGGTTAAGTCACACATATAGAGACCATAGATTATACAGATCAGCACGCGCAGTCTCCGTGTTGCATGCATGTATTGTAGGCTATGTATCTAAGGCGGACAGTCGTACCTCGTGCAGACCAGTCCCGCAGTGCTGGAGACATTTCCCATAGCCACGGACAACGGTTCTTTGCCCGGGCAGTTGGGCGCAGGGCACCCTCGTCACCTGCAGGGCCCGACTGATGGACCAGCTGCAGGACGACGTGGCAGTCGAAGAGACGGTGGGAACACTGGGGGGGATGTGCTCCACGAGACGGTGGGTGTGAACTCCGTCAGCCCCATCGGCCACTCCAGGAAGCCACAGACAGCCATGGACAGCCATAGCAAACTTCCTGGTATCAGGGGAGGGATGGGATACTCGACATGGGGGCAAGGCCATAACTATGGTAGGCGATGGAGTGCTCCCGCATTAGGCGCTACGGGGGCTGCATTGTAGGAGTCTCAACGCCGCAGCTCAGGGGCTCCTGTAATTCGTCTGCAACCTCCAAACACACCAGCCGGGTTGTCCTCGGGGCGATCCGGTTCGCTGCCTCACTTTGACTGATTTGTTCCCGTCACCGCCCGTTGCTGCAGCTTCACATCGACCAACCAGTCGCGCAGGATGCATCCAGAATCAGGGAATAGTCAGCGAACGGTCCTGTCACCCCCCAGTGCGAGTTTGGTTACAGAGTACACCATCCATCAAGACAGGACAAAATGCATAATGAGCCACTTGGGAGATGGAGCCACTGGTCTCTCGTGATGGTCAGATCGTATTGGTAGGCAGTGCCCCCGGGGTCCAGACCTCTGGCCCACTTGAGGATTGACGTCCCCCATGCCGTCTTGGTCTTCGATAGAAACCCTTCTTCGTATAGTAGTGTGGAGATCCTAAGAACGTCCTTAGGGGCCCGGTGCTTGGAGGATTTGCTCCGGGACTTTTGCATCAATCCTTCCCATCTTCTTCTTCTTTTTTCTTCCCTTCCCATGATGCCCAACCTGGCCCATCTATATGTGCTATGATATGATTCTCACTCGCTTGAGATCCAAGATCCATCTCTTTTAACCCGCGCTCCGCCTCCATATCGTTCCCGTTCATCTTATCGACCCGCCGATCTATCGTCGCATCTCGATAAGATCGGTTTCAAGACCATCGTAGGTTGTCCCAGCTTTCCAGTGCAGAGCGCAAAAGCTCGCTGGCTGTTGTCATGCACTAACCATGCATATAGATACTACTTTTACCCTGGTTCCAACCCCGTCCTTTGCATTACTGATAAACAGTGCCCCAAACGATCAGAGGCCCCTCCAATCCTCGCGACATGGCTCTCCAGGCCGACGAGGAACTATTCAAGAGTGCCATCTCTGGGTATCGCGATGCATTTTTGGTTCGACACTCCCACCTTCCGGAATCTGAGCGCAATAGGCTCTGGAGCCAGCAACTCAGCCAGTTCATCCCAGTCGATCGCGAAGACGCTGCGCCTGGGAAACCTGGCAAACGGACTCGACAGGATGCCACCCCGCGGACACTCCCTGGTTCTGGCCCTCCAGAGGCAAAACGGCGAGCCACCGTATGTGTGACCTTGGTCTCTTGCTCCTCCTCTTCCTAATCCTCCACTGTCCCGCCCTTTCCTGCACTTCCTATTTCCCCATCGCCAGCCCAGGATTGACAATTGGCAGAGCCCGGATCTCCCGGTGACCCACGAGCTGCGACGCGCCCTTTCACAATCGTCCCCCCGGGATGCGCCCCGAGAGGGTGCGCCGCTCTCGGGCCCAGGCCAAGGCTCCTCTTATCGACACACGCCCATGGTGCGCTCGCAAAGCCAGCAGATCCCCGTCTCCTACCGGCACCCGCCGGCTGGGGTGACTATGGGCAAGCGACAATCCTTTGGACCGGGCCAAACGAAACGTCTCGATCATGTCGATGAATATTCGCCATCTGAATATGCAAAACACTTGGATGACCCCGACAACCAGCCCCAGCCCTACAGATCCGCTCTGTCTCTGGGGCTGGCGACTGGATCGACTGGACCGACTCCATCTCCGGCAGCCGCAGCAGCGACATCTGGTGTATACCACTCTGGACAGGCATCCCCCACGGCTGATCCGTCTTCGGCGGCCGTTGAAATGACTCGGAGCGGAACCACCGATACCATTATCGACAGCTTTGACATGTTTCGGTTCAACTCGACAGGACCGCGCGCGGATCTGGACCAGACGTACTCCATCCCGCCGGAGTGGGTGCCCACGGCCACCTCTGGTATCTCGTATCAAGACTCTTTTCCTTCATCCCTCTATCCTGACTTAGATCACACCACCTCATACCCATTCTCCTACCCCAATTCCACCCTTTTCTCCACCTCTGCGCCCACCACTACCTTCCGGCCACCAGTGCCACCCGCATTTGTCACCGAAGCGACGGAGATGAGACCCTCGTTGTCAAGCTCGAGCTCCGACTCGGACGAAATCATGCCTCCTTCGCGCGCGATCCGCCGAACCCAAGAACAAGTCGCGCATGCAGCTCGACCCATCGCCCCCAAGCGAGACTCACACGACAGTATAAACAGCCAACCAGAACCCAGAGACAGCAACACGCACAGAATGCTCCGCATATCCTCCACCGACGGCACAGCCAAAGAAGTCGCCGCCATCCCGAAAGCCTCAGTGCAGCGCCCACCCCGGATAAAGACATACTGCCACATCTGCAACGACCAACCAGAAGGCTTCCACGGTGAGCACGAACTGCGCCGCCACATCGATCGCGTACACGCACCCGTCCGCAAGGTCTGGATCTGTGTAGATATCTCGCCCGGCAAGGATTTCCTCGCGAACTGCAAAGCCTGCCGTAACGGTAAACGATACGGCGCAAACTATAACGCCGCAGCGCATCTGCGCCGCACGCATTTCAATCCATGTCAGCGTGGCCGCGGCGGTCGTGGCAAAGATAGTGAGAAACGCGGTGGTAAGGGCGGTGGAAATCATCCCCCGATGGACGTGCTGAAACACTGGATGAAGGAGACGACCGAACGGGCCAATGAGAATACCCCGTGTGATATGCTTCCCGATGGCCTTGTAGAGGATGGGGGCTATCCGGCTTCATTGCCATTGCCCGATCTCTCTTCAGATGCGACTGCGATGAAACGGGCTGCGGCGGGAGGTATGAGTGCGACTTCGCCGGGCGAGGCGAATATGCATGCGTCGCTGGGCATGGAGTCAACGCTCATGCATGGCTATGAGGCGTATCCGGTTTCCGCGTCATTTGACTTGGACGCGACCCTCGATACGCCGTTTTATCTTGATTCGCAGCCTTTGCCGTCGGAGTATGATTCGTATGTCATGTGAGCTGATCGTAGTGCCGTGATTCCATTGATGGATGGATTCGAGTCCCCTTCACTTCTCCCTGTTTATTTTTTTTTTCTTCATTTTTTTTCTTTCTTTCTCCGCTTTCCCTTGGTTCTGGTTCGTGTACTTTAATTTCCTGGTCATATTATCGGTTGGATGGGATCTGAGAATTGGTTTCTAGTTTGGGATATTGGAAAGGAGTCCGTTATAATTGGTTTGGTTTGGTTGGTCTTGGAAGAACCCCATGTTCTGCAGCGTATTTTGGTCATTGACTGGAAGGGTCTGGATATTGATGGAAACTTGGGTTTATATTTTGGTTCCATTTCTTTTTTTTTTTCTCGCGTTCCTTTCCAGGTCATTTGGATCTGGTGCGGCGCTCGGCTGCTTCTCACGACAGGAATATTTGGTGAATCTCCCATCCCGAGGTATTGATGTGGCCGCGGGGCTGCAAATGAGCTTGTTGAGAGATGCGCGGGCGTACTGACACGATGATGATGAGCCACTAATGATGTATCATGAACACTTAATGACATTTCCAATTTCTTCACGGACAGTTGCACAGGGTCGTAGTCTCCACAATACTGTACGATACACAGCCTTGCAGTGGAGTACTAGTTACTCCTAGTGGTAGTAAGGAGTACATATGTACTCCATAGTCGCGGTGAATTGGGTCGGGATCCAGCAGGGTTGGAGTACCGCCACAGGATAGCCACAGGCAGCAGCAATACAGGCGGTCAGGTCAAGAGTGGACGATCGACCGAAGGGGGGTAGTTCGTGCAGCAGGAAATGGTGTGAATGGTGGAAGGTTGAGGGAAGTGGGGAGAAGTGGAGGAGTAAGTGACATGGTGGCGGGTGATATAGCCAATCACATGGATCGACATCGGCAGAGTGGATGTGGTTAGCCACATTAGTGTGGCTGACTGCGTTGGTTTGGTACTGTAGGGCTATACTGTGGCTGAGGTTACACGGTATTTACCGTAGGGCCTAATTGTAGACTGTGCTCGACACTTGAGAAGGAAACCAGGGATCTGTGGATCTAGGCATCAATCTCGGGAATACGGGTACTACTTGCACAGCCAATCTATTCTAGAATTAGCAAATGCAAATGAAAATGCCTCGTAGATTAGTATACTCCATACTCTAGTTACTACAGTACATATAAAATACCAGTTCAGCCCTGCCAAGCCCAACCGGGCCGAGCAAGTTTCCCAGCCGTACATCGTACTTTCCCTCCGTAAATACAGTGGTGACTGGTGAGTGGTACTCGTACCTTCCCCCAGGCTCACAGGCTCAGGCTCTTCGGTAAACTTCGTCTCCTCTTTTCCTCCTCCATCTCTCTCACCTCACCACCTCTCACCTCCTCCCATCCGCATTTTCGCCCTTCTCCGTCGCTTCTCCAACTTCAGGTAGGTGAACCCTCCTCGACTTCACCCCCCCCTTTCCTCGCTACCGCCCATCCAAACATCCGTCGGTCCTTTGTTTTCCCCCGGGCGTCGGCTTCTCCTATCGCGACCCCAGCCTTATCCCCGCCTTTGATCCAGAGTCGCCGAACTCTTATTGCTTGTTTCGCCCATTTGGAGCTTCATTGGCTAATGCGCTGTCTTGTCCTCATAGGTCCTCTTCCGACGCTATGGCTTCCCAAGGTTATTACGGCCAGCCGCAGCAGCCCCAGTACCCCCAGCAGGCGTAAGTCGACCTCAAATATTCCATCTGCTGCCACGTTATCCTCGTCAATGTCGCACTGCGCATCGAATCCCCTTCTCCGATCGGCAAGAATCCAAGAATTTGCGCTTCGGTGGACCGGAGCGATGGCGTTCAGACCGATATGAGAGACCACAAATGCGTTGAACATCTCGCTGATTGTTCTTATTGAATAGCTACCCTCCCCCTGGTGAATACTACCAGCAGGGTCCTCCCCAGGGCTATCCCCCGCAGGGGTACCCTCCCCAGCAGGTAGGTCTTCCTTGAATCATGTTTAGATTCGCTAGCTAATGGTCATGTTAAAGTACGGCCAAGGCCCCCCTCCTCCCGGTGCTCCCCAATACGCTCCCCAGCAGGACAACAACAAGGGTAAAAGCGGTGGTGGCCAGGGCTGCCTCGGTGCCTGGTGAGTTTATATGCTTTTTTCCCAACCTTGCGCATAGCTAATTTAACACGTCTCTTCTAGTCTTGCAACTCTGTGCTGTTGCTTCGTGTGTGAGGAGGGTTGCGAGTGCTGTGCTGAGTGCATCGAGTGCTGTGAGATGTGCTAGATTCGACCGCCGATGACTCTTGACGATACTTTTCTTCTTCATGGCGTTCGCGTTTCTCAGATCCGCCCGGCGGGTCTATGGGGCAGATTTTCTTGCACACCGCACTCTTTGGATTAATCTATTTCACTTCGAGATATGAATCGGTGGATTTCTTGGGGGTCGGTACCAAACATTCTAGTTTCTATTGCAGCTTTTTCCCTGGCTCCTTCAAGTTAATTTGATACTTTGCTCATGTGTTTATAATTATGTGCCCTCTGGATCCGTTCACCATTAATCTTAATATAAACGCCCTATTCCCAAGACTGTCTTCCTCAGAGTCATCCCGAGACATCCTTGCAGAGACACCCTCCTTTCAACATCTCCATGCGCTCAGCCTTTCGGCAGTTCTACTCGCAGTGTCAGTTCTACTCGCAGTGTCAGTTCTACTCGCAGTGTCAGTTCTACTCGCAGTGTCTTTATTCCATCATGAACTATAACCATGGCGCCGAACCCTTGGTCTCGGATAGCATTGAATACCGTTGCCACCGCCATATTTTAATTTTTAGACAGTATCGCTCTAGCTACTTCTGTATCAGTACAGCATTCATAACATTGATAGTAGAAGTAACACATTTCTTAACGCTCTTACGGTGTGTAGTACATAATCCTTTTTTATGCAAATCTTTCGGTTTTGCTTTGTGTGTGTCGGTTTACTTTGCAAACGTAAACGTTAATAGCAACTGAAATAAATGCTCGTTGTCTCAATACTGTATCTAACTAAATACAAGATAAATGCACAGATGCGAGGGATAGCGTATTGATCTAAGTACCGGCGTGGAGACCATGTTTTACAGCCCTGGACGGGCGGCAAGGAAACAAATAAGAAGCTAGGCACAGCCCTGGCTATATTAAAGGTATCATATTCTCATTCTGCTACGATATTTCATTTTCCTAGACTTGTTTCTTCCATGATGGGTAGGGACGAAAACAGTCCAGCTGATCCTAGGGAGTTCCAGGGGATGGTGGAGGAGTGAGAGGGCTGTCAAGCTTACACATTCTCCGAGATCTGATGGAACAGTTGAACGCAGAGCGGGTTGGAATGGAACCTTTGAAACCATGCGATGTTTTCGATCTCATCAGGGGAACCAGCACGGGCGGGTGAGTGTTCAAGGCAAAATCAGGATACGCCATTCTAGCAAACTAACTCCCTAATCGAATAGCCTAATTGCGATTATGTTGGGCCGCCTAGAGATGGATATAGACGAGTGCCTTAAGGCCTACAACCATCTGATGACATTCATCTTCAGCGAAAAGATCAACAATCTCCCCGTAGGATGGTCAGGGAATATTCAAGCGCAGTACGATAGCCGGAGACTCAAGTCCGCGATCGAAGATGTAATCATCCAAGCTGGTGCATCTCTCAATGATCTAATGAAAGATGGCATCACTCGAAAATGCCGAGCCTTTGTTTGTGCGACGGCGAAAGAAAACACCTGCGCAGCTATACGGTTACAAAAGATGATGCTATCTCGGCAACAGTATGCGAGGCAGCCCTTGCAACAGCTGCGGGAACAGGTTTCTTTGAACCGGTGATGATTGACGATCAACAATACGTGGATGGTGCTTTCAGCGCCAATAACCCAATCGAAGAGGTTGAGGGGGGAGGCCACTGATATTTGGTGCCCTACGACCCGGCAATTGAAACCCTTGGTTGAATGCATCATTTCAGTCGGCACGGGAAACCCTGGAAAGACGGCGCTTGACGATAAGATTTACTTATTTCTGACAAAGACGTTGGTTAGGATGGCCCTGAAGCCCGAAGAAATCGAAAGGCGTTTCGTGGCACGCTGGAACAAGGAATATAGTGAAAAGCGATACTTTCGCTTCAACGTCGAACAAGGATTGCAGAAAGTTGTTTTGACGGAGTACTCAAAAGAGAAAATGATAGAGTCCGCTACATATGACTACCTCCACCAAGGGTCACAAAAGTCCTGCATTCGTGATTGCATCTTGAATTTAATCGAAAAAGAAGGTACGATATTCATTCCGGATCGCTTCCTTGCTTTCGGCTGGATAGCTAAGATTCCACAGAGAAAGCAGGGTTGGATTTTGAGGAGATTATACGAGTAAGTTTGAAATGCTGCTCTTACAATCATAGTTTCGCAAATCATTCCCCAAGGAACATTCAGCCCAGACCCTTCGCCGATAGTTTCTGCGCACAGCGCAATCTAGCAATAAATTCATGAAAGAAAAGCCTCCTGCCTGGGTCGTGGCTCCGACATTATGAATACGGAGAATCAGGAGAATCCGACAGATCAACAGCCCAACGTCTCCGGCGAAGCCATCAGTATCCAGGGCTAGCATCTTGCAGCCTTAATAACATGATATGTATAAGTTAATGCTTTTGTTGCAAGCCCGATGGTCTTGGTCATTGTTTAACCGACCCTCGAGAAATTAGATTCTCGCAGGATTATTACTTCATTTTCAGATCTTGTGCCCAGTTCCTCCTTCGCACGACACAACAACTCTAGATTTTCTGGCAAATAGCGGGATCAGAAAATGGAATTTAGTATCATCGTACTACTATATGTCTCACGGTCTACTAGTACTAGGTTTTGGAAATGCTCAGGTTCAAGCTCAAGTTCTAGGTTCAACTTGAAAGGGCTTGAGCTTCAAGTTGGATATATACTTGTGAGGGCCCCAGGAACTCCAGGGCTTGAATTTGGATTCGTGGAGGAAATTCTTGTACCGAGCTTAGAAGTGATTAATGCGATATCCAGGGGATATTCAGGGACGCCCTTTGCCGAAAGCTTTACTACTTGACTGCCAAAAATATGAAATATCCATATTCCAATAAAGTATGGCCTTTGCATTGAACCTGACAGCGCTTGATCAGATCACGTGACCCGGCGACTTCATAGCGTCCTCGCCCGCCGACGTCAGTTGAGATCGTTTCGGTCCAAGCATTTCGACCGCGAGCGCAATTGAAACTTGGCTTGAGGATTGATTTCGCCGAGTGCAAACTTTTACCTTTCACTCACCCCACGCCGCAACCGTGCGCCCATCACCGCCATCATGCTTTTCTTCAGGTACCCCTCCAATCCAGCCCATGGCGCAAATCGACGAGCTTGAACTGCGCTAACCACACGCCTGATCCAGCTTCTTCAAGACACTTACGAATCAGACCGTTACCATCGAACTCAAGAATGACATTCGCATCCGCGGTATCCTAAAGTCGGTCGATCAATACCTCAACATCAAGCTCGACGATATCGAAGTTTTGGACTTGGACAAGTACCCGCACCTGTCGTCCGTCAAGAACATGTTCATCCGTGGCAGTGTTGTTCGCTATGTGATGCTACCCCGGTCAGAGGTGGATGTTGGTTTGCTGGAGGATGCTACACGGCGGGGTAAGTGAAGCCCTTGATGCCACCATCGGGATTGTGGTTGGGGCTTTCCTCCCGGGCCCTTGATCCCCTCGGAGCAGCTTTCGAGAATCATTGATTGCGACCGCTCATGCCCTCTCGTCGCAATACCCGAATACCTACTGACTCGTTGTTCTTCGCACAGAGGCCGCCAACCAGGCCGGCAAGGCCCGGTAAAGGACCACGACGTTTAACGCCGCGCCTCAAAAACCGCTATAACCATTCAAATAATACCGCCTCGACTATTTCTCGCGATGTGATGTCCTTGGGCTAGGAACATCGGGGACTTGGATCAGCAACTTCCGAGTGAAAGGACGGGCCGAAGCACCTGGCAGAGCGAGGAGGAATTTAATGGTGTGACATGCTGCGCTACACTCCTCAGAAGGTTTTAGACTCGAGATCTATCGCCTGAGGGTCTTAAAATGGAATGACCCTGGCCATTTGTGAAAGTGATCCTGCGTGGACCGCTTGGTGGCTGATTTGTCTGCATTGCTCATGATACTGTGCCCAATACCCTTTAAAACACACCAACTGGTTTCGAATTATCATTTACCTTGATCTGTCTAGCATCAATCCCTCCGAACTGTACGAACTGCTACGAATTGTAAACCTGTAGATATTCCATTTGCGGCCAAAGTGCTCACGTGACTTCGCGACGGGCAGCGCGACGAGACTCGACGCCACCTTTTCTCCCCTCCAGACCATGCATTTCGACCCGGCCAATTTGTACATATTGTTCCAGGATTGCCTACCGGGAAACCTCCGCTCCCAGACTCACAAATCACGTTTATCACTTGCTTGATTCTCAGCAAAATCTTTCTGCCCTGGTCCGCTACCATAACTACTAGCGATGGCAGGTTCTTTTGGGAGGAAAGCGTCCACACCGTCCAAGGGCTTCTCCGCCAAACCTCCGTCCGCCAAACGAAATAGGAGTATCACGACCTTCTTTCAAAAGACCGATGGCCCGCCCGGAGCTACTTCGCGCCAATCCCGAATTACACAATTTGTGACTACTTCACAATCCCCGAGCAGTGGCCGCGGAACCCCAGCCTCCCAGAATGGAACCGGCGCCAGAAACGACGCGGGTGGGCTATTCCTGGAAGACAGGAAGGGTCTTACCAGGATAGACAAAGATGCTGCTACGGATCTGAGCGAAAGGACGCGATCACGAACGCCTGACGATATCTGGGGTGACGAGAACGAAACCTCGGATGCCGAGGACCTACGATACCACGAGAATGCATCGTCTGTCAAACGTCAAAAGGTTGGATCCCCGGACGAACCGGTGGATATTCCACGATTAGATGTATCGACATCGCCCAAAGACTCGGTATCGGCGAAAAAGACGAATAAAGGACCATTTATCGACGAGTCCGACAGCGAAGATGACATGGATGCCTACCGTGATTTGAACGAGGCATCTCCTGCACCAAATGATACGAATAATGAAACACCATCTCCGATGGACGACGAGTTGTCCAAAGACCTTGCCGAATCCGAGCAGCCGCCGCCGGTAAGAGACGCCACGACTCGTGCCGGGAATGAAGGATACCTGAATTTTGACGAACTTGAAGAAGAAGAATTTATAGGAGAAGAGTTTTTGGATAAACCTTGGGAGGACTCAGATACGGAACGACCAGGCAATGGTCTCGAAGTTGACGATGTGAATGATTCAATAAACGATGAAACGAAATCTGTGTCATGTCCAATTTGCCAGACAGCTCTGGTTGGACACAATGAATCTGTACGTTGTGGTTTCTAACTTGATTTTAATTCTTCTCGATGGTCGCTAATTTAGGACAGGAAATAACTGTACATGTGAATGATTGTTTAGACGGAAAGCCCAGTTTGGCAACCTCTCCTCCAAAATCACCACGAAAGCCACTATCACCCATATCAGCACCCCTGCAACCACCTCGCAACACAATTGAAAGCGATTCTTTAAAGCGATCGGAAAGAGCTGCCATTGCACGGCCCGCCCAGCGCGAACCACACCCTCAGAATGCAAGCAGTGGAGGATCTGCTTCTGCTTTCTCCAAAATGATGGCCGGCAATGCCGAAGATTCTGCTTGGGCAACGGCTGCTTCAAACGAGGTCTCGTCTCGTGGCAAGCAGGCCTACCAGAGGACTTGTCCATTTTACAAGATTCTCAATGGATTTGCTATCACAGTCGATGCCTTTCGTTATGGTGCAGTCGAAGGGTGCAATGCCTATTTTCTCAGCCATTTCCATAGTGACCATTACATTGGTCTCAGTAAGTCTTGGTCTCACGGTCCTATCTATTGTAGTCGACCGACGGCCAATTTGGTCCGGATGAAGCTACGAGTCGACCCCAAATGGGTTGTTGACCTAGATTTTGAAACACCCACAGACGTCCCCGATACAGGCGGCGTGCGAGTTACCATGATCCACGCCAATCACTGCCCGGGTAGCTCGTTATTTCTGTTCGAGAAGAGCTTTGGCAACGGACCCAACATACGCAGAGAACGCATCCTTCATTGCGGGGATTTCCGAGCTTCTGTAGACCATATTCAGCATCCACTCCTTCGCCCCGACCCCATCAACCCGGTTACCGGGAAGCCGCGGCAGCAACGACTTGACAAGTGCTATCTTGATACAACATATCTTGACCCGAAGTATGCCTTCCCAAGCCAGGAGAGCGTAATCACTGCCTGTTCTGAGCTTTGCGTCCGCTTGAATGACGAAGCTGGCGTCGGTACCGACACGACCCAGGTCAAGGTACCTGGATTGATGAGCAAGTTCTTATCTTCCGTGACCAACAACGATCGCAAGCAAGATCAAGTCACCTCTACCGAAGGTCGTGGGGGTCGGTTACTTGTCGTGGTTGGCACCTACAGCATTGGAAAAGAACGTATCTGCATAGGAATTGCCAAAGCCCTGGGGTCGAAGATCTTCGCCACGCCGCCCAAACAGGCAATATGTGCCTGTTTGGAAGACCCGGAACTGTCGGCTATGCTGACGAGTGACCCACGCGAAGCACAAGTTCATATGCAAACATTATTTGAACTCAAAGCCGACACATTGGCCGATTACCTCGACCAGCTTAAACCGGCATTTTCGCGGGTAGTCGGGTTTCGTCCTTCGGGATGGACCTACCGGCCCCCCGCGGGTCGTGTGCTCACCAACCCCACAGTACCAACGGTTCTTCGTGGCGAACAATGGCGAACCCCATTTACAGCCCAGGATTTGACACCACAGCGCGGGAGTACGCGGGAGAGCGCGTGCTTTGGGGTTCCCTATAGTGAGCATAGCTCGTTCCGAGAGCTGACCATGTTCTGTTGTGCACTCCGCATTGGAAAGGTTATCCCAACGGTGAATGTGGGGAAAGAGAAGGATCGAGACAAGATGAAGGCGTGGATAGATCGATGGGAGGGGGATAAGCGCTTGAATGGGCTGTTTCCTGCGAGTGAGTGGTAGAAGAGGCCAAGATACACGCACACATACTAATACTCCCTATCCATGCCATCTTTGATCTACTAGTATCTACCATCTATTCATTCTGCTTTAAGGTATTCATGCCATGTATTATCTATCTATTCTACTCTGTACTGGTATATATCTATCTATTCATCTATTTCTTCTACTCGTACATATATCATCTCTTCCATGATATCCATCACGTGCTCTCACGGGACCACACCAGCTTTCACCTCGCACCTTCGCACTTCCTCCCTCGTCAAGTCGTGGCCGGCAGATCCTCATGCTTTTGTCAATCCTTGACTTCTGATTGATCCTTCTGGTCAGAAAAATGGAGCTGCTGAGCTAATAACCGAACTCGGGCGCCAACACCGGCACTCGCTTTGCTACCATAGGATGCTGACTGGCTCGAATTCCCCACATCGCTCCCATCCCCAGATACCGATTTCACTCCCGTTGACCACTTTGACCTCGGGGATGATGCTGCTCACCGTCAATGACCCCTCGCCATAAATACTCCCCCAGTTTCCTTGGGAATTTCTTCCATTATGGATTGACTGCCAGCTTGCCAACTTCCTGGACCTCTCCTCTCGCACTTCTTACTCTTTTTTATCTTCTTTACCCACTTGGTTGAAACTTGATCAACACACCGAGCTCCCCGCTCCGATCGGCCGTGCGCTTGCTCCTTCGAGCTTTTGCTGGTCTCTTCTTTTCCCCCCCAATCCTTGCATTGTCGCACCCGTTTTCCCATCCGTGCCAAGCATCGCTGTATATAGCCGCCATGCTGGTCTCCGTTGAAAATATACCCTATATTCTGCTAGCTCTGGCAGCGGCCTACTACCTGGTGCCGTACTTCCAGCGCTGGCATTTGCATGACATTCCCAGCCCGAGTCTAGCTGCCTTCACCAACCTCTGGGTGCTTGCCCAAGCCCGCCAGGGTAAGCGCTTCCTCTCTGTCGATGCCTTGCACAAGAAGCACGGCAAGCTTGTTCGCATTGCGCCCCGCCACGTCTCTATCGCCGACGATGCCGCCATCACCCAGGTCTACGGTCACGGAAACGGTTTCCTGAAGGCGTATGTTTTCTCAACCCCCCCATTAAACTTCTATCAAGTTGCTAATTTTCTGCCAGCGACTTCTATGATGCTTTCGTTTCTATCCGTCGTGGTTTGTTCAACACTCGCGACCGTGCGGAGCACACCCGCAAGCGCAAGACTGTTGCCCACACGTTCTCTGCCAAGTCGATCGGTCAATTCGAACAGTATATCCACCACAACATCGAAACCTTCGTCAAGGAATGGAATAAACTGTCCGACCTGCAGGCTAACCCCAAGACCGGCTACGCTACCCTCGACGCCCTGAACTGGTTCAACTACCTGGCTTTCGACATTATCGGAGATTTGGCCTTCGGTGCACCCTTTGGCATGATCGAGAAGGGCCAGGATATCGCTGAGATGCGCAAGAGCCCCAATGATCCCCCCAAGTATGTCCAGGCTGTCGAAGTTCTCAACCGTCGCGGTGAGGTTTCCAACGCTCTTGGCTGCCTGCCCGGTCTCAAGCCTTTCGCCAAGTATCTCCCCGACAAGTTCTTCACGCAGGGTATCGAGGCCGTCGAGAACCTCGCTGGTATCGCTATTGCCCGTGTCAACGAACGCCTCAAGCCTGAGGTCATGGCCAACAACACTCGTGTCGATCTACTCGCTCGTCTCATGGAAGGAAAGGACAGCAACGGTAACAAACTCGGCCGCGAGGAACTTACCGCTGAGGCCCTCACCCAACTGATCGCCGGCTCCGACACCACCTCTAACACCGCCTGCGCTATTCTGTACTGGTGCCTCCGTACCCCCGGTGTGATCGCCAAGCTGCAAAAGACCCTGGACGACGCCATTCCCACCGATATCGACGTCCCCACCCACGCTATGGTCAAGGATATTGAATACCTGCAATGGGTCATTTGGGAAACCATGCGTATTCACAGCACCTCCGCCATGGGTCTGCCCCGTGAGATCCCCGAGGGTGCCGCTCCTGTCCACATCTCCGGTCACACTTTCGGCCCCGGCGATGTTCTCTCCGTCCCCAGCTATACCATCCATCGCTCCAAGGAAATTTGGGGTCCCGATGCCGAGGAATTCAATCCCGAGCGTTGGTCTTCCAAAAATCTGACTGCTCGCCAGAAGGCCGCTTTCATTCCCTTCTCTCACGGCCCCCGTGCCTGCGTCGGCCGCAACGTTGCCGAGATGGAACTTCTCGTCATGGGCGCTACTGTCTTCCGCCTCTTCGACTTCCAGATTGAGCAGGATGGTCCCATGGAGACTCGCGAGGGTTTCCTGCGCAAGCCTCTTGGTCTGATTGTTGGCATGAAGCGCAGAACTCATGCTTAAATTAAATATTTATTTGTCTTCAGGAGTATGGAAGACTAGATAAGTCTAGAGCAATGATGCGATGGTGGAGTCAATGGTTGATTTTGCAATGCTCTTTTGTTATTAAATTTTCATCTTCTGTCTATCTGCCCAGCCATTTCGGTTACTGGTGATGATGTGCGATTATGAGCGCGGGATCTCCAATCCCGCTCACGAACTGCCACGTTTTTCCTATGGATATTTGCTTCCAATGATGTGAAGCAAAATTGTGTATATATGATGCCTGTGAATACCTGAATTTGCATATCTCATTTCTACCTTTCAATTTTCGTGTAAGATCTCAAGTCTCAAAGGGACTTGAGTTGTCCCCTTTATCCTCGTCATCGATGTGAAAGAATCAAGAATAATGTCATAAAAGCCCTCGAGAGAATAGTACTCTTTGAATGGAATGTCGTTTATCATAGGGGGTATATCAAAGAGCACAAGCCACCATCCCGCCCGCCGAGTAGTTTGCGATACAGCCAAAATATAGCCAAAATATAGCCAAAATATAGTCATGCCGACAATATTGTCTCAAATATAGTATTTTGAAACGAGGTATTCATATGATACCATCTTTTCTAATACTATATTGAAGAGAATATTATCAGGATACCTAGGTAATTGTATTCATTCAGGGCTATTGTATTCTACTACTACTACTACTACTACTACTACTACTACTACTAACTAGTATTTCTATTCGCGAAGCAATGCGTGCCGCCAAAGTAACGTACGCCAAAGCAAAACCTAGAGATTGAAGTTAGTAAGCTTCAAATTGAACTTGAGAGTAAGGATATTTGTAAATGTAAGGTTAGTTAGGGTGTAACGAGTACTGTATGTAGAAGGAATATATATGTCTTAAGGTAAGTGCCCAGGCGTTAGTTTATAGTACTCTAATAGGTATGACTTACGCGAAGTGGTGCCTAGTAAGTAGCCCTTAAATATACCGAGAATATATTGGAATCTAGAAAATACAGTATTACTTGAAGATACAGTGGTCCTGACTATATTCTTTGTTTGAGGTGTATTGTAGACTTAGTGACGGGCGGGATCCATTGCAAGAAATGTTATAAATACCTAGGTAACACTCACCTCAGGTGGCATACGGGGATGCCACCTAAGGTGACTGTTAATTCTAATCTATAAGGAATTTCAGTAAAAATCAATAGTTGTTGATATATTGGGTTGTAATTTATCGCCTTAACTATGGTGTTCGGGGAAAACGGCTCGCTTGGGAACACGGGTGGCATATAAAACACGTTAATTAGCCGCAACATTGTTCCATCACAAGTTCCGAATCTGAATTTGAGCAAACAATCCTTGTTGGGGATCCTGCAGTGATGGTATTGTTCTGTCACTTTGACCCGCACCACCCGTGCTCTAGATAATTATTACAACGTCACTCAATACAACATATTACAAGACTAGGTTCCATGCAGCCTGACGGTTCTGGGTTACTGACATGTCATGGAGTGAGGAGCGCAGCATGAGGAATTGATGGATACTGGTATGGGCCCGTCGTAATGATGTTGAATCGATACGATTAGTCTTTTTCCTTCTAAATCTTCGTTGTCGAAGGAGTCGTCCAAAGCACTGGGATACCGAGTTTTGCCAACATATCATACAAAAGCCAAAACAATGAGCATGGGAATTGATGAATAATCCTGTCGTTATCGGTAAATATTACCCCTCGGTTTTAAAAATTACTACCTTGGCGATCTTCACTCACCTCTACATCTTACAGTTCCACACTCCGAAATTCATTTCTGAGATGCCTCGGTTTCGCCACTAGCGAGTTACCTATACGACAAGACTGAGACTCGTATAAATGGGCGATGTGAGGACTTCGTGAGTAAAATATATTTCATCCAAGGCTCTGAAAATAATTTCCGCTCTGGTCTACGAGTATACAAGAAAACATATTACCTATTTCCAAGGTTGACAATGACAAAATCTCGCAAGTGGATTCAACAGGAAATCCAGAGTCTTGATCCGAAAAAGGACTATGAGCGCATCTAGAAACTGTCGATGAGTTACCAGATTGGTGCCTTTACCATGAACCTTTTCTATGCTGCCATGTTCCCAACATCATTGTTCCCGAGCAAGCCGCCCGTCCGGTCTGGAGAGAAGATGGCGGAAAGGTTTTGTACAAGTCAACACACCGAGCGCAGCAAACTGGGGACTTCGTGGCTCTCGTATCATGGTACGGGCCTTCGGATTATAGAAGTCACAGAGGTATCAGTCATGAATTCACTTCATTCTTACTCAATGAAGAAGTATCCGGGCGATTTTACGGATGTCAAAGACTATATTTACACGCTATGCACCTTTGCAACACTGCAACATCGGATTCTTGTCATGGTTGGCCTCCCAGGAATATCGGAGAAGGAGAAAATTGCAGCACATTTGTTTTGGGAAAAGATTTCAATCCCGAGCAGTTGGGACACAATGACTTCATTCATGGAGAATATGGAGAATACACGCATTGGTGCGACTCAGCAAGCAAGTCTCATCGCGGAGGCCTTTTTGATCAATTCGCATTCCGTTATTTCCCACCAGGCTTCCGATGGCTTGGACGAACGATTGAAATGAGCCTCGCCATGCCAACAACTCTGGAAGCTTTGGCTATACAGCCAGTCAAATGGCCCATATCTTGGATCATCAGGCAGTTAGTCGCCATATGGCTAGTGTTAATTCTGACTTGGCTTCCCGACCCAAAGAGGGCATCTTGGGAAATACAGGAGGAGTTGTCTCGATCTGAAAAAGAGGCTGCGAACAAGAAGGCAACAGGTCTCGACAAAGGTTTTGTCAAATACTTTTCTCAGCGTCACAAAGCCGCACTTGCTACCACTGCTGTTGTATGAACCTCATTGTATTTGATAGGTGGTTATGGCCTCGAACTTATAAGATGGATAGTCATCGTTATGCAGTACCTAGGTAGCTATTTTAGATGGCCGAGGGATAATATATCAAAGTTACACCGGTACTAGATGAAGGGGTAGGTGGTCGTATTTCAATATCCACCTCACTACTATCATTCCTCTCCCGAGATCCTGATGTAGGAGTTAGGTTATAAGTGAGTTGAGATACGGCTGGGAATACCCTTACGATGAAAATTGATTGCGTCTTAGATTGTCACATTTAATGGGATTTTCTTTACTATTCATTCGCCTAGAATCCTACCTTAGTTCAAACGCATGTAGTTATCGATAATACAAACGAAGGACACAAACCAATATAAGTAGGATAAGCTCCTTCAATCAATAGTCAATTGAACCTTTTACATCAATTTCCCGATTTGCTGTCAGGATTATTTTCGGTTTAGAAAGCTCGCATAAGAGCTCACATATTCCGGTAGAGGATACAAGCTCTGCATTGGACAATATTCTTAAAGCAGGATGTAGGTCATGTCATATAATTTGATAGACTCTCCAGCCCTCGCACTTTCACCGCTAGTCGCGGCGTACCGTATCCTGCCCTTCTTCATATATACTCATTCGCATAAAATACGGACACACAAAGTTCAAATGAGACTGCGGAAAGCCTTTGATAACAAACAAAAAGAGGCTGTTTGCATAAGTCAAAACATCTGCAAAGTGCGATGCTCAAGATCTCAACGATATTTGGTCTTGCAAATCAATAACCGGTTGCGAGCTTCCGGCATGCCTCAATGATTGCCGATGTGGCCAAAACGTATGAAAGTTTCCTTATGGGTGTAACGAACTGGGGTTGTTACCATTCGCGGATGCCTGACGTAGATGGCATCCACCTAGGCTTCCACGCCTACATGTACTTAGTCCCATCTCAGCTTCCTTCTTCTTCTTCTCCTCAAGCTATTACTTTCGTCGAACAGCTACTGTTTCCTTTGCTTCGTATGCTACGCCGTACGTTGATCTCTGTGAGCATCTGAGCATCCTCACAATGGGTGGAACATTCAAAATGTAAGACGGATAATAAACAAAGACCTTCAACAAGACATGGAGGCCCAAGAGATTGACAATCTGTCGATTATCCGAGTCAAGAATTTGGGTAAGAGCAGCAACAGCAGCAAATCCTGAAAAACCTTCGATGAGGAAGCTAGGAGCCGATCGAAGGCAAAGAGGAAGACCTCTCATATTTCCAAGGTGCTGGCGCGGGTGATTCAAATCCAGTCCTTCGGCCCTGGATGCGGCTTGGCCAGCGACTGAGAATGCACCCGTGGCACCGAATGTCCAGAACAGATATATAGCAGTCATAGCCGGGATTACACGATCAGGGTAGGCGGTACAGTCCATTATCGACTTCAACACCATCTCAATTAAACCTTCAATGATTGATCCCGGATTTGTAAGTGACGATGTAACAGGAATCATTGTCTATGCTTGAATTTAGAAATTATTCGTAAGTGGTAAGACAAAAAAGCCCATTAGGTATAGAGGTGCGAGGCCGGCCATGAACAGCCCGGTAAAGTTTTCACTACAGTAATAGAAAAGTCAATTGGGCGCAAAGTCTACCGGTGAATACATCTGCGACTTACATGCTGCCCATTATGGAGACTGGATGATCTGATTGACTCGAGAAATGATATAACTCCACCCAAGTTAGCGGATTGTAATGCGTAAAAGTAGGTGAATATCGATTCTAAGAATAAAATAGAGACGATTATATGAAAACCAAGTTGGGCTATGAGAGGGAAGTGGAGCCAATTCAATGAAATGAAGCCCCTTTGAAGATCAGTAATATGTCCAAGCTAGGTGCAAGAATTTCCCAGAGCGGGCCTCTGCAACCATAAAGCTGGCAGCACAAGTTGATTACCTCGGTCCAGTTTCAATTAGATCAGCGTTGGGGGTGGGCGGGGGGCAATACGGCTTTCTAAATAAAACTATAATCTAGAGGTTAGCCTACACATATCCGTCAAGGTTGCTAATGGGATCAAATCGACGGGCCGAATCCGAGTCTACGGGTGGGATCCGAATCGAAGGCCGAGATCCGAACCGCTGGGTGGATTTGGAGTCGAAAAGGTGTGTGATGACCTCAGGGCCATAAAACCTGTTTTTTGAATGTCCGATCTATCATTGCATAGCCTTTCGAGGTCTCGAGTGAATATTGACTTGCACCCGTATCTATTTCGAGGGCTCGATGCCGCTGATGCTTTTGATGCCGGCTGCACCGATATAGTTGATGATTCCGATCGTGATTCCAATGCCATTGTTCAACAGTCTACTGCTGTTCCACGACAAAAATTGTTCAGTACACTTGAGTAGAGAACTTTTGCGTTGATACGATGGTCGTTGGGCCTATTTTGGCTTCTTCCAAGCATATAGAAACCTTGTTGCGTTGTCTGCAAAACCCCAGCCCATTGTCACTACTATTCACTTTCAAAAGATCTCCTACATCAGGTCAAGAATCAGTATGTTTTCTCGGTGTACTATCTGCAGACTGCCATCCAGGGATCAACAAGAATCTTTCAAGTTACAAAGCCAAAATTGGGTCTGCCCGGCGTTAGAGCTATGAAGAGACTCTCAATGGAGATAATTTCCCTAATGCTGCATGATATTAAAAGACGGAGGTCTGTTTCTGTGATGAAATGCAATGCCAAACATGCAGGGGGATTATCGTTTGATTGGTATACGCAAGTGGAGCCTCCTAGGCAGTATGTACCTATAGCTGCGAAATCATCAATGCCTGGTATTTTTTGCTGTTAGCCCTTGAGGCTGCTCAATCTTTTTCGCGACAAGATATTATCGCAGAAGTCAAATTACCCATAGGCATATATGTATGCCGCAAATAGTATTGACCATTAGGCGCTCACAACTGGGCAAGCACGCATAAACCTCTGGATCTTTAATTCTACCTTTAAGGGAAGATTCAAGTTCACCTGGGCGTGCTGCGCTGGGGCCGAAGGTCGGATCTCTAGCGAACGGGTTAGGAAAAACAATTTAACTAATCCATGATGTGGATAAAATGAATTCATTCGTTATTCATTGAGTAAGAGTACTAGTATTAGGTGGGATAACAATCCATGACAATTGACCGCGACTAACCCACCACTGCACCCAAGGGCATTCAAGCCACGTAAAAAAGAAATCGAACTACCAAGTAGCTGGGCCGAAAGTCTGACCCTCAGCAAGGGGAGTCCGGATAGCACTATCCTGAGCATCCATGGTATTTGCCGCAATGTTGGTACCCCACCAGGCAGGGAACTGAGTGCCGGTCAGGTTGAGAGTCAGGAAAATCAGAATGGTGCAGATAGCCAGACCGACATCCAGACCCGCGGAAAGGACGTAGTTGTACTGCATCCACCATCCGCGCCAGCGGTCACGGATCCACTTGTTGAAGACGAATCCGACAATACCCCAGCTGAGGTAGTTCAGCGGTGTGGCGGGTGGGATCAGACCGGCTCCACTGAAAATGAGAGGGGCGTTGAGATAGCGAATCGAACTCTTGGGCCACTTTCGGGCGCCGACGTAGATGACGATTGGCAGGATGAGACCGGCAATCCAGAAGAACATGAGTGGGGAGTAGATCTGGCCGATGGAGAACATTCGCTGCGGACCGATTACACCCCAGATAACGGAGGCGTTGAAGAAGACTCGTCCGTTGGGACAGGTGTAGTGGTTTGGCTGGTCGCTCTGGCAGACCTTCTTGATGGCGCCGAGGGCCCAGTTCATTGTTGCGATTTGGACAAGGGAGGACCAGACACCGGCGACCATCTGTGCGGTGAAGGTCACCCGGGGAGGAAGCTTCATGTAATGGCCTGTCAATTGTTAGAATGAATGAAGAAAGAAGAAAAATGGAGGTTATAATGCTAAGGCTTACCGAGTTTCAGATCTTGGGAGAAGTACATTCCCTGGTACATACTCATGTAGCCGTATGTCTTGAAGAGCATCATGGCCATGGGCTTTCCGGGCTGCATGTATCCAATGATGAACTCAGTGAGGACATTGAGGCCAATATCGATATTAGTCGAGGCTTTGACGATACCCAGAGGAACGAACCAGAACAACGCAATGGCGAGGGAGATGAAGAAGGCCCACCAGCTCAGGTGTGTTTCGAAACCTTGAGTGATACCAAGTGCGATGCCGATCATGATAAGAGTGACGACTCCGTACCACCACATGGGGACGGTCTTAAAACGTGCCATCAGACGACTGTGCACATCCTCTGTCTCGCCACCACTCTGGCGGAACCGGGCCCAGATGTCAGAGCCGTGGAATAGACCAGTGTGCACGATAACGGCAATGATTCCGGCAAATGATAGACCGTAGCAGAGGGTGAATGTCGTTGACAGGAAGAGCGGCGAGTACTCCTTGTACTTGACCGGGTCGAAGGTGAACTCTGGAGTGAGAATCTTGCTGACATTGTAAATGTTGCCGGTGTTGTCGTAACTCTGCGAATCACTAATTGGTAGATATTCCGCGTAGAACAGCCCCTTGTAGTGGATACCCGCAGTGACAATCCAGAAGAAGAAGACCATGCCAATCAAAGTGTTGGCAATGGCATACCACGGCGCAATAAGCGGACTGAAGTTGAATCCGGAAATTTGAGTCCAGTCAAAGGTCATGGGGAGCAAAGATAGACCGGTCCAACCGCCAAACAGCTGATTGATGACAACATTGTTGGGCTTGATCCAGGTAACCCAGGCGAAGACGCTGAGGAAGGGGGCGATGTAGCCGGGGAACCAATACCAGCAGAACGATCCTGTCATCGCAACGAGGAAAAGACCATACCGGCCAATCTTCCAGCCAGAAACCTTGCGGGGATCGGGCTTGGAGTGATCGTGAAGAGCGGAGAACAGGGCAGTGTTGATCAAAGTCGATGGCCAGATCATGGCGGCGGGCTGGACCAGGAATTTGGTGAAGAAGCCAGCCATGCCAAATCCTAGCATCTGTGTTGAGCTGAATTGATGAATTAGCATCAAGTATCGATGACAAACTAGCAGAGGAGGTCGCAAAGAATGAGACTGCGGAGTACTTACATGCACATGAAGATTTCGAAAGCCCACCCGAATTTCTGTCCGTAGAATGCGCGCTGCGCTAGAAGGACATCCGTCGCATATGCGGCACTGGAAGTATAGGAATTAGCATTTCCAATCTGACCATAGATCACAACTCTAGATGAGTTGATTATCAACCATCTAGCAAAGACTCACCCGCCACCAAAGGTCGCATTAGCCATAATGACAACCAGCGTATGTTCCTTCTTGCTGAAAACACCAGGATTGAGATTGCAATCAATACCGAAGAACTTGAATTTCTTGGCGGGCATGAACTTCTCCCACGCCTTGCCAACGGGGTAAGCAACGACCTGGGCGATGTAAGATGGAATAACAATGTACGGCTGACGCATGGAGAAGAGCATGTTCAGTGCAGAGCCGATTGTCGCAAAGATCAGACCAATGACCCAGGCACGAATAGTATTGGTGTGTCCTCCTTCGTCGACATTGGGCACTGCGGAGCGCACTTCCGGATATGGTGAGTTGTCGAGAACTTCGTGTGCAATGTCAACCCGTACACCCTTGTCTTCTGTAGCAAGGGCTTCGTCGAGCTCATCCTCGACTTCATCTGGCATGTTTGGGTCCCAGTGATGGTGGGCCTTCAGGTTGCGCAACTTGGTGAGAACATCGTCATGTGCGTTTTCGTCAACACCGCTGGAGACAGCGACGTTGGGCTGTTCCTTCTCCATTGCGGGAGTGGATAGTCAAGTTGAACTTGACCAAGGGTGAAGTAAAGAGATTGGGGATAAGGAGAAAAGCAAGGGAAGAAAGGGAGAGCGTGGTGAAAGTGAGGAGATGTGATAGGGTATTTATTTCCTCCGCGCCTCAGTTAGCTTTCACCCAACGCAAACGCACTAAACCATGTGGTTCTTCCACTTCGTATAACGCTAAAGCACTAAAGCTTCAATGGAAGAGTCCCGACGGTGGTCCGCCTTATCGTGTGAGGTCGAGATCTGAGACCAGCTGGGGAACAACAACAGTGGATGTAACCTCAATTAAGATGTCAGATGGGTTAAACGCACCGACGAGGTAAGAAGAGGAACTCTGATTCGAGGAAACAACGAGTGGGGAACCTTTTTTTGTACATAAAAGAAAAGAAAAGAGTTAAAATATCGTGAAAGCCTGGTTGGGGGATGAGAGGCGAGCAGGAACGAGGCACTACAATACTAGGTACTAGTACTAGTGCTACTAGATAAACTGGGAAATATCCTAGAATAAACCAGAGGAACGAAGTGAGCAACACCCAATCAAAACGATACAATCGGGTTCTTGTTGCACGATACTGGCCGCTCTCAGACCATTTTCCGATTTGACCATGTTTGCATTGGCGACTCCGAGCCAGTCATGATGCTGCGATCCTAGCTGGCCAACCCTCGCCCCCATTCCTCAACTATCGAGAGTCCACTTAGAAGCTTGGCCACTTCAACCCGGCACACCTGTGGCGTTCCTGAGGTTACTCTCTCCCCGCGCTCAGTGAAGTTTCCAATCACAGCAACTGCATCCGGCGATGGATTTATCCAGGCGGGAAATTCGGCATTTGATGGCGTGGCCCTCGCGCCATCGCACGTTGCCGACGCTAGAAAATCACAGACGTAGACAAACGTAAACGCAGACGTGGATTCCCCTTGTCGAGAACCTCGGGAAAGCCGAGGCATTGCCACGGGGCGTTTTCGGGGGAACACAAGCGAACTGATAAAGAGACCCGCCCAAGCATGGACGAAGTTAACTTTGTGTATGAGTAGAACGAGCTTGTCAGAGATAAGCCAGTGGGCGTTGTGGGGACAACTCTTGGAAAGTCTTATGGGGCCAATGGTTTGGGTTCACCCCCCTAGTGTCGCCCTTATCCCATTAGTGTTGCTGGTGAGTGGCTGGCGGGTGGCCGACGCTAATCTAAACGCTTGCAAGCGTGCCGTCGTCCAGCACCAACGCACGGCAGACTATCCTGGTTGGGCCCATGGCCGGCGCCACTGTTTTCAAGGGGGTTACTAGCAGGTTGGTCTAATGTGCCACACTTTGTCATGATTCTGTTGCGCCCGCAGTCCGTCGGATTGTACTCAGGCGGGATAGCACTCCTCGGCAAATTCGATAAGACGAAAGACCCTGCCAAGCCTGCGACAGGGGCCAAAAATTTCACTAGTAAATTGCGATTCGAGAAAGTCCAGATCACAATCGAATGCGGTCAACCTGCTGAGAGACTAAAGTTCCCCTGCGTTGTGCAGGAAATACGACACGGCATCGCATCCCTTTCATCCCTGCGGATCTCTTCCGAAAACAATCTTCCATGGGGTGGTGGATAGCGCGGCCCTACCAGACACGATCGACCCGCAACTGAAATGCGGGGAAAAGCGAATCCTCCCATGCGTCGTGGAGCCCAAAAGTGTGAGGGAACTGTCAGCCGACCTGGAGCTGAAACTCTCACGCAATAACTTTTATTCCTATTGGTGGGGAACGGGGAATGTTCGGTTGCAATCAACATCCAAGGGGTAAGCCCGGAGTCCAGAGGAACATTCGAACAGGATTTTAGGATCTCACCCGGTCTCTCTGGACCCTGTGGCGACAATCTGAGTTAGACTGAGGGCTGGTGGCTAGTGGCTGATATCCATGGCTTTGACATCTGAATACTTTTTTATAGAAATTTCTCTCTTTGGCTGGAGATTCCAGCCTTGACAAGAGGAATTCTGCGACTCGGCACAATCTGTTTATTGCCACTCCGCGGGATAGGAGCAGATAAAATTTCGGTAAATGATTTGACTCCGCGTAATTGATGTGGATCTTCCCCGGCTTCGAGCTGCCCGATTTGCATCCGCTGCTTCTTTGTCTATATCTAACGGTCCTAGCGCAGTGGCGGACTAGCCAAGTGAGACAGCCGTCTTCTTTCGCGTAAGCCTTGCGCCGCTAAAATCGCCGGGCTAGTTCGTCTTGGCACCACCAAGAGACGTTCCTTTCGCGTGTGCCCAAGGGTCAATCCAGGGTAGAACGGCTATCGTAGGGGATCGCTTAATTTCCCCGCGGTATCCGGCCATAGGGTGAGATTCACGTTGATATCGATATTGATATTGATATCGTAGTCGAACCGCAGACGCCATGACCCTTGAGATACAGTTGAACAGGTGTTGGCGGCAAATGCCGGATAATCATGGATATAGCCCTATCTACGGCGATTTCTACCACATGGGCCCCCAATCATACCACTGACCCTCACAGTAGATTACTCGCGGGGGCCCAATTTGCAGGCAGTGGGTCCAACGAGAACAGCGCATCGTCGCCAAGAGCCCATTCGAAATCAGCTAGAAATTGCTCGTCAAGATGAAAAGCGTTGTTTTGATCCAGCATGCCTGAAGACGGCGCCATACAACCAGCAAAATCGCGATTGGCGTCTACCGCTGCCCCTGCGCCTGCATCAGTTGCGACATGGTAACGTGAGCGCATAAAGACCTTACCGTCTGAGGGTTCTATGATCGATCGCATTGTCCGCGACGGGGGATCGAACTCGTCTCGCCACCACCATACTGTGTCAAGGATTGGACTAAGCACTAGTCGGCTGCGAATCCGCAGAGCCGTGTACTCGCCGCCGTCGGCTTTCCGGAAAGCCCTGGTGCTATTCCATACAGAGTTCAGTATGGTCACGGTCTTCGCAGCCATGTCTGCGCTATCCACCGTCATCTGCTTGGCCATGTTGATGGCTGTAAAAACTGCTGCTCGTGCGCGCGTGGTTTCTAGGCCGTGCGAGGCCGTGTTACTTTTGAGAATCCGAAGAAGAGACGTCGAGGCCAAGAGAATCGCAAAGCCCATCTGGACTGGGCACATCGCCAAGCAACCAAGCCGATCTGCAAGGGACTGGACGTAGTCGATCAAACTGCACGCGGTAACAAGAAGCCGTGGGTAGAAAGCGCTTGAAACCAGCGTCTGGATTTTATAAAGGTGGAAGGTCTGGATTGCTAACCGGCAAAGTCCAGTATCGAATCTCTCTTCGTCTGCAACATCATCTGTTAGTCAATGTGGAGGTCTCGGGAAACAGTATCGGAGGATATATACCAGTCACAGCTTGAAGTTCTAGTTCATCTACTTGTCCTTCGTAGGTGCGGAGAAGGATGTCTAACGCACGTTCCTGGTCTAATGACATAGAGCGCATCCCATTTTCCAGTACTGCCTCACTGCATCGTGCAATGAGCTCTTGGCAACGAAGCTTAAGTACCATCCAAGGCGCGATTGTATCGAATAGGTTTTGGCGTTGAGCGGGATCTTGGGAGAGGCTGACCAACGCTCGTGGTAATTGTCCCTTTGTCATGCATACTCTACAAAATATATCAGTGATTCACTCACAATGGAAAAGAAACGCCAGAAAGAAGGATATCACTGAAACCCACCTTTGGTACACAATGACAGTATGCGCCCACAGCTCCGATCTCCGAACTAGATCCGCCTCACACGGTGCGGGCATCTTAACACGTGAAAACTCATGACTGGACATCGGTATGTGCAAGCCATTCTGCATGGCAATATGTAACAGCATCCCACTGAGCGGAAATGTCACATCTGGATGTTCACCTTTTGGAAATGGCCAGGTTAGCAAGAGCAAGAGGCCCTGGATAGTATGCCATGGCGGCGAGGTCGATAAGGCAGACAAGAAGGCCATCTCTATGACACTTCGAGCCAGCGCCATTAGCAGCGTGGGATTCCGCGCGTAGGCCCGACATGATACGCCAACTATGCACCAGAAGAGGAAGGGGGATTGTGTATAGTATGTGTCTGGTCTGGATTGTGGGTCGAGAATGGGTAGGAATTGGGCGTAGTGGCGGAAGAAGCTGTCACGCATGGATTAGTCAACAGGGGAAAATATGCTTCTGGTATTTTGAAACCGCACATATGAAACAAATCGTCAATTTCATCCCCCCTGACTTCCACCCCATGTAGACTCCGAGACCGGGTTGTGTCCCCTTCCAATGCCGGTGCCGGTGCCGGAGTGGACGGGGATATTCCCAAGCCATTAGGCGCAAGGAGCTGCGGTGGATATGATGGCGGCGGAATATTTGGGGTACCTGACATAGAATCACTGTTTGGCTCGGATCTTGGAGCCATCTCCGCCGCGGCTGTTAGCAGGGCAATGGGTGATGGGTGCGGGTCCGCTGGGTGCGAGGCCCGGAGCTTACGGCGGAGATCTTCAGATTCCTGCTGTAACTCCGACATTCGTCTGGTAGAGTTGTTAGCATATTGAATGGCCTTTCTGCTTTCTGGGTGAGATGAGGTGTACACACTTGCGTTTGTGCTCTCGCCTGAAGGGGTCTGAGATGACACAGCTCGCATTGACCTTGCGACACCGTGTACATGGCTCATCGGGATTCAGATAAACATCGCATTTAGCCTGTATTCATAGACGTTAGATGAGTCCAACTAAAACAAATGGAGACGGGAATAGGGTCTCGCGGCAGGACATGATAGGTACCTTTTGCTGGCGGCACTCAGTGCACGCCTTCTTCCCCTTCTTCAGTGGCCTACGCATGACTTTGTTAGCGCCTTGAATGAATTGGAATAGAGATCGTCCTCATCCTTACTCGGTCATGGAGTAATGTACACCGGGATCTATGATGGACACAGACCGTCAGAGGATGCGTAATGCGTAACCGGGTTCAAGTTGGTAGTGGGAGAGATATGAAGTGAAGAAGAATGCCGTTCCCGGGATTGCGCGGCACCGGCCCGGGCGGAACCAGCCGACTATAAAATGGTTGCCTCTCCCTGCCCAAGGTTTTATTTGTTATCTCATCCCATTCCTCCATTTCCACTCTACTATGAAAAGCAAAATATGGAAAAATATGGAAAAAAAAATTACAATGAGTTCTTGAGCAGTACTTGAAATTATGAACCCTGGAAACCCCTTGTAAGCCCGTGCGAGGCTCGAGCTAGTAACCGTTTCCACCGAGGCAATCTGTCCTACCAGCAGAGATGAAGTAGACACTGGCAGAGTCCATTTAGGAATGAGTTAATTTTAAAATGTGAAAAGCTCATAGTAACGGGTACCTTTGGGTTACTAATAATGGTGGTACAGGCCAGATTTTGTACAGGCTCAGGCGTGAATGCAATTCGACGGATTTGTGTACAAGTACTAGTAGTGGACAAGGAGCAGTATTGAGGGAAATGTAGGATATAAACCTTGGGACAAATCACACCATGTTCCAAAGTTGCTCTCAGGGATTTCGAAATACCAACTTGTTGTACCAGTGTACCTAGTTGCTATTATTCAACAGATGGTCCCCGAGGGCGAGCGGCGAATGTAGTAACACTCTCCATGTCGTATACTCGTATTCGCATGTGCCTTTTGTTAATTTTGCCCTCCCGTAGCTCTTGAGTTATTCGGCCTATCGAAGCATTCCGGTCTTCCTATATCTTCTGGCCGAGAGTGAATTTTTATTGCCATTGCCATTGCCATTGCCAGATTCCAGACCAGATCGAGTGGCTCAGCGCCACCATCGAGGCGACGTGATGCTTTCAGTCTGACATCACCGCCCCCTATCCAGACTATATATACAATGCTGGTCAGAAATTCCCTAATTGGACCTGTTTATTAGTATTACCAGTATATACAAACAGCGTGACTACAACTTTTGTACATACCAATTTGTTCGGCTGGTCGATACCCGCGCCACTTCGCCATAATGACTTTCGAGATTCCCTCGGTCTCCGAATTGAAACACGCCGCTGAGGACGGTCAGCGCATAACCCCGGCCGATGTCTCGTCCATCTCACAGGCCGAAAGCGAACTAACGGGGCGCGGCCCGGTTCGTGGTGGTCCAGCTGGCAGGGCAGGAATCCCGGGCCACCCCATGTCATCCCGGCCCGCTCTCTATCGGACTTAAGCTAAAGACCACAGATTTGATGCTAACTAGTCGTGATATGTAGCTACAGCACAAAGTATCGCGATGAGACAAATGAATTTCGATACCAAGTTGGACGAGGTTTCGCGTAAACCTTCCACTCAGATTTCACAGCGAGATGCAAAAGAAATGCAATCGTCCGAGGTAGGAGGTTCTTCAAGTCACATATCCTGGATTTCAGCCTAGACTGAATCCACATATGGACAAAGATGAAACTAGTAAACTGATCTTTTTTTCAGGGACGAGCTTTCCACCGTGCACCTGGCTTTGGATCGGTATCCTCGCAGGTTCGCTCGATTGCCAATCAGAACGAGGTACCGGATATACCTCCTATCATGGCAGATGTGCCAGCATATGTAACCAAGGACGATGCGCGCGAGGCGCAACGGGCCGAATCGTTGTTCTACGGCGGTGCGATCCCGAGTGGTGGGATGGCATCGCAGATGCAGGTAAGTGGGCAGTGTATTGTGGCGGTATCATGGCTCATGATCGCATTGACGAGATTTGTAGAGTGCAGCGGATAAATTGGAACAAGCGCGGCGGGGTATTATCTAAGATCGTATATAAAGCAAGGTAGAGCAAAGCAGAAACAATACAATCGCCGGATTTGGTAATAACCTCGGGCAAAGGGACCAAAGAAGTATGTGTACTAGTGGACCTTGGGTGAGATTATAGTGGATTTACCCGAATTCTTCAATGGTTTGGTCTTACTAGCTTCTTGGAAGCTTCCCCTCACTCGGAGTTAATTGCGTTAAGGGCGAGAATGACGGGGTTATGCAAGTTATTCAAGAAAGTCAGCACTCGTGATCGTCTGTGCCGAATAACCGATTCTTTCTAAGCTAAACTTGAAATGATAGTTAAGTCACACACTTACCCCCTCTTGCACTTCGTGGAGGTAGCATAAAAGTCATGGAACAACTATTTTGATATCGCCCTCCTCGCCCGCCACCCCAATGACCATCATCACACGCATCCTGTCCCACGCGGCAAACAAGCCCTACCGAACGAAAAATCTAGATACCGAACCGCCCTTTCTGAACGATGACGGCCATGTTGATTTCGGCCCGAATGATATCGAAAATCCCCGCAATTGGTCCTTCTCTCGGAAAACATTCGTAACCATCGCCGCGGTCCTGCTGGTCGTTAATGCGACTTTTGCCTCGAGCTCGCCGAGTGGTTGTTTTCCTTCTATCTCAAAGCATTTTAATATTTCGACCGAGGTTACCGGTCTCACAATAACATTATTTCTATTGGGATATTGCGCTGGCCCTCTCATCTTTGCCCCGCTTTCTGAATTCTATGGCCGACGATGGATCTTCTACATCACTTTCGGCAGCTATATGGCATTTAACTTTCTCTGCGCCTTTGCCCCGAATTTCGCAGCCTTACTTATCGGTCGGTTTTTGACTGGTACTTTTGTCTCCGCCTGTCTGAGCAATTGTCCGGGTGTCTTGGCGGACTTGTGGAATCCATTGCAACGCGCCAATGCGATGGCCGGCTTTTCGGCTATGGTTTGGATTGGACCGGCTCTTGGACCTGTTGTTGCGGGATTCATCCAACTAAAGAAGGATTGGCAGTGGAGTTTCTATGTTCTGTTATGGTTGGGCGCGCCGACTTGTTTGGTCATGCTGACGATTCCTGAAACCTATGCGCCGATTGTTCTCTGCAATAAGGCGAAGCGAATTCGCAACGCGAAGATTCCGGGATATGAGACCGTGAAAGCGCCCGCGGAGGAGAGTGATCGTACACTTGCTGGTATCTACAAGGTCGCCCTTGTTCGACCTTGGATCATTCTCTTTGATCCGATATCCTTGTGCTGTGCTATCTACCTGGCCTTTGTTTACACCCTGCTCTACATGTTATTTAGCATCTATCCCATTGTCTTCCAGGAGAAGCGAGGGTGGAATTCTGGTGTCGGAGAGCTACCACTGGTTGGCACCGTTGCCGGCGCGCTGCTCGGCGGCGCAGTTGTCCTGATTGATACCCGGATGCGACAGAAAAGAGTCGACAGAGGGGATATGAAGATGGAAGATGCTGAGCCTGAGGATCGGCTGCCCCTTGCCATGATTGGAGGTGTTGGGTTCGCTGCGTCCATGTTTTGGTTTGCATGGTCGGCCGAGTACAAGTGAGTAACCTCCCTTGGCACGTTAACACATTACCTGAATGAAGCCCTAATCTCATTAGCCATGTCCACTGGATTGTCCCAACGTTGGCTGGATGCTTTCTGTCTAGCTGCCTTCTCCTAATTTTCGTTTCGTATCTCAATTATCTGGTAGACGTTTATATGATGTGAGTCTCCCGCAGAGGATACCTTGGTGTTATACAGCGATTTAAATTGACACATTCGCAGGTATGCCGCATCAGCCATTGCTGCGAACACAATTGCGCGATCCGCCTGCGGCGCTGCTGCGCCGCTCTTCACAAATCAAATGTTCAACGCGCTCGGGGTGGGAGGCGGAGGTAGTCTCATTGGAGGAGTGGCTACTCTGTTGGCGGTGATTCCATTCCTCTTTTACAAATATGGCAAGCAGATTCGGGCCCGGAGCAAGTTTTCGCCAACGACACAGCAGCGTGTACAACCGAAGGATGAGGAGAGTATGCCGAATAGGGACGGGGAAATGGATAACTCCGAGTCGAAGGAACTTGCATAAAATATCGCTAGGGGCCCTTGAGTACTCACTGGCAGTTCCCAAGCACATATATACATAGCCCAAAATTGATAGATATATTTCTTATCTGTGCTCCACGAATATACATTCCATGTAGTACAGACGAGGCTGAGTACTCGAACTTGAAAATATGCGAGGATGAAAATGCAGGTCGCATATCAAATGCCGGGCTGATTATTGTGAATGGTCCCGACCAAAGGGACAATCGTACCGGACAGTAGAGAGAAGGATGCATTGAGCCTTGCCCAGAGGTGCCCCGGTGTGTGTGTGGATGAGGCACTCGGGGAAAGTCGTAGGAGGCTTGCATTGCAGGGGGCATCCCTCGCCCGACCCGCTCGACTGGATTGACTGCCGATCACGGTGGTGGCCTCGCTGTTTCTCCGATAATCTCTGCGACAGCCTGCCAATGCCAACCCTGGCCGGACCACGAGGATGGTGGGGGTGTGAGCTTCCAACTGACAGGTCCGATTTCACCTCGTCGAGATTGAAACTATCATCTCAAATTCATGTTCCAATTCCAGTTTCAATGCAGCTGCAGCTGCATATGCATATGCAGGAGGAATTGTCATCCTGGAACTCCGTGTTGGACTCCGATATATGCGCAGCATGCACCAGCCACCCCTCTAGGACCCACGAGGGGTAGTGATGTATCAGAATCCACTCTAGCTCTTCTGAGCTGACCGCATCTCTTTATCTCACATCTCGTACATAGTCACCAAGCTCGAAGGAATAAGTGGTCCCATTCCAGTTCCAGAAATGTTTGGGAGAGTTCCGCGATGCCCCGCAGACCCCACACTGACTCCAATCCACATGTCCTTGAGCCACGAGGGTCGAGGGTCAAAGTCAAGTATCGGTAGGAATATCCTGGGCAGACAGGGGAAGCAGGGGCTGGGCAATTGATTCAAATGAATACTGTCAAGACACGAATAGGGAAAGGAGCGAGGGTACGCCGGTCTGCGTAGTCAGATGGTTGAGATGGTTGAGATGGATTGCGGGGCTCCGGTCCCGCATTGATTGAGTTGTGCCTTTTTCCTGTTGAGTTAAGTGGCTGGCAAGGTATTTGTCATGCCTGGAAGCTGCGTGAGTGGAAGCGCGCGAGTGAGAGTGGAAGCGTAAGTGGGAAGTGGAAGAAGCTAAAAGAAGAAAAAGGAGGGCATCCCGTAAGGATGGAGCTCGAACAATTTGGAATTATCAATGATGTAATGGCAGTAATCAGCAACAATCAGAATGCTGTCTTCGCTTTAAATACCCTTGGGTCCTGCAGTTAGTCCCAAGGTCCTCACATCATCACTTCAACTCTTCCCTCTTCCACTCCTCTCTGAGCACCTTGTGAGAATCAACTCCCCTCAACCCAACCAACCAACCAATCATGCCTCTCTCCGGTCATTGTCTCTGCAAGGCGGTTACCTACACCGTTGATCAGGATGCCCCTCTGATTACCGCCTATGATCACTGTGATGACTGCCAGCGCCAGTCCGGCTCCACCTACTGTAGGTAGTTCAAATTCGAGCTTGATATAGTATCATCCCAACTGGAGTACCTAATTTACTAACATCCTCGCTCTGAATAGCCCTGGTCGCCGTCGTTCACAAGGATAAGCTGACCATCAACGGCCCCATCAAGAAGTGGACTGGCAAGGGTAGCTCCGGCAATGACGTGCACCGCCTCTTCTGCTCCGACTGTGGCTCTCCCATCGCTCACGACCCCGATGCCGCCCCCGAGATCATCGCTCTGAAGGCCGGTACCCTCTCCACTGAGATCAAGCAGACCCTCAAGCCCGACACCGAGATCTGGACCGTCAGCAAGCTCCCCTTCTGCCAGGAGCACCTCGAAAAGCCCTTCAAGCACATGCCCGAGTAAATCGCACAGCTCGATCATACAAACCAGTTCGGCGCGTTTGATAACATGCTCTCTTCAAAACCCTTGGTCCTGTCACATGTGATACCGGAGTGCAACCCATAAGAACAAAAAACACAAAAAATAACCAGATAACTTACGAATAGCCAAAAAGAGTGGATGTTGATGATTGATGATGATACACGAAATAGTCTGAATATGACAATGTTCTAATTTTCTTCACCCTTTCCCTGGAATTTTCTCTCTTCACTTATGGATACCGGAGCATTCCACCCCAAGTAGGCTCGAGGTGTGGCGACATTCATGTCGGACCACCCGGGGAATTTTGTGAGAGATGCACACGCAATCTGCTGTCGCACATTGGCAGCTTGCACATGATCATAATATATCTATAGCTAGGTTAAGCCTGCCTTTTTCTCGTGAACAATTCATGCCATATAGCTCAACATGTCAACTGGCACTTTGTTTGTCCTCGACTCGCGTACCGGCTTCAAGTACGACATTCCCATCCGTCGGAATGCAGTTCACGCCCTTGATCTTCAGCGCATCCGAGCGCCCGGCGGCACAGCTCATCCAGCAGACCAAATCTCGCGTGGTCTTCGTGTGTTTGACCCCGGGTTACAGAACACTGCTGTGCAGGAATCTGCAATCAGCTTTTCGTTGGCAATTCCATGCTTCCATAAATTCCTCCCACTACTAATAAATGCCTAGGGACCACGACCAGAATTCTTTAATCTTTTGGGGTTACACCCTGGAGCAGCTATGGGAGGCTGATTTTGAACACATGTTTCATCTTTTGATGTGGGGGACATATTCTTCGGAAACCCAACGGGCAGAGCTGAGCCGGAAGCTGGCGCAACACATGAAAGATATCCCAAACGCCGTCCATGACGCTATTCATATGTTCCCGTATGACCACGTTTATATACACTTCTGACCGACTCTGTTTTAACTCACTGGCCTGACTAGCAAGTCCACCCTGCCGTTGCCGTTGATCCTCGCCGGTCTCTCTGCCTACCTGGCTTCTGTGCCCGATGTGATGCCCATTTCAACACATGCGACTATCTACCAAGAGAACCTGGAGCATGGCGATCAAATTATTCTTCAAACAGTTGCCTGCTACGCCGTCGTTTTCGCCGTAGTCAGATGTCATCGCAATGGCATTCAATACCAACCCCCTTCAGTTGACCGAACATACTTCGAGAACCTCTTCATTATGGCCGGACTAACTGATTCAACCACTCAGCAGCCCGATAAAGTCAAGCTGTCATGCTATCGTCGATTCTCTCTCCTCAATGCAGACCACGGAATGGCCCTCTCGGTTTTCTCTGCTCTCGCAACCGCCTCTTCTCTCACGGATCCGATATCCTGCTTGATCACAGCCATCACAGCTGCTCATGGTCCACTACATTTCGGTGCCACCGAGTCCGCCCAGCGCGCACTGAAAGAAATCGGGAATCCAGACAACGTATCCGCATTTTTAAATGAAGTGAAAGCAAGGAAACGAAAGCTTTTCGGATACGGACATCGGGAGTACAAGGGAATTGACCCACGGGTCGCCCTTATTCAAAAGATCCTGAAAGACCTACCTGTGAAAACAAACCCGCTCTTTCAAATCGCCGAGTCGATCGAAGCAGCCGCCAGCAAGGACGAATATTTTGTTTCACGACATCTCTACCCTAATGCAGATTTCTATGGCAACTTTGTCTTCACGGCTATCGGTATCGAGTCAGAAATGATCCCCGCCGCTATGCTGAGTCATCGAATCATGGGGATTATGGCGCATTGGAGAGAGTACATGGGTATGTATCCGCCTAAAGTCACCGGCCCTCGGTACATTCTGTCCTTTGTTGACGATTATAGCGGCACGTGGTAAACTTCTTCGCCCGTCACATATCTATTCGGGTAATATGGTGACCAATGAAACACCTTCTGCGAGGATGTGAATCTTTTCAAGAGTACAAAGGTGGGTGTCATTGTGACTTAGTATTTCATGGCTCTCATAGGTAGTCGCCGTATTTTGAGAGCATTGTATCTTTTATTCCTCGGAGTAGTCCACATGAGTCTCAATTGAAGGCCTGCGCTGCTAGTGAGAATAGATTCAATTTCTTTCCCTTGAAGAAATGAGCGATCTAGAAGACCGACGTTCCTCATATGGGGATGACAGGCCCCATACTGACTCGGAGTCAACACCTCTGCTATGCACTGCAACTACTCGGCAGTATTCCATCTTCACCAAAAGCCAAAAGCGACTGATCATTCTCGCAGCGGCACTTGCCTCTGCCTTCTCCCCTTTGTCCGCAAACATATACTTCCCAGCTCTGAACTCCATCGCAAAGGATTTGCATGTCACCCCGTCTCAAATCAATCTAACCATAACAACATACATGGTAAGCCCTGGAGTTAAGCACAAATTCATTCACAGTCAAACATATTTAAATTCTACGAACATTCTAGATATTTCAAGGTCTCGCACCAACATTCACTGGCTCTCTAGCCGACCAAGTTGGTCGTCGACCCGCATACATCTACTGCTTCCTCGTCTACATCGCAGGCAACATCGCTCTAGCAATTCAACATTGGTATCCCGCTCTACTCTTTTTACGCGCAGTCCAAAGCTGCGGCAGCAGCGGAACAGTGGCCCTTGCCTCCGCCGTCGCGGCCGATATAATCACCCCTGCAGAGCGCGGTGCATATCTGGGTATAGCCTCGCTGGGGAACATTCTCGCCCCGTCGCTTGGTCCTGTCCTGGGGGGCTGTTGAGTCAATACTGGGGGTGGTCCGAGATATTCTGGTTCCTGGCTATTCTATCCAGTTGCTTCTTTTTTCCTTTTGTGCTTTTCTTCCCTGAGACATGTCGGGGTATTGTTGGTGATGGTTCTGTGTGCCCTCCCTCCGCGTGGAATACTCCGCTTTGGAGTTCGTTCTTTGCGAGGAGAGATGGAGAAGTTCATACTTCGGGTTTGTCTTCGGCGCCTTCGGGTGATTCGGCGAGGTGTTGGAAAATTCCGAATCCGTGGACTTCGCTCCGATTGCTCTTCGCTCGTCCGGTCGGGTTGTTGCTCTTCGCCAATGGGGTTGTTTTTGGGAGCTACTACGCCGTTACGGCGGGTATTCCAGCTCAATTTGAGGAAATATATCGACTCGACGATTTCAGAATCGGGCTTTGCTTTTTACCCGCTGGTCTTGGTTCGTTGCTCTCTGCTGTTGCGAATGGCTTCGTCGTGGATTGGAATTACCGACGAATGAGCAGGGTGGAAGAAGATACTACGATCCACGGCGTTAAACAGGATATTCTGATGTTTCCTGTGGAACGAGCAAGACTGCAGATTTGCTTACCTATGGCGGTAAGTTTTGTCCCTTCTCCTTACTAGTATTTCAAACATTGAAATGTTGGCCCTAGATCCTCGCGGCAGCCTGCATTGCACTGTACGGGGCACTGATTGCTCACAAATACCCCCTGTGGGTTTCATTGCTTATGGTATTTACTATCTGTTTCTGTATCACAGCTGCTTACAATGTCATGAATATACTTATCGTGGACTTGTACTGCTCCACCCCGGCGACCGCAATGGCAGCGAATAACCTTGTTCGCTGCTCACTGGGCGCCGGCGCGGCTGCTGTCGTTAACCCTTTGATTAACAAAGTTGGTGTGCAGTGGACTTATGGAATTGTCGCGGGCAATTTACTAGCCGTTACCCCGTTACTCATGCTCGTATATGCTAAGGGCTGGAGCTGGCGTCGAGTGCAAGCAGGGATGCAGATCTGACATCTGGGCAGATATGCGGCCAATTTCTCATCGCCAGGAGGAGATTTTATGATCTTTGCGCTGCACTATAAGATCTGGCCCTTCCGCCGTGTCGGCTCAGAATAGTTAGTAGTGTAAGCTCCTCCTAGCAGCATGCCTTCAGTAAATACAGCCTTCAGTTTCCTTGTGCTCCTTGCACACATACAATTGTCCCCCCTTTCTCTTCAGGGCCAACGGGTGTTCTTGCGATACCCTGAAGGGGAATGGATTGCTCCAGGCTCAATCCTGGACATAAGTGGTAAGGACAGAGTTGCCAAAAAACGGCTGAATTTAAGTTAAACACTCCAGGAACAAAATATATACCAGAAATCAGTAGCTACGGCTTGTGCTGCCAAAAACATTACATTATGCTTTCACTGGACATCGACGTTGTCATGCCAAACACTGGGACCCAGACAGTGGTACTGCACTGGTACCAACCCCATCTCGCCTTCAACTGCACAAATGGAAATCAAGATGAGGATACTAGTAGACGTCTAATTCCTGACAATAACATCAACTCTACAACGGACTATCTCGCACCGTACATCGCACCCCAGCCACCGCCAAACTCGCACCATCGCTACGTCTTTCTTCTTTTCGCACAGCCACCAGATTACAGGTTCCCGAAGTGTTTCTCGCATATTCCTCCCAAGACACCCGATGCACGTGCTGGGTTCGACCTCCGCCAGTTCATGCATGCCGCCGGGTTAGGTCCGCCCGTTGCTGTGAATTACTTCTACGGCCGGAATCAGGCTTCGGATCATAACAGTCCGCCGCCTTCTTCGAGTGTTACCACTACCTCGTTCCGATCGGTGACCTGTACGACTGTCCCTACTGGGTTCTGCAGACAGATGTGATGGCGTGCGGAGGTCTTGAAGATGTTTGACAATCATGTACTATCTTGAGGCCGTTTACTCTGGTCCTGCTCGATGATAATGGACTGGGATTAAGTGAATGATCTAAGTATTTGATGATGTTCTACTCGCACGACGCGGACCACGAGTTGCGAAAACTCTGATCTCGTATTACGTTAGCTTTGCTTCTCGTAGGGCTACCAAATTTGAGGGTCATAGCCTATTTGAGATAGCCCACTCTATTGTAATAAACGAAAGCATATAATATTCTAGAATTCCGTTTCATGCCCGGTTGATTAGATATCTAATTAAGAGTATATACACCAGACTCAATCAATAAACACATTCGCTTCAGGCTTGTAAACTTGAAGTTATCTGTAGCCAGTCTATCTAGACAAACCAGCAAATGGGTGCCTGAGCCGCTTGTGTGAATTTGAGGTCATAAGTTACTAGTAGAATCACTGTTAGACGAATCCTGCACCTTCGGGCTCCACTCGATCTAACCTTCTTTCCCCTCACGCTTCCCGGCGGATCTCAAGGGAGATCCCGAGTTTCCAACACTTTAGCCTCAGGGTCCCCATGACCGGGCCCCATTCTGTTCCCCATTTAACAATGTGATCTGAGCATCTCAGGGTCCCCTAAACGGCGATTCGCAGTCATGGACCCCGACCAAGAGCACAGAAACGGGGAGCACGCGTGGTATCCTGAGTGGTCGGGTACCACAAAGCTATTTGTCATGCGAGAGGCCTACGGATGTAACTTTTGCTCTCTTCAAGTCCCTTGTGAGTGGTGCTTAGAATCATGTATGACCTGATGGGAAGTATATTGGACACGAGTGAACGATAAGATGCCTGTTTGCGGGGTAAGAGATCTGGTAGATAAATGATCTTCGTTGATGGGGGTCATGTAGACTGACTTGCTAAATACATAACCCGGGATCATTCGGCTTGACCTCTCCACGTCGAAAAAAGGAACCGAAATAAATTGAGCAGGAGTCCTTTGTGTTATCTCTGAACTGCAATCGATATGAGCTTACCAAAACCTTCACGATCCAACACAGGACAACTGCCGAAAAGCGTCAAGGTTCGGTCAACATGTAATGCTTGTCAACAGGCCAAAATTCGGTGCAGCCATGAGAAACCCTCTTGTCGCCGTTGTCAAAAGCACAAGATCGACTGCGTATACAGTGTTTCGCGGCGACTGGGCCGGCCCGCGAAAAAGAAGGAACGCATGGTCATGGATGAGATGAATGGTAGCCCGACACAAGTCATCCTCGAACAAGATCGTGAAAAGAAAGCCCGCAAGCCCGCAAAGAAAAAGATTCGTTCTCAGCAGCCGATCGCTTCAACACGTTCTCGTGTCGGTAGACCGCCAGAGAACAGTCCAACAGACGAGCAGACCATAGCAAAGAGCAGTGTAGACGAATATTCGGGTGCGTTGATTATCTTCACGTAGAAACAAGCATAAGCTCATACATTCAGGTTTCGAACTGGATATTACGTCTGGGGACTGGCTCCAAGAGTTGATGGCCACCCGAGTAAACGGAAATACGAACAACAGCACTCTTACGGATTATAGATATGACGATTTTGGCCTTGAAGAATTTGATGCCATTTCGGAATGTCTCATGCATTCAGAGCCTCTTGTCTTTAGTGGGTCGGCAGATGGTCAACTCTCAATACCAACTGGCTTCAATTTCACCTCACCTCCTATGCAATTCGAAAACGAACTTAATGTGTTCCAAAATACACCTTCTTCAGAGCGCCTCGAGGCTTTGACTCTAGGAAACACAACCTCGATACAGTGGCCCTATGATTATACCCCCAGAATGAATCCGATCCCCTTCTCAGACCCCTGGTCCGAGGATATAATGGCGCCTAGTACGGGTATCCTGATCGAAACAGCGGATAACGGCAACGGTTTACAGTCTCCAAGCTTCAATCACAACGAGGTATATTCACCCCAGGACACCGATTTTCCTGTTCTACTAGAAGCAGCGACAAACTTCAACTGTGGTTGCTACAAGCAAGTAATCAGCGAACTGGTCAGGTTCGAACTCAAGACCGGACCAAACGGCTTCTCCAGCATCGATAGCATTCTCGCATGCCAAAAGGAACTATTATTGCAAACCGAGTCAATTTTGCAATGTAAACTGTGCTCCCAGTCCGAGGCCCAGGCTAATGCACTCATGGTGATTATCGTGATTATTGACAGTCTTCTCACCACGCTCGATGTATCTGCTACCTCTGGCAAACCCGTTTTATTGGAGGCTGTCACAGAATCTAATGCACAGGTGGGTCGCAGACAGAAGGATGTCGGAAATTGTCTCAAATCGCACATCGATACGTGTTCATTGCTAGTGGGTGGGTTCCAGGTGCCTGTGGAAGAGAAGTCATGTTTCATTCGGCAGGTGTTACAGGCGAGGCTTTCCATGCTTTTGATAACGGTGAGACGAATTCGAATGTGCATGCAGCAGCAGCTTGCGGCGGGGTTGTCGCGGGGTCGACTTCTGATGATTATGGAGACGGATAAGAGACTGCAGTTGATTATGATGAAGATAAAAATGGCTGTTGGATGAGCTTCGGGACGTAAATGTCGCTGTCCATTGTATTGCATAGTGTCGCATCGCTTTCCGTGGAGGGTAGATAATTGAATCATTTTCAAACCAGAGCACCCCAGAGTCCACCAATAGACGGGTTTCCCTTGGAATAGAGTTGCTTATTTGTTGAGGGGTTTCTGCATAGGCCAGGAGTAACCTTCTAGTAGATGGTCTCACGGGGAATGAACACATTTGCTGTGTATCTCGAGAGATACCTCGGCTCAACCGTGAAGACCGTGATTGTGAATCCGGGCTTGGTGTAGCCGCAGTAGTCCATCTCGAGCTTTGAGCGACTGCTTTCATTCGAAAAGTCGATCGTTTCTCCAGGCTCAAGACCACGGGTTTGAATTTGACAATCCAAGCCAATATTCTATGAGCTGGCCGACCTGGGCTTACTCTTCTCAGTACCTGCTGGTAATTTTCGACTGTCGCGTAGCAGCACTTACTCTCCCTGCACAGTCCACTCTTTTTGCGATCGCAGACTTGAGAGCTCGACGTGTTTCCGTCAAGAGGCAACCTACCTAGACCGAGTAGTCACAATCTATTCGAGCGACCATTACCTTTCAAACATCTTGACAATGGACATCCCCTGCAAATGCTCGTTGGAGGCCTTGAAGGTAATGGGAGATCTGCAAAACATCCAAGCAGTGGTCGACGTGGAAACCATTTTGAATTTGACACACCGGGTCTGGCTACAAGGCAATACTATGATCCAATGTGAGAATTGTATCAAGATGGCGCAATCATCCATCGTTACCCTGCCCGCTCTTTCAGATGGGTGCCTACCACTTCTCGAGGCATTATGTGCGGCGTACGACATCTCGACTCAGCCCGGGTTCTTCGACTCGGCCATGCTAGCTTTTGAGCAGCCAGCTTCGCCAATTATCTGCATCCGTAATCAGGTTTTCTTGGGTCGGACTCAGCTGGATGATTATGAGGCTCGGCTGTTGGTTCGCACATTACTAGCGCGCGATTTGATTCGTTTTGTGGAGTTGATGGAGGCTCTGAAGGAGGCTTTGACTGTTCTTTTGGATGGTAATCATGTTCATCGGAATGCGATGGCCACTTTTAGAGCCTGTGAGTCGTCGGTTGAGTCTACTATCAGTCGACTAGCTGTCCTTATGCAAGTTGTGGAGGGGGACTGCGATGCCGGGATGTCTTGAGGCTGTCTTGATATTTGTTGAAAGGATCCATGTGGTGGCGTATGCGGTTGGAAGGATTTTTGGGATCGTGAAAGCATCATGATGTCAAAATTGTAGGTATGGATGGATACTCTTTGTATATTAAGTAGTTCAGCACACGTTGCATGACATAGTTCACCAGAGCATGATGGTAAAGAAAAGCAACTCCCCTCGATGTGAAATGCTTGTGTCCACCAGTCCGTAATCCGATGCTTGAGTATATCATCTTCATCACGCGAGATGTCGCCGCCTTATGCTCCCCAAACCCGCTCATAGACACCCACCCATTGGCCCCAACCGATGACCTTGCCGACCATGGCGTCCTTGATATCATTCTTGCTGACCTTTTCGGGATTGTCAAATTCGAGAGAAGCGTCGAGAGCGACAATAGTGAAAGTGTAGCGATGGGGACCATGACCAAAGGGAGGAGCAGGTCCACCATAAGATGTGCCCAGGGGATTTGGCACGAAGCGCCAGCCGGCATCGGTCCGGCGGTGCTTTGCGTTCTCCGGACTGACTTCCACGCTGGCCGGAACCGCAGTGGTTGCGGAGGGAGGAATGGCCCAAAACAGGCCGTGATGTATGACAAGGAAAGGAATCGGGATATCGATGTCTTCGCAGATCAAGACGTATTCTTTGACTGGCGAGGTACCTTCAGGGATTGACCAGCGCAGCTCTGGATGACAGCCAACACCATCATCTGCATATCCGGAATGCTTGAGTAGCATTGTAGAGCCTGAGGGACCACATTCGGGTGCTTCGAGGGTCATATTAGGCTCAGGGATATTTTGGAAGGCAGGGTGGCGGATGATTTGTCGCGATTCGTGATCCCGGAAAGGGTAGAGCAACCGGCCAAGGCCATATTGCAGGTAGTGGAGGATTGGCATTGCCGCGCAATTTTTGTTGTTCAGCTCGAATCAATTGTCGTACACGCGGAATTATTCCTGGTGCAAAAGGGTTCGTGTAGCAGCCCGGGTGTTTTGCATTGGAGAAAAGGAAAAGTTGAGACTCAAGCATTGAAGGTGTAGAATATACAGTGTCCCGGAACCGGTCCGGAACCGGCATACTCTGGTGGACACAAGGTTGAGATCCCGCTGCAAGACTGAGATGAAAAAAAAAATGAAAAGATATTCACATTCTGAATAAAGATACATATAATTGCTGTAATCATATATCGTGATCGCAAAAGTTAAATATAAACCTGGAGGATGAAAAAAAGAAATGGTAGCGAAGGGATTCGAACCCTTGCACCTCTCGATACACGAATACTCCGGCCCTGAGGGACGGAAGCTTATAGCTTGAGTCGTGCGCCTTAGACCACTCGGCCACGCTACCAGAAAGACGATTATGTAACTGATCCGAGGTGCTATATGGTAAGAACCATGGTAGTAGTGTATAACTAAACACCATATGGTATAACGTAATTACTACTGTTGTACTACTAGTAACTAGGGTACTTTTATACTTCAAGTTCTATACTTCTGCCAGCTATCTTCCTCTACGGCTAATGTGAAGCGCTGGTTCCTACAATTAGAACAAGTGCTAGATCCATACATTTCATGTCCATATCCTCATGCACATAAACACCCTGTATATCATCCCATTACGATCTGCACAATGACCGCATGGCCCCGCCTGCCGTGTTTCCGCCCGCATCCGGCTTTGGAATCCTCAATCCCCTCACGCTTCTCCAACTGCTTCCTTGACTCTTTTTCCTTTTTCCTTCTTTCACGTTGCCCTTGTGCCTGAACCTCTCCATGATCTGGTCCATACTCGCCGCGCTCAAGACCGATCCCACCGAGGAGGCCCGGGCCCAGGTTCAACAACGAACTCCCCGCTATGCCGGCGAGGATACCACCCCGACCACCCGCCGGGAGATCCTCGGTTGGTACGCCTATGGTATCGCTGCTGAAGTCTTTGCTGTTTCAGGCGTTGGTATGAACTTAATTCCTGATTTACTTTCCCTTCCTACTATGTTTTGTTATACTACCTTGTAGTATATCAACCATACTATACCGCCATACTATCGCGCTAGTTACTAGTATAGCATACTAGTACCATTCTCTGCTGTGACCATGCGGCAATAGCTAATTTGTAATCAATTATCTTCAGGATCCTTCCTCCCTTTAATGCTGGAACAGCTCGCTCGCGAACATGGGTCTTTACAAGATACCCACCGACCGTGTTGGGGTGATGCTGCACCCGACGAGAACGCTCGGAATGGCGAACAATGTGTCGTCGGATTGATGGGCCTGCAAATCAATACCGCCAGCTTTGCGATGTATACATTCTCGCTAGCAGTGCTGATCCAGGCTCTGACATTGATTTCATTTAGCGCATTGGCTGATTATGGTAGGTCGTCCATTTGTTTACTTACTTACTTACCTCCTCCGAGTCCATTCCGCATCGCGCAAACGCCAACTTGAACTAACACCTCCAATGCTTTTAGAGAACAATCGCAAATCGCTACTCCTAGCCTTTGGTTTCCTCGGCTCCGTGACCAGCATGCTCTTCGTCCTCATCTGGCCCTCGATATATATCCTCGGCGCCATACTAGTCGTGATCGGGGTAACATGTCTCGGATCCTCATTCGTGGTACTAAATTCCTTCCTCCCCGTCCTCGTCGCGAACGATCCCTCCGTGCAAAACCCCGAGCATCGCACCAGCGAAGAACTGTCGAGTTTCAATCGGCGCGAGGACGACTTTGACTGGAATGAATGGAGTGATCAGGAAAGCGTGGACGGTGTACACCACCACCGAAGCAGAAGTGGAAGTGGAAGCAGCAATAATTTGAACGAATCATATTCCCCCCGAAGCCGGACTGAAAGAAGACGAAAAGCCCAAATCAGCATCGCCAGAACTCCAATTATCAACCCAGATCTCATCCAAGGGCGTCGGACTGGGCTACCTAGCCGCCATCATCGTGCAAATCCTCAGCATCGTCATCCTCATCACCGTATCACAGACCTCTCTCGCAAAAGCATCGGGAACATGGCCAATGCGGTTTGTCCTGCTTCTCGTTGGTATATGGTGGTGTGCATTCACCTACTTGACCAGTCGTCTTCTCCGACCTCGACCCGGTCCTCCCCTCGATAATATCAGCTCGTCCGGACCTGGCGCTGGCGGCTCGGCGAAGTGGCGTGTCTGGCTGCGTCTAGTGGGATTTTCCTGGAAATCGTTATGGCGAACCGTGAAGATTGCGGTGCAATTGCGAGAAGTGATGATATTCCTCGTTGCGTGGTTTATGCTTTCGGACGCGTTGGCAACGGTCTCTGGGACGGCAATTTTATTCGCGCGCACGGAGTTGAAAATGAGCACAACCGGGATCGGACTCTTATCCATCACGGTGATAGTGTCTGGAATGGGAGGCGCGTTCTTGTGGCCGAAGGTTTCGGCGCGATTCGGTCTCAAGTCAAATCAGACGATTATGGTGTGCATTGCGCTGTTCGAACTCATCCCGTTATATGGCATGCTGGGGTATATCCCATTTGTGAAGAGGTGGGGTGTTATCGGGTTACAGCAGCCGTGGGAGGTATTCCCATTGGGAATTGTGCATGGTGTTGTTGGTGGTGGACTCGCGTCTTATTGCCGGTCTTTCTTTGGACTGTTGATTCCTCCCGGTAGTGAGGCGGCGTTTTATGCGCTTTATGCGGCGACGGATAAAGGGAGTTCGTTTATTGGGCCGGCGATTGTGGGTGTGCTTGTTGATGCGACTGGACAGGTTCGATCGGGGTTCTTTGTGATTGCGATATTGATTGTGTTGCCATTGCCATTGGTGTGGATTGTCAATGCGGAGAAAGGCCGGCGTGATGGGTTGGCGATGGCGGAGAAGTTGGGCAAATCCAAGTTTGCTGAGGATGAAAATGGGCAGGACGAGGCAGAGGGTTTACTGAGGGGAAACAATTAGGGGAAACCCAGCCTGGAGGGTATAGATTAGAATGGTAGATTTATGACTATATTATACACGCCACAGTGAATATGATGATTGATGATCAAATCAGCGACTTGGTGGGCTTCCTAGAATACTCGTAGCACCATGAGATGAGGCTGATGCCAGCGCATTGACGCGGAACACTCCGGCCCCCAAACTCTGACGTCGCATTGGGGCAAGTGGTCACGCTCGGGGTTATGCCGGCATTTATGCAAATGAGGAGAGGAGAAGACCTTGCCCGTGCTGTCTGACTGGACTCCGTAATTGGGGTCGAATACGAGGTGCAAGACAGGCAGTGCGGGCAGTGCATACACTCGAGTAAGCAGTCAGCCTTGCTCTCGCTGCTCGCCCTCTCAGGAATGAGAGAATGGCCCAAGTGGAGCGTCATGATCGGCAGGGTCATTGAGGCTGTTCGGTTTCTCGGGTCCAATTGCCCATCTCATTGGCACAGAGGAAGTCCAAAGGGCGATGACAATGGGGGCTGCTCCCAAACTGCCCCCAAAAACCCGACAATCCTTGCTGGAACCAGTCATTTCGACGCATTCAAGTCCAAGTTGTAAAACGGCAGCCTTATCCGCAGATTGTTGTGTGTAGAGTGGATATAATCATGGCGGATCCCCGGAACTCCGGCGCCTCGCCCAGCTTTTTTTATTAAAACACATTCTGCTTGGCCTCGACTGGACTGGACGGGCTTGTCTTGTCTTTTCTTTTCTTTGCCTTCGAAGCTTGTACCTTGTACCTCCCAGGTACTCGCCATGCTTCGCACTTCATTTGTCGCACTTTGTTTGTTTGCCGGAGTCCACGCGCAGCCGGTCCAACCGGTCCAACCGGTCCAACCGCGCGCCGCTTCAAGTTCTCTTGTTCCCGTCGACAACTGCTCCGCACTGCCAAATTACAACAACGCGACCAACATTGCCGGTCCCTGGAAGATTCGCGTGGATGGGTGCAGTAATGGGAGTTCACAGGGTTGTCACGTGGAGGGATTCGCTGCGGGTTGCGACGTGACGCGGTCGGCCGATGAGAAGGGGATTGAAAAGGGTGCCGTGAGTGTTTCTGTTCCTTGCAGCAAGGAGTACCAACCTGCCCCTCAGCTCACCTCAGCTCAATCATGCTAACTTCACCCCTCCGCAGATCACCATTGTCGACGCCAATGACGCGAATACACTCCTCCGCTGCAACGCCGTACTCGACACCTTCGAAGCATACGTCCCCTCCGGAGCGGGCGCACCGGATTGGCATGCCATTGGAATCGCCCAGGATACTGATACTGCGCAGATGGAATGGGGGTTCCGAGAACACGCCAAGCCCGTCCAGGCTTACCGACAGTATGTGGACGGCACACCGACTGGCGGAATCCTCTTGGGCTCAGAGGGCCGGACGACCTGGGCGGTACTCGATTCCGGGTCTGGATTGAGCAATGTCAACCATCAACCATTCTGGTTTCTGCGATTATTGAATTCCGAGACGGAGAAGTGGGCTGATGAGATGGAGACGCGGATTCGAATTGATGGGAGTTAATTGGCCTGTGAGGGCGGTCGTTGCATTCAGCATTGCCATAAGGCCGGAGTTTTTGTCACGCATTTTATATTTGCTCGGAGGCACGGATACCCATTTGCATATAAAAGTATAAGTATACCCATAGGTAATAATGAGACGAAGTTGAACTTGAAGCAGATAGTAGTACTAGTATCATTCCCATCTCTTAGTCAGTGCCTTCCAGTCGGAATGTACTCCTGCTATTCCCGCTCCTAACGTCATCAAAACAACAACAACAACAACAACACCACAGGGCTTAAGGTGGCAGGAAGGATGGAAACAACCCAGAAGACTCGGAATAGGTCATGATGTATATCTACTAGGTATACCTCCTCCTCTTCTCCTCTCTCCAAACCCCCATCTCTGCTCCATCCTACCTCCGAGTATGTGTGGGAATTCGAACTTCCGTCCCACATACTACCTAGGTAGGTAGAAGGACTCTACAACGATGCCGAAACTGTCGGATGACTCTGTCGGATATTGAAACAATCATACTCTGTGCGGGTTTCATCAAAATTATTATTCAAACACACCCTGCGCAAAGAATGATATGAAGGTCTTCCTTCTGTGACGAGAATCGCCGGTTTTTTACTCCCAGCATCGCGAAATTGGAGGATGGCGAGATAAAGCCGCAGGGTATAAGGTCCCGTGGAACCAGCCACGAAACCCTGGGATGGTATTGTGGTGGAATGACTCCGCCGAGTTTGGATCATGGTGCTGTACACCATACTGAAATGGGATCAGATCGTCAGTCCCTAACGTGGCTTAGGACAGAACTTTGTCAATTCCTAATGTGTCTGATCCTACAAGGTCCCTCCGGGGTCTGGATTGGAGATATTCGTCAAAGACAAGGCCTGGTTGGGGATTTCATGCAAAAGAATGATATCAAAATGCAGATCAGCCACGATTGTGATGCAATGCATACTCCCCTTAACGACTTGAACTCCTGCTTGTGAAGATAATGCCAGGGTAGGATCACAAAATCATCGCAGCTCTAGCCGGAAGGCAGCCGACAAAAGTTGACAAACAGCTGATTGCGGCGAACGTCGATGATGAGCGTATTTCGCTGTTGTCTCCGCTCATGGAACATGGAACATGGGTCAAAGAACCCGAAAATTTTAGACTTGGAGTGCTTGATGACAATTCAATATGGATTCAGGGACAAGACGCCCGAGGGCGCGATGGACACGAGATCGACTAGAGTGCTTAGTCTCATTCTTATTCTTTTGCAATTCTATCATTATCAATGACCTATCGCCCTGAGGGGCTGAAACATACGAGTATTCCCAATCCTCTATAACCTCGTAGTAAGGCAAAAGGGAAAGCCTTCGGCAAATACCTACTAGTTGACCTCAGGCTATCTCTACTCGACGATCTTCCCCAAATCGCCAGGGGCACTAACTGCCAACCTACATACAATTTCGATCATCTAATCTCGCCACGCATGGGCGATGGGATTTATTGATCTTTTAATATTTATATTAATCTGATCATCTGATCCCCATTTTACCCGGCTCACTGCTTCCACTCCCCGATCAGTCAAGGAATGACTGCATGTCCGGCCCGAGGTGCCAGATTCAACCGACTCGGTTGATTAAATATGGTTTGACTGCATGCTTCTCCCCTCGGAGAGAATTGGGTGGTGGCCGATTCCGCGGCCAATCCTCCGTACCTTGATGGGCTTAGGCTCTCGCTTCCTTTTGACGGCGTCGCCTCCCGCCCCCCTGGAGTCCAATCACGATGTTGCATCTCAATTCCCCAGAATCCAAAGAAGGGTTAATCACGGTCGCGGGGAAGCGCTTGACCAAAACCATCCTAGCACCAGCTATCCCGCTATCATTTCGATCTGTGATAGGTGCGAAATTGAGGGTTTACTGAGGGTCTCGGATGCTCGTCCTCAACCTTCACATTCCGGAGCTGGTCTAGCCACGATCGTCGCCGTCCTTCTACTGGTTACACGCCATACTCCCCCGGCGCCATCCCTGGCTCAATTAGCCTGAATGCAGTCATTGTCGACTGATTGCCCGTTATACTAATATTTCTCCACCCGATCTTTACATCCCGGTATGGCATGTGGATCGCCGTGGCTAGACATGCCCGGATCGACCCATGCATATATAGCGCCGGTCCTGGTCGCACGTTTGCCCAGCTACGCGTCACGGTTCTAGGTTATGCGACACAACACCTTGCGACATGTCGAACACTCCCCAGACCCAGACGGAGATCGCTCTTGAGAAGTCGGCGGCCAATCATGTCGAGGATACACTAGGCCACGGTGCCATCGTTGAGGCAAAGCATGCCACCGACGAGGAACATTCGCAGACGCTTTGGCAGGCCCTGCGGGAGAATCGCAAGGCTGTACTCTGGTCGGTCGCGATCTCCATGTCCATTGTGATGGAGGGATACGATACTATTTTGATGGGTAACTTCTTCGCCTACCCAAGGTTTCAAGAGAAGTATGGTCAATATTATGGCGAGAAGATCGGCTGGCAGGTCTCGGCGCCCTGGCAAACAGGTTTGAATATGGCTAGTACTGTTGGTTGTATCTTCGGTGAGCTCCAAACTGCATCTCCCCTTTTCATCGGCTTATGCTAACCTACCTTCAGGCGGTATCTTAAACGGATGGGCGGCATCGAAGTACGGTTATCGAATTGTCATGGTTGTCGCTCTCTCTTTCTTGACTGCATTCATCTTCATCACCGTTTTTGCCAACTCGGCCGCCGTTCTTCTTGTCGGTCAGATTCTCTGTGGTTTTTCTTTGGGTGTCTTTGCGACAATCGGACCTGCTTATGCCTCCGAGGTGTGCCCAACCAACTTGCGTGGTTACCTCACCATCTATGTCAACATGTGCTGGGCCATCGGCCAGCTTATTGCCAGTGGTGTACTTTATGGACTCGTCGACCGTCCAGATCAATGGTCCTATCGCATTCCTTTTGCCCTGCAGTGGATCTGGCCTGTACCTCTGATAGCAGTGTGCTGGTTGGCACCGGAGTCCCCCTGGTATTTGGTTCGCCATGACCGGTTTGAAGACGCAAAGCGCAGCATTCGTCGCCTTGGCGGAGACAAGACTGAGGATCAGATCAATGGACAATTGGCAATGATGGTCCACACTATCAAAATCGAAGCAGAGATCGAGGCCGGTACCACGTATATGGATTGCTTCAAGGGAGTCGACCGTCGCCGCACCGAGATTTGCTGCCTTACCTTCATGGGTCAAATTCTGTCTGGTAGTACCTTCGCCTACTCGCCGACCTACTTCTTTACTCAAGCTGGCATGGATACCAGCAAGGCCTTTGAACTGGGAGTTGGATGTACTGGAGTGGCCTTTGTCGGTACTGCATTGTCATGGTGGTTGATCACCTACTTCGGAAGACGCACACTGTATGTCTGGGGTCAAGCAATCCTCTGCATGTTGCTCTTCCTTATTGGTATTCTGAACGCCGCCACAACATCCCAATCCGCCATGTGGGCCCAGGCCTCATTCTGCTTCCTTTGGCTTTTCACATACTCCCTCACCGTTGGCCCAATTGCCTACTCGATTATTTCAGAAACCTCCTCGGTCCGACTCCGTCCTCTCACCGTTTGCCTGGCGCGTACGGCCTACCAAATCACAAACGTCGTGTCCCAGGTCCTCGAACCATATTTCATGAATCCGACTGCGTGGAATGCCTCCGGTAAGACTGGTTTCTTCTGGGGCGGCACCGCTCTCATCGCTTTTACATGGTCATACTTCCGTCTACCAGAGCCTAAGGGGCGTACCTATGCCGAGCTTGATATTCTGTTTGCTACCAGAGTGTCTGCGAGGAAGTTTGCTTCGACGCATGTTGATGCTTATGCGGTTGGCGTTTCGCCTTCGCAGGAGGGTCTTGTGAATAAGGAGCAGAAGTCTGAGGTTACTCAGCAGACTGAGTACTCGTAATGGTTCACGTGTTATATATCAAATTAATGAGATGATATCCGTCCATAGATGGATGGTGTTTACTACCTGCTACTATGGTACTCCGTACTCCCTTGAACGTAAGATGGCCTCGAATTGAGGCTCTAGCAAAGCGAAATTGATCCCTAAACTAAATACCCACTACCAGCAGATCAATTCAAGGCAAGGCAAGATCGCCGGTTTACCTGAAAAGTCGGGTCCTGACTTTACTACTAGTGCATCTGGGGATAGCGAATGTACGATAATAAAAGTAGACATTCACCACCCCTCATCCGTAGTATGCACATCATTTAATGGTATCGAGACCGATCGGATATCCAGGAGCCGTTCCAAGAAGGGTATAATGGATACAATGCAGAAAAAGGAACTAGTCCTCTCCTCAATCATTCGTTCAATCCATTGAATCTCACTGTCCTGGGGCATCCATATGTAATCGATATGCGGGATACCGTTTTCGATGCTTGGTTCGTTAGATTCGATCTCTGCGGTTGATCTTGATATTCGAGGCAATTATTCGCTCCCTGCGATCCATATATTCTTTATTAGCTGGCTGGATACCTAGTAAGCTAGCTGCTAGGGTCTGCTAGTACAGGTGAGTCGTGACCCAGTCATGTTGACATCACGTGTTTTTCTCTATATTTGAATACGACCTCATTGAACCAACCATCTCTATCTATCGTTTAATCCAGATGACCGGCAACCTGCTACATTCACAATTGCTACATTCACAATTGCTACGTTCACAATGGAGCCTAACGCCTTCCACAGAGAGTTTCGCCATGCGTGCTTCGTTGGCGACATGCCAAAAATCCATGAAGCAATCGCCACGGGCTTAACCGTTGAAGACCTTGACGTCGGACTTCAACATGCAACACTATCGTCACACGCTGATGCGGTGGCTACTCTTTTTGACGCCGGTGCTCGTGTCTCAGTAAGGACAACAGACTCCCTCCACGGAGAAGACCTCTACCAAGACCCTTGGATTGTCCGCCTTTTCCTAGACAACGGCTTGGACCCCAACGCGAGGACTTCTAGCGGCCAACCGATACTCCATTTGCATTCTAATCCTTCGGCTGCTGCTGTATTGCTTTCCGCCGGCGCGGACCCTAACCTCTGCGGACCCAGAGGAGTCCCTCCCCTCGGCACAGCTATTGTGAGCACTAAGGAACCAGATACCTCTATACTCGAGCTATATTTCGAATACGGCGCAAAATTGGAATCAAATCTGCTCTTATACTCTGTCCGTCCGCGTGTACAGCAGCGCAAACTGATGACCCGCTTTCTGCTTGACAGGGGCGCAGACCCGAATGTGACTTCCGACGATTGGGGCACACCTCTACACCTCGCTGCGAGGCTCGGCGACGTGGAACTCGCGAAGATGCTGCTGGAGGCTGGCGCGGATCCGACTGTCCTGTCTGTTGGTAGGAAGATCGGCAAAAATGAAAAGACACCGGCGCAGATGGCTGAGTACGTGACGGAACCCGAGAAGCGCGAGGCGATGCTCAGTCTCTTCCAGGGTTACTCTCGCTAAGTGCTACTACTAGTCTGATACATTGTAGCATTTCCGGTGGTATGGAGGAAGTATAGCCCATGATCATCTCTGCACTATATTTGCAGGCGCTCCCTGTCCCTTAGGTTCCCATGTCTAATCTATTCCCAATGTTCTATATACCGAACATCTGGGCACTAATTTATACTTCTGAATGGACTCGAAGTACTTCGCGACTACCCCAGACAGGGATACTACCCCGTACCCAGGCCTACGTATACATAGTATAGCGACCCTGGTGGCAACAATATGCAACAGTAATCTAAGAACGTACTTTATTACGTGCGGGGTAGTATATTCTAATTAATGTCTTAGTCTGATGAGATAATCGTATCGAAGACCCGAGCCGAGCCGTTCAACGGCGGAGCGAGGATAGATCTACTCTGATAGAGTGATCGTATGGATCATGACAACACTGCAAAGTGCAAAGTGGAGAAAAACTGCCGACAAGCTTGGACAAGCGTGAAACCGAGGCCAGACCCCCGGCGTCAGGAATCATCTCGCTTAGACTGGGAAAGGAATGGGTCTAGCCGGTTGACTTCGGAGCCTCAGACCCACTGCAAGTGACTATTCTGGGTGTACTCCGTAAAGAGGAGGCAGCTAGATTCAATCCTTGTGTTAACTAGTGAACCCCTGCAGTAAACGGTTTCAATGGGTGATTTCGTCGTGGGTTGGATTTGTTGACAAAGTACGAAATATGCGTGTATGCGGAGAATGGTCGGGGAATTGCTGGGAAGTACTCAGATGGGCCGAGGCGGTTGGCATGAAAATAGGAATTCGTCATTGGTATCTTAGTAGAATAATTATACATGATAGGTTGTGAATTATGGGGTATTAGAGTGTGTCGTGCAAGGATATTCAATTCATCCTCATGCCATATGCCATGTGCCAGCCTATGTCTGTGCATATGCATGTGCGTTGGAACGCTCGTCATGAATCGTTGCGCACAGACACCCGCACCGATCGCTCGACTTTCCATCCTTGGTTCGGATTGAGATCTTCCTCGCTACTGCTTGTCGGGTTCGGTCGCTGCGTCCCCATGATCGTCGTTGTCACGCCATGGTAGTCGTCGGCGTCGGTGCCGGTCCAAAGTTGGTTCGCGTCGTCGCCGGCGTGGCGAGATCGCGAGGATTTATTCTGCGCTAGGTGGCTCGATAAGGGGAATGAGCCCGGGCGGGGGCGACTGCGTGAGGCGGAGGAGCCGTCGCGGAGGAATCGGATGAGCGGGCGGAGAGTGGTGAGACAGCCGGCGGTGATGCCAAGACCGGCTTCGACGTTCGACCAGATGGAGATTTGGTAGGTGTTGTCTGAGTTAGGTTAGCAGATGTCCTGTCCTCGGCAGGCCCTTTTTTGCCTTTCTGTTTTATTTCGGAGACTGTGTTACTCACATAGAAATTCCTTGTCCTTGTAGTGGTGGACAAATGGAATGCGAATGATGACCGCGGCGGAAGCACTGGAAAAAGATTAGCGTGGGTCTAGGCGCAAGAGGCGAAGTGATGACGAACATGCAACCGATGCCTAAAATGCCGACGATGGCGGTCTTGGTGCGGGAATTCATGCGTAAATTCCAGATCAAGGCGACTGGAAGTAATCCGATCGTAAGGTCGGTGATAGCGGCTCCGATACTATACAGATACGCGATGCCGATGAGGACGTTCTTCTCGACGCAGTGTCCGGTCGGGGAGAGTTGGTGCCAAAAGTGCGTGACGGGACTGCATTGGAATATCGTGAAGAATAGGAAGATAACACCAACGACGGTGGCTAGCGAGATTGCGGCGTAAAGGATCCAAGCGTGAATTCGATCAACGGTGATTCGCAGGAGGGTGATGATGATTGAGATCTTGGCGAGAACACAGGTGATTACGTAGAAGATTTGGCCGAGCCACCAGCACTGCAAGACGTTAGAATCGATATTTGAACCACTTTGCAATGAAGTGAAAACGTACCAGCAGCGCGCGACTGAAGTGTTCGGGATAGGCTTCGAAATAGAGCAGCTTCCGGCCAATACCGTTCTTCGCTCCAACGATACCACAGACTGCGAAGGCCAAATTCATGGCCTACAGATAGATAGTGTGAGTTAAAGTTCTCATCGGATACCATATGACCAGTGCGCCGACGTAAAATATCGCGATCGCTGGTCGAAGGAAGAAAGACCTACCATCGCTAGCAACATAGTGGTATCATCCCACCCAAAGGCGCGGACAACCCGGGTTCGAACGAAGAGCCGTAGACCGACGCTGACGAGCGAGATAGCTAAGAAGACCGAGGTGACGATGAGAATGGCATTGCTTCGAGAATCGTCATTGACGGCAGCCAGAATGGCAGCCTGGGCGGCCTCCTTGCGACTTTCAGCATCCATGACGACGGTATGAAGCCATCCGCATGGAGAGCAAGGCGGAGGATAGAGCGATACTCGTAGAGGAGGAGGGGGGAAAGGGGGGGGAAAGCAACGGTGGAAGGGGTCCTCGTGGTTTTATTCTCCTAGTGATCTCCACGGGCAAATCTGGGAGGGAAAAAAAGGCTGGAGCTCCTGATTCTAGACAAACTTGGCCATGCACGCATCTTTCGGCTCGGGTGGGGTAGTATTGCCCCTTAGGGCCGAGTCTAAATCGCATCGATCGGCGAGGTCTCGAAAGAGGAGTCCATACCGCGGTAGTTTGAGAGGACGGGAGAGCCGAAGAGGCAGAGCAGCATTCCAGTGGTTGATGGGACTCTGTTCCGTACGGAAGTACTCGCAGTCTGTACTTCTCGTAGGTGGACAATTGAATTAACGGCATGATACTCGTACTCGTACAATAATTTTGCACAAATGCACGAGCACGAACGGTGAGGGTCAAGGAGTATGGAGTCCCGTATAAGTGATGTGCCGTGCGGGCGGACACTTTTTGCACAAAGAGCAGGAGAACTGGTGATCGCGACTAGTGGCGATGGGGTTTCAGACAGGAGCCGCATTCTCCTCCACCAACACAATGGGCTGTCCACATTTCCCTGCCGCCGTGCAGATGGCGTTCCAACCTAGGAGATTTCTCCGGTTGGGTGGAGGTCCCGCCCGAATCTGGTGAGAAGAACCAGGGATGAAAAGCGGAGAGATGCCGGATGGTGACAGATGCATGTTCCATGTTCCATTGCGAAGGGTGAAGGAGGGGAGAGTTTGCCAGGAGTAAATTGGAGAATTCACATGATAGTATACCATAAACCATAAACCATTGGAAGCCGAATGTTAATTTCAATGTCAATGCTAATGTGAATGTTAATGTCAATGCCTGGAGGAGGTCAAAGTACCAGAGTACCATCACCCAAAGGGGACTAGTGTCAGGGTTAACCCTAGCCCCGTGACTGGAGTATAATTGCACCTTCCCAATTGGGTTGGCATGCTGCATATACAGATGCATATTCATACTCATATCAATATCAATCTCATATTCTATTCTTATTCTATACGGAGTATTCTTTACGGAGTACTCCTACTCATCCTGCACATTCTCCCCATCCACCCCATCCCCACCCACCACTTTGCCGAGAATCGGATCTCCCTCCATCGCAAATCCATCGCAAATCCGTCCGTGCACATCAACTATTGGCACGCTATCTACGTGTATGTAGGAGGCTTGTTTCTGGGCGCGTGCGATATCCCCGCTCACGGAGATCCGATCGACGCCCAAAAATACAAAAATACTCCCTACCCTTTGGCAACTGCATGTGCAAATTTGAGGGGATTTGGAGATCTTCGGGGTCTTGCCAAACTGTTGGGAAACTTTATTCGGGTTGCATTCGGTATATTGGCAGCTGTATCCCGTGAGGAGCGGGGGAAGTTATTGAAACCCTGCATGAGATGATCATCATCATTGCAAGCCCACATGTTCATCCCGAAGTTTCTACGAGGCAAAGAGCTGGGTCGATGAGCCCACGGCTATTCTTCACCGGATCCATGGCTCTGAGGTGCCAGGCCGCCATCTTTCAAAGTTGCGGAGTCTGCGCTTAACTCTTCGCCGGTTCGATGCAGAGTATATTCCGTATCTGGAGATCGGGAGAAAAAGAGGCTGCTGCCATTCGACCCATTCGACCCACTCAGCCCCTTCCGGAGTTCTTGTCCACGCGATTCCCACGCGATGTCCGCGTTGTGAAGAAATCAAAGGGCCCGTGCCAAACACGTCGTAAGCTCGTTAGAGGCCCGTTTGTTTCTAGAATTTCTGAACCAAGGCTCTGAAACAGAAGCGAGGCGGTTAGCGTTTGAAGGCGAAGGAGTTGATGCCCTTGGTGGTCTAACGTGTTTCAACCTTGCTTCCTCGGCAGTGCGAGTGGGAATATGCTTGTAGCCTGAAGCACCCAAGTACGGAGTACCCTCCAGAATCGTAGATCTTGATCCCAACAATTATTCAAGGGGTGAACTGGAGGATACGAGTACTGATCTTTTAGACACGTTCCTATACCGTAATTTGTACTACTGTTTGTACAAACAATCGCATCATAGACGAAATTTGAACCCATTATTCGGTCACTTCAAGTTCATGATGTGGGCTCCTGCTTTGGCTCCATTGGTCAACCTTAAATTTGCGAACCCTCGAATTGAGATAGCTAAATAATGAGACCTAATAATTAAACTCGAGTCGACAGCACTAACCTAGGGAAGCAGAACACGGAGCAAGCAGGAAGCAGGATAAATACAAAGTCTATTCACATCTAGTTACTGGTAATAGTACAATGTACTCTTTACGAGTACATCGAGATAGCCATATCCCTTGCGCCGTATATACCAAGAGCTTCCAAGGTGATAACTCGAACTCATTTATGAGGAAGCAGACGCAGTGGCAGAGGATGATGGCATGCTAGACATCGATCCACTGGGAGCACCTCCACCACCGCTACCACCACCACCCACAAACCCGCTGTCCTCATTCTCGTGACCACCATTAGCATCGTAGTAGGCCGCAATGCTGTAGTACGAGTTATCGGTGTAATCGGCAGTCGAGTTGATACCGATC